GTCATTTCATCATCCTTGTGTGTGTGGTTGTTGTTGAACCTCTATTATAGATCCCCCGATATTAATCATTTAATAATTCGTTCGCTCATTCTCTCATAATCATCATTCGAACGTTCATACCATATTCATAGATATTCAAAATGAAAATTTCGGATCAACCAATTCATTCGTTAACATCGGCAAATGAATCTCCTCCACAATGTATTATACAAGAGGATGATCCAACAACAACAAGGAGGATGATGATGAATGATGATGATATCACATTGAATCAAGAAGATGATGAACAAGCCTTTCAACAACAACATGACAACGATCCGCGTTCATCATCATCATCCTCTTTTAAAATTCATACTTTGGGAGATTTCAAACAAGCTCTCTTACAACATATCAGACAGGAATGTCCAGCCGTTGTTTCTCCTCCTCATCATCATCAGTTTCGTTCCGATCTTAAGGATGAGGGTGAAGAGGAAGACGAGGATGAAAAGGCTTCTTCTTCTTGTCGTTGTCCGACACCTTATTTGTTTTTTTCGGAAGAAAAAATAAGAGGAATTTATTTGTTTGGATCTCAAACGTATCAATGTAAGAAGAAAGTTGAGAAAAGAAATCAGGATGAGAAGGAGGAGCATGAGGAGGAGAGAGTACTCAGAGTATTAAGTAATGATCGGAAGAGTGAATTGAGATATTTGGCTTCCTCGGATTTTGATGTTTTATTGGTTTGTGATGATTTGTATTCGACGGATAGTTCTTTGGGATCGTATTCGAGTGAAAAACAATTTAAATGGGAAACTGGTTTAAGTTTGGATTTTGTGGAGGGCAATGAAACAAATTTTTTGGAATTTGATATTTCATTCTATAATACTTGCTATTTTATTTCATACATGAATTATCATCAACCTGTGTTCATTCAGAGTGTTACAAACAAATATTGGGAAGATGTGTTTGTGGTATTTGAAGATGATAAGATGAAATATTTCAGAAGCACGTGGTGTGACTGGAACATGTCCATCCCACGACTCAAAGTTGCATTTTCAACAGAGCTCGATTATTGCATGGAAAAAGCACATCGATTTTGGAACATGACAATAGGAGAGACCGATGAACTGAAATACAATGATAATTATAATAGATATACATTGAATAGAACAACGGAAGAGTTGAAGAAAACTTCGAAAAAAAACATTGCTCATGGTTTACGAAAACTGAGGTTTGCCTATCAGTATTTGGAAAATGGAAAAATCATTCACTTACAAGAATGGAATGCATTAGCACAAGAGGTATTCGACAAAACTAAATACTACTATGAGTGGATGCAATTCGAAGACACTTACAAACCTATTTATGAAGAAAAAAAGCTGCAATTTCAAACCGTGTGTGAAAATATAATAGGAGTTGCGGAGCGTTTACTCACTAACTATGATGACAATGTTTCACTAGCATTCTTGTCATTCCTCAACAGTTACTGCTCAAAAGATAATCAAGAGGGAAGAAAGCGCGTACATGAATTCATGAACTCCACACAAGCATTGACACAAGAAGACCAAGAAACTGTTCAACACTCGGTGCTCTATCTTTTCAAAGACGTGCATTCCTTGACAAAATTATTCAATATTGATGTGTCACATTTTGATCCATCATGTGAAACAACAACTCCACAGCAAGTCGCTCAATGCACAACTTTTCAACTCTCTTTGAATCTCAACATGTTTTATTTAAATTATGATCGTAAAATAAGTAATGAAGTGTTGCAATGTGATGGTGCAATCATTGAGCTAATGTCTTCTCCACAACAATTCCGATTAGTATGCGCTCCGAGATGGTTTATTCCAGATATTCGAGACCAACCTGAAATTGCGATCAGTTGTCAATCCTTGTCATGCTTTAAACTACCCTATGGTGACAAAGTGAGTTTATTCTTCCATAAAAACGCTTGGACAATTGCCTGTTCAGAAATTGAACGAGCAAATTGGAAACGATGGGTATTGTTGGATAATGTTCCGTCCAATTCTGTGAATTCATGGAGAGATGATTTTTGGAACATTTGGAAGAATTTGAAAATGGAATTGCCTCCAGAAAATATGCAAGACAAAACATTTCATTTTGTGTGGAATAAGCATCAAGGCATTTCTTTGGTGTCCGTTCGTGTGAATCAGACATGTCAAATAATATCACATTCAGAAATGGTCTCGCTATGTGAAAAGTTGAATTGGAATGTTTTGGAACCAATGAAAGAATTGGAATTCTCAACTCTTTCATCCGGCAAGTTGTTTTGGAAGCAAGCACTTGAAAAAAGTGCCTCATTAGATCCAACCATCTATGAAGGACTCATTTTCCATCACTCTGGAAGTGCCAATCATGCAACAAATGTGCCCATTCTTGAAGTGAAAACTCCAATTCATTATCTCATGCCCAAATTGAACATTGTCAACCATTTCTATTCTGGTACAGAAATTTTGAATTCGAGTGTGATTGAGAATCCTGATGACTCTTTGGTTCGATCGGATGTGAATGACATGGCACTCTTTCAAGCAGCAGTGATGCACTCTCAAGAATTGAACCCGAAAATTCAACAGGTCATTCAACAGAGAAATCCATTATTTTTGAATGTTTACAACCAATGGGTGGAACATCTCGCTCAATATGGCATGGAACGACCAATGATGACTGACCACATGGATACCAAGCAATATTTGAAAGAAAAGATCATTGCAGATATTTTGAAAATTGAGCCATTGGATCATGAAATGGTATTAGACATTATTTATGAAATGTAAAGAACATGTTGTTTTGGTCAATCAACCATTATATTGAAAATATTTAAAGTACAATTAAAATAATGGCAAATTTGATACTGATCTATCTTGGAATCACAGATTGCAATCACAACGAAGAAGAGGATGTGATTGTTCCAAACTATTTATTCGAAACATTTCAGCATGAATTGTTAAGGAGTAAAAAATTTATTCTCGAACTTCAACAGGAGGCAAATCTTCAACGGAAAAATGGACTCTGATCCGAATTGTGGAGGATAACAACTGTCCAACACGTTCTTTTGGATTTTACACTAAAAAAACGGCTATTAATTGCAAATCCTTGTTTTTTGACCTTGGATGGTGAGCATCTGAAGAGTGTGAATATTTGCAAATGAGACTGAGAGGGAATTTGTTCTGCAACGTGTAATTTAATGTCTATGAAAATAATTTGGTTTAATATTTCATGTTCAGGTAATAATACAATGTTTCACAAGGTCATTAAACTGTTTTTACATTTAGTTATTTGAATTGGCCATGCTCGATTGTCGTTGCATCATTTCTCTGTATAAATTTGTATCTTTAAAAGTTTCAAATAAGTGAACCAGCATGGATGTTTCAATGTCACGAGCAATTTCATCAAATAAATCAATTGTGCAACCTTTTTCGTCAAGTTTCTTTTGCATGGCGTTAATCAATTTTTTGCTTGTATTGATCCTAAACATGGCATCTTCTTCAAGGAATGTAGCAATGATGTAATTTGCCTTCATTTCTTTTTCTGACAGTGTTCTCTCGGTGGGTGGAATTTGAATATCAATAGTTTCAATTGAGCTTTCAGTGTTAATATTTGATTCAAGGTTGTGTGATCTCTTGCACAGGATCTTATATTTAATCACTTGTTCCAAGAAGATGACCAATTCCAAACAAAAAATGTTACTCAAATAAGCTTTAAAATAGTTTCTCATAGTGGCATTTTCCAACACTTGTCTCACTGTCACTTGTTTGCTACTCATAATCGAAGAGGTCGAGTTTGTGGAAGAGCAACTGGATTTTCTTTTAGGGATCGATAAGCGATTCGTATGAGGCGCTTCATGAATGGTGGCGCTGCTGCTGTTTTTCTCAGCATGGTCATCATGACTAGTCTCTTTCTCTTCAGACAAACTTGACAATTGATGATTTTGTTGTTGTTGTCTCTGTTGAACATGTTCTTCACAACCAACAATGGCAACATGTTTTCTGGCAGCTCTAAATATTTCTTTCATGGTTGGGAATAATTTCATTAATTTTGGAATGTATTCTTCTGGAGAAGACTCTAAATGTGTGGATGTAATTTGTGAAGAAGATTCACTCTCTTCATTGTTTGTCAATGATTCGTTGTTGTGCATGGGTTCGTTCAAGTTTTTGGAATCTCTTCCCAATTTGAAGATAAAAGCTCCGTAGTCTGGTCTCTCCGTTAGACTCTTATAGAAATAACTCTGTTCAATCTCTCCATCTTTAACGAGATGCATACAAAAGAGAGACATCAATTCCATTTCTTTAATTTCTTTCAGGGATGGGAAGAACAATTTTCTCTTTTCTGTGATGAGCATTTTGATCATGGTTGGCATGGCCATACAATGTTTTACAATTCCTGCTTTTTCAACCATTAGTATTCTCTTCATGGGAGTCGAAATTTTACAATGCATTAATTGTGTATGTGAAATGAGCTTGGAAAAAGTGTTGACATCTTCCTGGTGACAAATGACAGGTATAATATTCATCAACAAGAACGAAGAGAGATAACCTTGCAACGCATTCAACGTCTTTTTGACACAATGGGCATCCATACCACTTGATGACCACCAACAATAATCGATGATGAGCACTTAATTGAAGAACTGAGTGTCCGCTCGGATAAACAATCATTTCATCAAAGGTTTCCAAACGTGTCATGTTCACAGAAGATGATCCGCTCGATGCAGTAAAGAAAGAAGATGAAGATGAACAACAAGCATTCTCACAGACTTGTTGTTGGTTCATATTGTCGTCCATAGGCATTGGTTGTTTGTTTTCTTTTGAAGCGAATGAGAATCGAGGATTAGACATGAAATTTCTTCTCGAATGTCAAGGTAACAGCAATTCGGTGAAGAGAAGATGGTGAGGCAATTTTTGTGTGTGTGAATAATGATTCGGCAGTCTCAAGACTCATGGAGGATGGATTTTTAGGGGCATTTCACATGTGGAGGTGTGGGGTCATCGATTGCGGACAAGTGTGTGTGTGTTGATGAGACATACCTTAGAATCCCGTGCGCACGAGGTGTCCTATGAGCCATTGGACTCAAATTGGATGTTAGTGCTCGTTTATTTTTCTTTTTTTAGGTTATACGCATTGAAGGTGTTGTTGGTGACTTGACTTATATTCATCTTCTATCATCATCAACGGATAAGAAACACACAGTTCTCGTATTTCTTATCCTGTAGCCTCATGTGTGTTTTTCTAACTTTCATCATAATGGTGTCATTCATGCCTTTTTTGAAATATTAGGAGGTCCTTCAGGATCGCAAGATGGTGCATTAGGAAGTCGATTCCTTTTTTTCATTTCTGGAAAGTGTGATGGCAAGAAAATGTGAAATAGGGTCATTTGGAGGGCTATACAATGACCTGTCATTTAGGGTTGCTTGATGGCATCAAGGATGAGACCAGCAGTGTCCATGACTGTATCCATACAGTAATTTTTAATTGGCAACACCAACCGTCAGTATCCAAAATAAGAAATCATAGACCATTCTACTGTAATGCAAGATGGTATTATTTTGAAAGAGGTGATCAAATGATGGTGCCATGCCGAGTGCTCACTGTGACAAATTTGTCTTGATGTATATTCATCTTCCATCATGATCGAAAATGTGAGAGAGAGATCCATTCCTATCATGTGAGTTTTTCTGGTTCTCAACACCGAAAGAACAGTGACCGTTCACAATCCAAAATAAAAGTTCCCCAAACTCATTGATTGTATTCTGCGTGCCGAATGAGATCCTTAAATATCCATCTCGCAATCAGAGATAGTAATTTCTAAATTACGAGAGATGTTTTCTTTCAAGGAAAGTGTGTCACTGTAGCAGAAATCGAATGAAAATATGAAAAGGGTCAAATGCGAGAGAAGTCGCATAAAAACCCGTTAACACACAAAAAAGAAAACATGGACTCTTCTCCTCGTGATTCTGTTACAACCACCACCAATTCTGCCATCTCTCTAGGTCGCTCGAAAACCGATGAAGCGAATGTTGCCTTCGGAAACAAGAATGTCTCTTCGAGCACTGGTAATATGTCACATTTTCTTGGTCGCGCGCCAAAACATACATCTCTAACCAGTACTACTTCATCCAACGACGTTTCGCCATTTGTTGTTCGTATTTCCTCTCTTCAGGATTGTAAATCAAATCGTTCTCACTCCTCTTTGACCATAATGACAGATGACTCGAGCTCAGAAAGTGGAAACTCTAGAAATTCCTCATGTTCCAAATATATAAGAGAGAATGTTAAGGTGCCACTCGAAATGTTGGATTCCATGATTGTTCATCCGAGTGGTCATTCAGTGTTGCAACTCAGCGCCAAGCATCGTGTCATGTTGGTCTTTATCAAATGGTTTGGATGTCCATTGTGTCAAAGCGTCGTTGATGAGTTACAAAAGTACTTGTCGAGTTTTTTGCTGTTAAATATTGTTCCTGTGGCGTGTCATCAGGAAGATCCAGATAAATTCTCAAAATACATTGCACATACTCAAATCATGCATTGTTCCGTTACGAATGAAATGAAGAAAGGGTTTATGGTCCAGAGAGCTTCCTTACTTCGTCACGCCATGATGATGCCTACCTTATTTGCATATATGGCCAAACATAAGAAGAAATTCTTTCTTCCCTCTCGAAAGGAAATGAAACAGATGGACATGCTGTCTTCTTTTGGAATGTACATGGTTTTTAAGGGAGAGGTCTGTAATAGTTTCAGCTCTGAAAAGTTAAATGAAAGACCAGATTACGGAAGTTACATTTTCCAGCTCGAAGAAGAAGAGCTCTTGTTTAAGGAACAAACACCTGAAGAATTCATTCCTGATATGTTAAAACTATTTCCAACCATGAAAGAAATTTTGAGAAAAGTTAGAGTGGAAAGAACCATGAATGTCCCTAACCTCAATATTGAAAATATTGCAACTAATAACAATGTCGATACCGATCAAATCACGTTGAAGATGGTACTGGAAAATGCATCCATGAGAAGATTCTTCAAGGCATTCCTCGCCAACTCATTATGTTTGGAATCATTAATCTTCTATGAACAAGTGACACTATATAAGATATTGTGTGATCAAGAACAATACTTTGTGAACTCGCATTGTAAATTAACCAACCAATCAAATACAGCATCAAGAGGAGCTGTATCAATTCTTTCAGATATTGAAAATTATATGGAACTGAAAAGAAGAACTGAACAAAAGGCCAAGTATATCATCGAGACATTTCTAGAAGATCAATCCATGTTTCTGATCAACACGAGTAAGAAAATCATTTCGAGAGTGAAAACAACAATTGAAGATTGTGGCTATACAGAAGCGTTGTTTGATGAAATTGTGAAAGATCTTGTACAGAATGTTCTAAAGCACAATTTTGAAGAATTTGTCACTAGCAAAATATTTGAAGACATGAAAACTAGATTAAGAAATAAATAGTCATCTTATTTGTTGTGATCGTGTTTGGAGGTTATCTACAATGTTCATGAAATCTCTCTACTTACTAAAAGTTTATGCATAAGAAGCTGCCAATTTGGAGTTCAGCAGTTCTGCCATTGTTTTTCCTTTCTTGTGAATTCTTTTACCCTCCAAATAAAGCATAGCCTCAGCATACGTATCTGGTACTACCTTATAAACGATTGGGCATGTAAAAGCAAAGTGGAAAATATTGCATTGCAGCTTTTTGCCGCTTGGAGGATCGAGAACCCAAACTTCAACACGAATTTCTAAAGACTTGTCTCCAGCATAGACAATTTGAGAAGTGAATTCTACCACGCTTCCCACTTCTACAGGCTTCAAGAAAGAGTTTTCGTTCAATGCAAGGAACACAGGCCTGTGTTTGGTGTACATGTAAGCAGTAATAAATCCAATTTCATAAGCTTCTCTTAGCAAAAAACCTCCAAATATTTTACCGTGAATATTCCTATTGGTTGGATGCATGATCATAATGTTATTTTGTTTTGTCATGCTCATTGGTATGCATGCTTGTGGTTCTCCTCCGTCAAGAGATAAGTAATGAATGGCAGGACCATTTGATTCAGAATCGTGTGAAATATGAGGCTGCTTCATCTTTTGAAGGAAAATATCATGGATGAGCAGTCTCTCGTCGTCACTTGGAGGTTTTTTCATGAGACTTGATTCACTCATGGCTTTTCTTCTTGCTTGGTTCTCTTTTCCCATTTCAAAAAGAAACTTGTCCTCTTCAGTTTGTGGAATAATGGTATGAATTTTTGTGCTCTTATTGGTGGCCTTATCGAGAGCTACCATGACAAAATAGGCAACCATTACAAGCTCTTTTCTGCTCATACGCAACTCCACTTGTAAATGTATTCTTGTATAATTGTGAATCATTGAGCGGAACGTCCTTCTTGATGCTATGCACTTCGATTCTAATTTCCATGCTTGATGTACCAGTGAACGTGACCTTACCAACAATTTCTAAATCGAAGAATGGAATGATTGGTTTTTGAAGTTCAATTCGATCGATGGCAGCCGTCACTATGGTGAGTGGCCGTCTTTTATCAAAGCCGTCCGAATGTTTATAGGCTACTTCTCCAGCCACAGCATCCAAATCCTCCAAAAGTCTTCCAATACGCAATCCATTAAAAGCATTGGTATAGATGTCTCTCAGTTTTGAATCGGTAGAGAATGGCAGCTTAATGATGACCTCACTTTCGGAAGGAGTTTTTTCTCCAACTTCAAAAGTAGCTTTTTGTTCAGGGCTTACTTCTCCCGAGGATTCCAACATTTCACCCATATGTTCCTGTTGTTGTTGAGAAAGATATCTTCTCTCAAATCTGTGCTTATTCAAAAAGTAATCAAGACTGAAATATATTTCATTCATTTCAAAAATTAATGATGGAATGATTCAAAATCAAATGTAAAAGATGAATAATCAATCATAAAAAGTTAACAAAAACATACTCTTTGGCAACTCTAACAGAAGGATTTTGTGATGATTCCGTTGTGGGAGAGGACGACGAGGCTTGCACATTCTTCTCATTTCTCGTTATCATTTGTTGATGATAATTTTGCAAATGATTATGATTGCTTGTCATCCGAGAGGTCATGGAGGCTTCCTTCTTGATCAATGAATGAGTTTTGAGAAGCTTATGACAGCTCTCCCAAAGCAACGATGAAGTTTTTCGCATTTTTAATATTCTGAAATTTGTTTTCTTGATGATTGTCAGATCTTGATATCTTTGGTGAGTTATATTGAACACAATTCATGCATTCAATCAAGAAAGATTTAAGCATTTTCTTCATCTTGGAACTCTTCATACTCGTCTTGGGCGTCCTGACTTTGATCAGTGGCTTTGTCCACTTGATTCAGTTTTGCAAGTTTTTCTCGTCGTCTCATTTCAGATCGAGAAATAAACTCCAAATCGGTGCATTCAAGCATCTTTTTGACGGTATTTAAATCTTTTTGAGATATTTTCACACATTGATCTTTGAGAAGGGAATGTAGACTAGTTTGTTCTTTCTTATTGATGATAAGCAAGTTGAGAATGAATGAAGGTTCATTGGAAAGAATAGATCTTGCAACGGTGGTAAAATTTTTCATAGGAATATCTTCATAGCCCACATTGGGAAAATCTTTTTCTAATTCTTGTTGAATGGCGTGTGTGTAATTTTGTATCTTTTCAACATAGTTATTAAAATAATTAATGAGTTTGTCATTGAAATCTCGTAAACGAACTCTGTCCTCTTCGCTCCTTACAAATCCAATAATATCGTCTACCTTAGATTCCAGTACATAATTCCACATGGCTGCTTCTTTGAGCTCTCCCTTAGAAAATTTCACAATATATCTAATATCAACAAGCTGTAAAGAACTTACCTTACTAATGAATGCATTTGTTTTGTGAATATCAGAATACCACATAGACTTAACTTTAAACATCCATCCACTATTCAATACTAATACATAGCCTTCAATCCCTCTTTCATTTCTAATTGCTTTCAATAGTTCCTCAATATCGCCATTGGAAGCTGCTGTTAGGACTTTCTGATTGGAACATTCTTTAACACATTCAATGTCATAAAAATCAGCGCTTTCTTTGACTTGTTGGTAGGGGAGAAAATTACCATTCACAGTATGTCGAATTGCTAAAAGAGATAGGAATGGCTTGTCTCCATAATCAATCACAATTTTGTGATCTTTTGAGAAAAACTCAAAAAGAGGAGTGTACCCTCTGTTCATCCAATAAATACAAAATCTAATGAAGTTCTGAGTTGCAGGTGGTAATTTGAGGAATTGATCTTGCTGAACAATAGCTTCTTCATCAATTTTAAAAACTAAAAATTCCTCTTCTTCTGGTGAAAGTTCTTTTAACATCAACGGGAGTTGTGGTATATTTTTCAAATGATCGCGAAGAATTACCTTAATATCTTCTGTTTGGTTTGCATTGTTATTTCTTTGTGAACACTCATCACCTAATTGATATATCAATTCTTCCATTCCAATCACAATAGAATTGGTGTGAGATAATTTGGTCCTCATTCTCACTTTGAATGAAGTGTACTCTCGTCTAGCATTTCCATGATCAATCAATGCTGTTGCATAATTGTTCTTTGAAAGTGAGACAATCGCATGTTCTTCATCGCTAGAGACACATCTCTCAATAATGGGTGAACACAAACTTCCATCCAACTTTTCCAGCAACACATATGGAGGATCTCCACCCTGATTGTGATGTTGTTCCAGAGCTTTCTTCAATAAATATTCAACTCTCTTCTTGGAAGATTCCTCAAACTCATCAATATTGAAAAATTTAGGCATGGTTCTGGACATAATTTTCTTTGTTTCATCATCAAAGGCTAAACCTCGGACTTCTCTCCGCAACATTCTTCGATGATACTCATTCGGATTCTTTGAAAATAATTCTTGTAATTGATCAAATCCCGAATATTGAAATACGGGAGGAAATAATTTAGAGCTCACATTTTCATAGGATGCATAAATGAAAGGAGCTCGATGATTGATCGTGATACAATTTTCAACACCCTTGATATTTTCTTCAATTTGAGAGAGATGCGTGAGTTTGGGATAGTGTAGGATGTCCATGTCATGGAAGGATGGATGAATCGAGCAAGAGGAGGAAATCATTTTTTTTTGAACTAGTGCAAAACGTTGATAATTGTAACGAATAGTGCAAATTCAGAAACTCATCGACTAAGTATAGTGTTTCGCCATTGTCGCCTTTGAAGGTTGTTGTTTTGTGCATACCCTGAATACAGGATAAAGAAGTGAATCAGTGATTCCATTGTTTATTGGAAATTAAAATAGTAAGAAAAAAAATCTAATTAGTTTATTGTTAGCACCACTGGTGCTGGTAAATCCGTGAGGATTGGGGTTTGTTTTTGAATTGGTTTTTTAAACCTTGAGTTTTCATAATACTTGGTGTGACATTTACCAACTAGTAGGGTGAGAATTGTTTGGATTTCAGGCCAATTTTGGTAAATATTTGGTAAATTTTTAAAGTTGGGCATTTGAGTATCTCGAATCATTACTCCGTCATGATGAATAATGAAAACTTTCCTTCTTTCACAGTATCTTGATTCTTGATAATCGTTGAGGATACATTGCATTGATGTAATATCTAGGAATTTAGTGTAGAAAAAATCCCTAAAGCATTGAGTATTAGGGCAATAGTATATGAAATGTTTTAGAGTTCCGGGGCATTTACAGTGAGCGCATTGTCTTTCCTTATGTTGTTTGATATGGTTGCTTGTTAAGTTTCTCCAGATTGACCACTTAGTATTTGTGTCAATTTTAGATTTGATGAATTTTAGATTGATAGATGACCAGTTCTTGGTAAGGTGTAGACTGGAATTATCTCTATCAAATTGGCTAAACATTACATCATATCTTTTCTTTTGTATGGATTTTTTGATGTCGAAAATAATGGTATTAGATGTGGCAAGGATGGTTTGGTTCGAAAATAGCTTCTTAATGTCAAAATAGTTGTGCTCTTGAGCTCCTTTCTTAGCTAATTCGTCAGCTTTGATGTTTCCTTTGTTGACATGACCTTTAACTTTGATTAGTTGAATATTTAGATTGGATTGTTGAATGACCTGTTGATATTCATGCTTGAAGCAGTTAAAAATTCCGTTATAGGCTTTGTTTTTCAAAACGTGGATGGATATTTCACTATCTGTGTGAATTTTTGCCTTAGATTTAGGTGGAAGTATCTTTAGTGATGTGAGTATTGCTGATAATTCAGCAACGTTATGTGAGTATTCGCTGTTAATTTTGTATGAGAAATCTTGGGTTTCTTGGGAATTGTTAACTTTGGCGGTAAAGCCGAAACCTGTTGAGTTGTTGAGATTTGATCCGTCAGTGTAAATAGTAAAATTCTTTCCTTTGAGTTTTGGAAAGATTTCGTCATTGTTAAATTGTTGAGGTCTGATCTTGTATTTCTTCATTGATCTGTTCATTTCCTTAAAAATCGAATTTTCGTGTTTGATTCCTTCTGAATATACTTCTCTAAGAAGTTCATTATCATTGTTAATAAGATACAGGGCTGTTTTGATTCGAATTTCATCTGCAAAGATATCGAATCTTGGAATACCAAGTCCGCCATAGGTGATTGGGAGGTGAAAATAGTTTGTTGGACTAGCATTATGCATGAAAATTTTCTTTCTTATTGCTTTTCTTACTTCAATGTTAATTCTATCAACAAGTGATTCAGGAATGTAATTTGTTCGTAAAATGTGTGTAAATAAGCTAGTGCATTTGGCAAAAATTACTTTCTTAATGTTTGTTATCTCCATTCTTTTCAGTGGAATATATTTGAGTGAGAGTTGAAATTGGAGGATTCTTTTTCAATATCTTCATTTAAAGTAGAGTCATCCCAAGGATAGTGTCCAAGTACTCGAAGGTTTTTGAATCTTGGTATAATAGTACCGTCTATCATTGGCTTCATTTTGCTTTTAGTTGGGAGAGTGGTTGCCATGGATTTTGAAGGATTAATTTTTAGACTTAATTGGCCGAGCCATTTAGAGATATTATCAAGTCTTTCGTTATAATTGCAGTATCTGTTTGAAACTAAATTAATGTCATCAGCAAAGCAGAGCAAACCAATATCGTTAATATTAAGCTTGGTTGGTTTGATTGAAATTTTCCATTGTTGTATGCATTTGTCAATGATGAGTTGAGTAATACAATCATATATAAGAGGAGCTAAAGGGCATCCTTGTGGTATTCCTCTTGTTTTTGTGAATGGTCTAGAGAGATGGTGATCAATTTCTAGCTGTAATATTTGACTCTTGTATGAGTTTAGTATAAAAGTTTTCAACTCATCTGGAAACTTACAATGAGTGAGAGCTTTTTCAATGATATGATCTTCAACGGAATCATAGGCGCCTTCGATGTCTAAGTTTACCAAAAGGAATGACGACTTGTTCTTTTTGGCTAGAGATGAAAGTAATAATCCGTGATTCATTGTGTTTCTGTGTGAAATAAATGCTTGTTGCCTTAAGTTGATGTGTTTGGAAGCCCATTGTCTTAATTCGTATGCAATTATGTTGAAAAGTATTCTGTAATATATTGGGAGAATGGTTATGGGTCTAATATCATTTAGTTTTTGAATGTCTCTTTTAGGGAGTAATTTAACCCAACCAGATTTCCATTCTTCAGGGATATTACCTTGTTGAATGCAGTTTTCAAATTGGTCAGCAATAAGTTGTAGATGTTCGTCTTTGAGATTACGTATAATTTGGAAGGATATTGAGTCTAGACCGGGTGTGTTGGATTTCATTCTCGATATCGCCTCTTTAATTGTTTTAAGGCTTATTTGTGGTATTTTCGGTCCTTTCTTGACGGTTGATGGTGGATTTTCAAAGTCTGATGATTTGGATACTGAGGTAAATTTTGTTTCAAAATGATGCACAATTTCTTCTTCAGAGAATTGGATATTTTTCCAATCTATTGATTTTTCTTTTAGATGTTTGTCAAACTGGTAAATCATTGAGCTGTCATGTTTGTTGAAATTTTCACTTAGTTTTGCTTTGATATCAGCTCCAGTTTCCTTGTATAGTACTTTGATATTATTTCTTAGTTTTTCAATTTCCTCGATATTTTGACCTTTTCCTTGTGTTGCAAGATGGAGGAGTTCTATTTCTTTGGTTTTGATTTCTTTCTTATTGATTGTGTTAATGTATTTGAGATTGGTCTTATCGTCTTTGAAAGAAAATTTGTTAACCATTTCTGATATGTCTTTCTGAAGTGCATCAAATGAATCATAGTGTGATTCGTTCAATGTTGTTGAGATTTGATTCATATCTTTCCTAGAGATGAAGTTTCTCCAACAATAGTCTGTTTCGAGCTCAATGTCAATATAGAACGGTAGATGATCATTTTTGGATATTGGTGGCAAAATAACTTCTCTGATTATTCTGATGTTGTTAGAAACGAAGATATGATCAGGTCGTGATTTTGAACTGAGTTGATGACTTTTCTGACGTATGTGTAATTCTCTGGGATGATTAGTTCTTTGAGTTGGAAACACTCAATAAGTTCTTTCCATTCTTTTTCTCTCGAATTTTGTGGTTTCCTTGTGTTGATATTGAAATCTCCTAGCACAATGTTGAATTCATTTTCACATTTTAGTAGAAGGTGAATAATAATGTTGATTATTTCATCATCATCTTCACCATCAGATGAAGCATAAACCGTAATGATGTTAATAGGTTTGTTTCTAGAGAAAAACCTTGTCCATTGAAGTTTTCCTTGTATTAGATTTTCGTTGGATATGAATCGTTTTCTTTTGTTGTTAAGAATATGGAAGAGAGCTGTTCCCTTTTGAGCTTTTCTTGCTCCAAATAGTGAATTAAAGAAGATACTTCCATTCCCTTTGTTATAGGCTTCTTTTGATCTTCATATGTTTTTAAGTGTGTTTCAGTAATTGACATGATTTGGATGTTATGATTGTAGCACATCCCTTTGATTTCATTTGTCAATATTTCTTTTGTGGCTGTCTTTATGAGCCCGTTGCAGTTAAAACAGCCAATTTTCAAATTACATTTTGGTGACTTAATTGTTCTTATTTCCAAGAGGTTTATCACCTCTTCTAGGTTCTACTATATCTTCTTCTTCGTCATATTCCATTTCATCATCACTATTTTCATTTGGTTTTGGGTGATAAGATTCATTATCTTCATCTTCTACATCATCCTTGGATTCATGAATTAATTGATGGTACGGTTTTGTCAAATGTAATTCAATATTTTCCATTTTGGAAGCTATTTCGTTGAGTTTTTCAAAAATGGTCTGTATGGATTTTGTGTGGTCTGTTAGTGTATTGGTGATGTTTTGTATTTGTTTAGAATGTGATTCCAGTTTGATTGAGTTTTCAGTACATTCTACTTGAAGTGATTTGTGATTCTTTTCTAATGCTGAGAGGTCATTATTGAATTGGAAATTATTGGTTGCACCAGTCACTTCGTTTTCTTGTTGTTTTTGAATTTTTCTACCAAATATTTGGTTGTAGATATGAGTTTTTTTGAGGTTGGTTTTGTGCCATTTGGTGGAGTGATACTTGTTGGGAATTTTGTAATTTTTTCCAATTCTGCAACATTAGTTGCTTTGTAATTGGCTATATAATAATGCTCTCCAGGGCGATATGGGCTAGGTTTGTTAATAATCTCTAAGTGGTTTGATTGGAAGACACAGTTGCTTTTTTCCACCATCTTTTGTATCGCAGTTTTGATATCTTTCTCTGTGTAGAGGGATGAAAAATTGCAAGAGCAGTTAAGCTTAGATTCTGTTATGATCTGGTCAATGGATCGGTATTCAGAATATTTCCTTGCCATAAAATATTCTTTATCTTCAAGAGATTCAACTGCTATTCTGATTTTATAAAGCTTTTGGACTCTGTCATAACTGGTATTAGTTTCTTTAACTCCATTAGTTCTTTTCCAAAAATTTTTGATAATGTGTGTAGTATACTTCATCATCTCGTCATATGATGAAGTATGATATTTGAGGGTGTGTTCAGCTGGTGAGAAATTCATAGGAGTCACAACGTATTTGAATGGACTGGAGTCTCTTGTTGATTGTGAGTTTAAAATTCCCAAGGTTGATACATAATCTTCATGATTGTTACAGACAAGTTGGAGTACGTGCGTCTTGTCGTTAGGTATGTACCATGATGTAAGTTTTTCTTTGACTGCATCTGTAATAAATTCAGTGATGTCTGAGTCGATATGCTTACTGAGGTAAATAGATACACAGTGAGAATAGTTAATTGTTTTAGCTCTTTTAGCAGGAGGGTACATGGTTGTTGTTGTATTGTAGGATTTGATTTGCGGAGTTTTTTTTGTTGGATCAAATGTAATGTTCTTGGCTGTCTTGGCTATTTGCAAGTATGACGATTGCGATTCATTCAGGTTGAAGCTGGTGTTGATAGGTGGGCTCTTAGATTGAAGCTGGGGTTGACTTTGGGGCTTTGAAGTTGTTTCAATTGGTTTGATGAGGTTTGTGCTTGTTTCAATTGGTTTGGTGAGGTTTGTGTTGGTGATGAAGTTTGTTGTCTTATTTTGATTGTTGATTTTCGATTTGTTTGTTGGATGTGTAATATTTTTGATTTTAGATATTTGGTTTGATGGTCCATCAGTTCGATAAGGATGTGCAGGGGATGGAGTTTGTTCTATGAGTGTTGTTTTTGGAGGAAGAGGTTGTTTAGGTTTAATTGGTTGGTTGCTGTCGGAGACTAATTTAACTGACTTTACCTTTTGTTTCCGATTATTGATGTGGTTAGATAATCCGTCCAATGTTTTTGAGAAATTCTCAATATGTTTAAAGATGATTCCGAAAGCTTCTGAGTGGGTCATCAATGTTTGGTTGATACTATTCATTACAACGTCTTCGTTTGTGTTCATTTTTTTTGCGTCGTAGTAAGAAAAAAAATGACTTCGCTCAACTTGGATAGCCTTCCTCCTTCCATCATGATGGCTGAAAGTCAACTCTTGGATCAAACGCCCCGATCTGCTGTTTCAAATCAATCATTTAGTAAGAAGAACAATTCAAGCAAAACATCAACCTTACCCGATAGCATTGATTTCGGAGTAGAACCAACCTCCGAAATTATTTTATCTGATGATGATTCCAATCATCACAACAACAACAATACGACGAAAAAGAGTGGCAAAAATGTAGAGGATGATGAAATGGAATTTCGATTTTCTCAATACCAAGATGATGACGACGAGGACCAACAGGAAAATACCACTTCCGATCAAGACCAACAACAAAATAATCAACTCTCACCTTCTTTGATCCCATCTTCTCAAGAGAGTAGTCCCAGTGTTAAACTAAGCTCTTCATCAAGCAAAAAGAAATCTAAAAAGAAAATAACTAACGATTACCCTTCCACACAAGAGCAAGCTGAATCGGATGATAATAATGAGTCACCAAAAACTAAAGAAACAACACCTAATTTTTCATTATCTGATAACGACAACATGGACTCTAAAAAGTATTCCCTTCGAAAAACTCCTGTTAGAAAATATCAAGAAACCAAACGTAAAAAACATCAATTGAAAAAACAAAAACAAGCAGTTCAAACAAGTGACGATGACTCAGTAGTTGAAAATGCCATGGACTCAAGCGATGGAATTCCTGATGAGGATATTGAGATAATGGAAGCAAACGCAAAGAAAAGAGAAGAAACAGAAGAGGAGCGCCAACAACGACTAGAATTGGAAAAACAGAAAAAACAAGAAGAACTGAAGCAAAGAAAAAAGAGATTAGAAGCATTATCAAATTCTGTTGGAAAGAAAAAAAAACATAAGCCTATATACATTTCTGACGATGAGGAAGACATTTCAGTGTTAGGAAGTAGTAGCGTAAAGCGTAAAGGCCTATTTGATGAGGAGGAGCTTTTCTCTCAGCCCTCTTCTCAAGAAGAGGAAGCAACTACGACTTTTTCTCCAAGGAAAAGACTAAAGAAAAGAAAGAATCGCCTCCCTCTTCGCCTTTGCAATTTGATGCTGAAGATGACGATAGTGACCAACTTAATGATCTCGAAAGAGAAGTCACCAAGTACAATCCACTCTTGTCAAAGAACAAGAAGAAACCTCTTAAATTTAGAACCGAAAAACAACCAAGTTCAAGAAAATCAAAAAAGAAGGAGCAAGAAGAAGACGAAGAAGAAATTGAAGATTCAGAATCTCAACCAGGAATGATGCCAATGAGCCAGTTTATTGTCAGTGACGATGAAATGGTGGAAGAGGACGACGATGACGATCGAGATGGGAGCGAGCAACAAGAAAGCAACTACTCAAGAAGTGTTTACAGACAAGTTGACATGATGCAAAATAATCAAGATTCACAAGAAATACTATCATTTTTAACCGGAGAAACTCGCATGACCACAGATTTGAAATCTTCTTTTACCACTTACATACACTTTTTAACCAGTCATTTATTAGATGAAGACTTTATCAAATCGCTAACGTCAATCAAGCATAGAGCTCAGTTCGTAAGTGCTGTCAAAATGGTTGAAGGAAAATTGGCAACCATGAAAGATAGCTTACTCTTTAGTTCGGCTTGGAAAAAAAGACACAAATATTTGCTTCAGTACTATCCTATTATTAAGACACGAGAAATTTCATTGAAAGATACAGAAATTAAGGAAAATAATAACTTTTGCCAAGCATGTGGACGTAAAAACCATCACGCAGAATATTGCTTAATCTTCAAACCTCCTAGAGCTACGATAAAATACGAATTTAATTCAGGAGCCAATATTGAATGGATTGACTCGCCTAACGAAGATGAAGAAGATGATCTTATTCAATTATCCCAAAGAAGAGCAACATCCAAGAAATCCAAACCTCATTTTCTCACTCAAAAAGAGAAGAGCTTTGTTGGATCTACTTGCTACAAAAGATCCTTACTTTATCACAGTTTCCAACACTACAAGTTTCATCTCATTCAACACATTATTTCAAAAATTGACAAAATAGCAGAAAGTTACACCGGCGAAGAAGAAATAACAAGTGACTATATTTTGGAAAAAATTTTATCAAAGAAGAGCTGGATTGATGGCATGTTTAGAAAGTACATCAAGCTCACGGAAGAAGCCGAAGCAAATTATGCCAATTCCAAAGAAACAGGTGTTATTGATATTGTAGATGAGTTGTTTGATGTTTACGATTCTGAGGAAGAAGTAAAGGATGATAATCTCTCGGATGGTGGAGATGGAGAAGGATTCATTGTTACAAACACGAGTGGTGGTTTGAGATTTAAGAGAAAGAAACCAAAGAGTGACAGTGAAGAATATGAAAATGATCCTAACTTGGTGCAAGACACTCAACAACAAGAAGAGCCAAACTCTAAACAAACAAAGATCGCAAAATCAAGTAGACAAGATGAAGAACATGGTGTTGTGTTCGACGTCGAGGACGACCCTCCTAAATCACCCTCCCTAGTCGGTGATAAGAAGACCTCAAAAAATTCCAAGAAGAAGGAGGAAGAAGATTTTTCAAAATTACTCGACGTTTCATCTGATGACGACATATTTGATATCACTATTTAATATGGATTTATATATATATTTTTGCATACGTATTTTCGCGATCTGCACTGATCCAATGGAATACAATTCATTATGGTTGAGGAATTTTCAAGACAATTTTTCCAACAGTTCTCTGAGTTTCAATGAGTTTGTGAGCCTGAGAGACATTTTCCAATGTCACCACGTGAGCAATTGGAATTTTAGTAGCAAGACCTTCCTTGTCAAGCCAATTCAAAATCTGTTCATAAGTAGTTCCATCCGTTGACATGGCTAAAAAGGAATAATTATTGGTACCAAACACAGAGTTTCCTTGTGAAGGCAATGCTCCCGCTATTGTCACAAAGACAGAACCTGGCGAATTCTTGAGAACATTAATTCCATAATAGTCATTATATCCTCCAATCGTACGTATCCAACACAATGTCAAATGTCTCAACCAAGCCCTTCAAACGTTTCTCCAATTGTTCCTTTCCTTCTGAATAATCCAAAACATCATCAGCACCCAATGATTTCACAAACGAAGAATTCTTTTGAGAAGCAATCGAGATCACCAACTCTGCTTTGAAATAATGTTTTGCTAGCAAAACTGCTGCAGCTCCAGTACCACCAGAGCCACCAATAATCAACACTTTTCTTCCCTTGAGTGATCCTTGTTCTCCAGATTTAGCAGTGTGGAATTTTTGGAATGATTGGAATGTCGTGAGAAATATCACACCGTTAGCAGCTCCTACTTGATGGTCCAATGCTCTTGGTTTGTGAGCTAGCTCATTTTCATGAAAGGCCACAAATTGTTGATAAGTGCCACTTGAAAAGGTTGGTCCACTCACTTCGTCACCAATTTTGAATTTAGTGACTTTGGAACCAATGTCTACAGCAGTACCACTGGTTGTGATGATTGAAGTTTCATTTGGAATATTATTCAATAATGGAAATTTAATCGTTCAATGATTATTATTGAATGATGATGATTATTCATTGAAAACTTACCATCTACTCCAAGAACATAAGGGTTGTCTTCACTTTGGGAACCTTTTCTGATCTTGTAGTCCACTGGATTAACAGAGACATACTGATTTCTCACCAACACTGAGTACTCTCCCAAGGATGGAATTGGATAATCATTCACAATTTCGAAACCAGTTTCTGGATCATTGTTGTAACTGCGAATAATTATTATTGATTTGATTGTTTTTGTTTTGTGTGACCATCGTGTGGTGAGCTTTTGAGCTTTTTATTGGTTGCGCAGAAATTGCGATCGTGAGTGGTTAGTCGGTCATGAAGTGAGCAGTAAAACTTCCCATACTACTGTCCATAGGAAGGAAAGATTGTGTTAAAATTAAATCCATTCGTTTGTGGAATTTTTGTAACACTTTTCGCGAAAAGTTATAGAATAAAAATTTCAACGAATGCGAGCAAGGAAGTTATAGAATAAAATTTTCAACGAATGCTTGTAACAAGAGAAGAATCTGAATTAACATATTTCATTACATTCTTTTTCATTTTGCATGTCACACTCATATTGGACTATTTGGAAATTCCAGGACTCAACCATTGCATACATGAAGGTTGATTGTACAACCACTTTCCAAAATCAGCCTTAGAAATTTTACACGAATGATCTCCGCTTTGTTTGACTTGTCCAAAGCACTTGTCAACAATATTTTCAATATCTGCTTGATCAATCATTTGCGAAGTTTCAGTGTTGGAAATTTGTGGTAAATTCAAGGTGGTGCGAACATCCCCTAATAATAAAAGACTCTTGTTAAAAAGACAGGACAGTAAATGAATCATTTCATGTCGCTCAATGAATCCATTTCCATCTTCATCATAGACAGAGAAAATAACTGTCAAGAGTGGGCATGCAGAATTCAGATAATGCAAACATTAAGAAAAAATCACAGACATAACTATTAGACAGAGTCAGAAAATACTTACAATCGACTTTTTCCTCAAATGAACCTTTTAGCAATACAGAAAGACCTGTCACAAATTCTCTAAAATCAATAGTTTCACTCTTGTCACTATCAAAAATTTCTATCATCGATGTCATGTTAAAATTTTGTAATAATCATGATGTTGATCACGTTGATATTAAAATATATTGCTCAATGAATGATCATCAACACACGTACTGTAATATCTTTCAAGAATTTCTGGCTTTTCAGAAAAATCAATGTTCAACAATTCAGAGAGAGCCTCACTGAACAATTCTCGAGTCATTCTTCCATTTTCTTGTCCCGAATTTTCAATTTGTGTGGAATATTTGGAGAAGAGATTGGCCAACTCTAATTTACCAACTAAATATATTTCACAAAACATTTCACATGTCAGATACCATTTTTAGAGTCATCATTGTCATATTCACACATTTTCACATGATAATTTTTACAATAAACGAACCATCCAACAATTGCAATCTTGTTGTATCATCATTCCATATCAACACTTACAACGTGATTTTTCTTGCAACTCTAAAATTGATTTCTCAACATTTGATCTCTCCTTCTTCTCCAATAACATTCGTGGACTAATTCTAATATTTGAGAAACGATCAATCACATCCAAAGAATCAAATCTCTGAATTTGCATTCGATTGGTTCTATCAATGCGTCGTCATCATCATCATTATATTTTTCCATATCAGGATTATTTCGATCGCAAAAGTAATATTATTTGAATTGGATGATGACGACAATCGTCGTCGTCGCTAACATTCTCTCTACCTACAATGATTTATTTAGAGATTTATGTGGTAATACTTTGTGGAACTTTTCTTCGTGCACAGGTTGTTGTTGTTCTGGAGGTGACGATGAGGCTGGATCCAATTCGGATGAATCATTATCATCCACCACCACAAGTTTGGGTTGTAAAGACATTTTTTCGTGTGAAAGACGTGTAGGGATGATTTTGGAAAATTCTTTGATTCGAAATGACCATCCCATTAAAAAAAACAGCAGAATGAACAATAAATTAATAATAAGTATCCAATGATCGGAATGGATTCATTAGAGTGACTGCTCAGGAGTTTCCTCTTCAAAAGCGCCATTCAAGGATGGATCTCTCACGATTTGTCTCTTAAAGGTTGGTTTGATAAATTCATTCAATTCCTTAGCATACATTTCATATCGAGAGGTCGATTGGAACATCCACTTGTCTTTCACTTGTCTGTTAAGATTGAGATCAATTTCAGCAACTAATAAACCATCACCCAAACGAGTCAACTCTGGTGATCGAGATGCGTCAGGAGCAGAAACATAGGAGCTTCCATAAAAGTGTCCAAAATCTTTGTGAGCTGGCTTTCCATCAGCACTCGTGAATTCATTAGGGAAATATTCAGTTCCAACTCTGTTAATGCTGGCAACAAAGTAACTGTTCGCAATGGCAGCATTTCTTCCTTCGATTGGCCACATTGGTTCAGATAAAGCACCCACAGTTGCACTGTTTTTCAAGAACGTCAAAGATTTGAAATAATTTGTGGATATTCCCGTCATAATTTGTGTGAAATGTGCACTAAAATTAACAATCATATTTGAACCATCCACCAAAACTTACCTTGGATTGAAAACAATTTCAGCACCATTCAATCCGTAGGATTGCCAGTTGAGTGGAATGTGACGACCATAACAAATATTGATACCAATTCTTCCGAATTGAGTCTCAAAGACAGGATGACCCAAATTACCCTCCAAGTAGTAGGTAGCTTCATTGAAGTCTCCTACACGTGGAATGTGATTCTTTCTGACCTTTCCAATGTAGTTACCTCTATTGCCAATAACAACGGCAGTGTTCCAGATGACATCATTGTGCTCTGAGTCTCTCTCCAAAATTGGGGAAACAATGACCATGTTATACTTTTTAGCAAGTCTTCTCAAGAATAGAGTACTTCTGCCAGTTTCTGCTTCCTCAGCAAATTCCATCCATGGCTGTTATATACGTGTAATCATCATCAAATAATTTGACAAGTGTCATGCACGAGATGATCAAAAATACAAAATTTCACATCATCATCCACACAAATTTCACATCACACAGTTCATTCAATCCATTCATTAAATTCAAATCAATCATCATGACCATATTAAAACCTACCTGTTTCTCTCTTGTACAAAATGCAAAAGGCATGGTCCATGCTTCTTGCAATCCAACCACATTCACTCCCATCAAAGCAGCAGCATCAATCATTCTCTCAATCTTCTCTTCAATTGCCTTGTATTGAACATCTACTGGTTCCGTCGTATTTGCTCCGATCGAATTTTGAATCAAACCCAATCTCACAATACGTGGAGGACGTGTTTGCTCTCTTGCTACATTATGAATCATGGAATAGGCTCTCACTTCAAACTTGTTCTTGACAGCAGAGGATCGGACTTGTTCAGGTATCGAGAGGCTCTTCCATTCATTTCCATACAAAATTCTACGCACTTGAGCAAAGGTCTGTTCGGGGAGATGAGTCTTGAGAGCATCATAGACCGTGGAGAGGCTTGTCATTCCCTGATCGTTGGATTTGATATGAGGATTTCCTTCTAGATCAATCATGACTTCTTCTGCCTTTACTATTCCTCCTCCGAATGAGGAAAATGATGAATGAGAGTGGATCATCATCATCAGAAAGGTTGTAGCGATCAAGGCGAACCACCACCAGCAGTAGTGTTGAAGATTCGGACGACGTTGAGACATTTTTTTTGTAAAGTGGAGGTCAAGATCCAAAGATATCACTAACAAGAATCGAAAGACTTCTCACAGTTCATCCAACCAAAGGTTGTAGCGGGAGAGTAGCCATATTCCTGGCCGGCATCCCGTCGATTTCCAATTCTTATTGTTTATCTTTCTAGTATTAATCAAAAGAAATACTTTCATGAATGGCTAAAATATACTGAGGTTGGAGACAACTTGGGAACCTGCAGTGCTGTAGCCTTTTTTGCCTATGTTGGAAGTTTGCGAAATTGAGCGTTTATTGTTGAGCATGCGATGTGAATTTATTACACAATATGAGCAGTGTGGATATATCAAGGAAGGCAAAATTCTTGCGCTTGTTTGAAATTTCTTCTAATGCATCGACGATTTTAAGCTGTTGTGAAGGGGGCTTTTGATTCAATTCCTTTGTGTCCGTATTATCATTTTTAATATTGTCATGACATGTTTTTGAAATTCATTCATTCGTTGGATGATGATGAGTGATCTTTTGAAAATGTTGAATAAATTAGTTGTTGTCATTATAATTTTGATGAAAATAATAGAGTTCTTTAATATTTTACTTTTTTGGAGCATAAATGATCGAATCGTAATGTCCAGGTCGAAACAACAATGAAATGCAAGCATTGAATCGTTCCATTCCCTTCAACAACAACAACGATTCAAGTGTTTCTTCACTAGAATCCACACCACGTGAATCTTCTTGCACGGAAGAAGGATATTTCAAACAAACAAGTCTCTCCTGTGAATTACTGACATGATAAATATTCAATTGAAAACAAAAATTCACTTCACATGCTTTCATCCAATCTCTCAACACAGAGGTTAAGGAATTCATTTGAATCTCTTCAGCCTCTACACCCATGGGAAGAACTTCTTTCAATACATAATCATGAATGAGAGTGGGAATGAATTTTCCAGAGTCCATACTTTGAACTTGGAAATACAAATCGAGTGAATGATTTTCTTGAAAGACATAACTTGCGGTTATATATCGAAGCAGAAGGACCATTCCGTTTGAAAAGTCATCGTGATTCATGAGTGAAACGAGTTGAGAAATGGGAGAAAAGTTTTCTAGAAAGTGTTCTGGATCTGTTTGTGTTAATTGTTGTAAAATGTTCCAATTTTTCATTTTGCGTCAAAAACCAAGAAGGAAATTTGAAATTGGAATTCTCATGTAGAAGAGTGAAATTTTTTCTAATAATTTGAAAGCGTTTTGAATGAAATGATTCCAAATTCTCATTCGAAAAGGTCTTTTCTCTCTCTCCTAAAACTTTCAGAAAGGAAAAGGCAAAAGCTCTGTAAAAGCAATTTCCGACTCCTCGAATCATTTGGAAAACAAAATCTTGTTTTTCAATAGTCGGAAATATCAGAGAGCTTTCTTGCAATGAAGTGATCAAAGATTGATCGGAAGAATCAGAGGATTGTGTTTCCTCCAATGGTTTGTTATCAGAAATTGAAGAATTTGAAAGATGATTCGATGCATTGAACAATTGTTCAGATTGTGTCACATTCCTATCTGAACTTTCATTTTCCTCCTTTCCATCTCCCTTTTGTGTGACATCAGTACCCTTGATTGTTGTCACCAAGGCTTCCTGAGAGGTCACTTCCATTGGAATCTTGTTTTCTTGATCCATCGAAAGAGTTGTTGGTGTAATCAAATATTCATTCACAACCTCAAAATCATCCGAAACATCCATCGAATCCACATTTGGATAATTGATAACTGAGGAATCGGAAGATCCATGACAACAAGAAGTGTCACAAGCAAAAGCGTCTACATTCACATGTTCCACTTTCAAAGTGTGTGAAATTCCCAAATTCTCATTCAAATGACCATTGATCAACAAATTCAAAGGAATGCTCTGTGGATGCTGTTCTTCATTATTCACAACTCCTTCACACATTGTTTTCTGTTTTTGAACTCCTTCTTCCACATGGTCATGATTTCCATCTTGATCTTTACTTCATTCCAAATTTGAACTCATTTCAACAATAGTTTCTTTTTTGGTTCCTTTTCATCCATGGAAGAAGAAGAAACTTGTTCCTTCCTTCTTCTTGAATGTATCTCCAATAAATAATCTTTCCAATTACATAGAGCAAGTTCCCACTGCGATTGGACATCTTCAATGATCAATTCTAAATTTTTTCGAATCCAAACATTTCCTTTATATTCTTGTTGAAGTTCATTCAATGATTTACTTTCTTGAATGAAAGGAATGGTTTTTGATTCTGTTTGTTTCTTCTCATGATGATGAAAAGGTGGTAATTCAAATTGGATGGAAGGAGGCGTCGATGTCAAAAGATTAATTTTGAATTTTTTTATGAGAATTCCGAACAGCGTGATTGCGAATTCAAAATTGGTCTTTGAGAATTCATCCTCAAAAAAATATTGAAAAACTGACAAATCAATCCTCATGCCAGAAGGAAAGAAAATGTCAAAGTATGCGCAACTGAAGCAATCACCACAATCATCGCAATCATCACATCTTACGGACAGCATACTCAACCTTTCTCGCGACAAAACCAAGTTCCAAAAGGAGGATCTGGCCTGCCACCTGTCACATCGACGAGTAGTTCTCCTTCTCATCGATGTTATTTTCTTGTTTGACAAATAACAACAAAGAAAGCTACGAATGTGTTGTTTGTTTTAATCCTTTCCTATTGGACCAATCTCCAGTGAGATCAGACAGGATCCTATCGACACCTTGTGTAAATCCATACTGTCAACAAAGTGTCTGTACTGATTGTATTTTCAAAAACATTGAACACGATATTAATAACAATCACTGTCATGAAATGAAATGTGTCAGTTGTCAAACGAGCTATGACAGCGAAAATGTTTTGGAATTTTTGAAAGGATTTTCACATGAAGTAGCAGATAAATATAACACTATTTTATTTTGGAAAGTACTTGAAAATAACAAAGGTTTTGTACGGTGTGCTCATGGATGTGGTTCGGGAGTGATTGCAGATGAACATGCCCAAATTGTGACATGTGACAAATGTCATAAAAAACATGCTTTGTGTGCAAAACAAAATGTCATGAAGGTCTAACTTGTGATGAAATGCAAGATTATGGCAGTTCCACAATTCAAAGAAAATCTTCAGATCTATACGACATCGAACAAGAATCAGACAATCCATTCTTGTTGGACCAAAACGAACGCAGAATTCTTGAAATATCTCAAGAAAAAAAGCGTTAGCTCTCATTCACCAGATTACTAAAGAATGTCCAAATTGTCATTTGAGATTTGAGAAGGTTGAGGAAGATTGTGATCATGTCAAGTGCGTTTGTAATTTTGAATTTTGTTGGTCTTGTGGTGCCGATCACAAATTGATTTTAGAAAAAGATAATTCGTACCATCGTCCAACTTGCCGTTTTCATACCAGAAATATCAACCAATAAATTGGATGAAATGCCTTCAAAAATGTTTTTGTTAATATTGTTTTCAATGTTTAGTCTTACAACAACTTCGATATGAGAATTCCCAACGTGAATTCAAGAACAGAACCAAAAAAATGTATCCATTTCCTCCCAACCAATACTACGGAAAACCTCCCACTGCATCATCCTCAGCCGTTCCTGTTTATCACAAGAACACCACATCTAATTCCACAAGCACAACTTTTCATTCATCACACAACTCAGGAGAGTGTTCGATTTGTGCTGATGAATATTCCATCTCTCCTTTTGTCATTCATCCATGTAGAACATGTACCAAACGTACGGTCTGTGACAATTGTCTTGTCAATTATTTGGATCAACGCATCAATAATAATCATTTTCGAGAAATTCGTTGCATCGATGAAAATTGTAACGCTGTCATGGATTCTTCACACATTCTCGAATATTTGCGTCAACTAGGAGGACACAGAAAGAATTCTCTTGTTGATCGTTATGATCGCTTCTTGCTGAATGCGTTTATGAGTACACAAGATGGGTTTATTTGGTGTGAACATAATTGTGGTGATGGGTTCATTCATTTTGAAAAAGAAAAGGCACCAATTGTCACTTGTAAAACATGTCACAGAAAAACATGTTAAATTCACAAAACTATTTGGCATGAAGGAATGACTTGTGCTGAATTTGATTCAGATCGAAATGGATATGCCAAAACTCAGAAACATCTTTTGGAGAATGCAAATACAATTTATCGATCATGTCCTGGATGTGGAGTGGTGATTGAAAAGAATGGAGGATGTGATCATATGAATTGTTCTCAATGTGGAAGGCGTTACAATTGGTCTCAATCATCGTACAAGCAAAAGTATTGAAAGCAGTTCTCTAATCTCAACATAATGTTTTGTAAATAAAAAGAATTCTATGAGAAAATTTTAATCCTCCAACTCTTCATTGTCCAACATCTCTTCATCAAGTTCGTTTGACAATTTGTCATCGTCTCCAACATCAATTTCAATAAAGTCTTCGTCCTTAATGTCGTACACTTCAACAATATCTTCAGAATACCATTCATTTGGTCTCAATACAGTGGTGCTCACATCTTTCTCGATCAAGAAATATTCCAACTGTTTCACCAAAACTGCCAACTCATGGATGTAGGTTCCCATTTTAGAATCTGCAACATTGTACAGCATTGCAATGCAAATATCTTTTTCGAATTCATTAGAAATTTCTTGCAACAAATTTTGCATTTTCATTGCAGGTTCACACGTTTCCAGAGGAACATATTCTGCAAAAATAGCTAATTGTTTTTTCGAAGATCTAATACTTGATTTAAGAATAAACTAATTCCCTGAAACTCCCATGCACTATCATTCAAATCAGCAATAGATTGGCTCGGAACTGGGTTTGTAAATGAGCACAAGGTGATAAGTGTTTGTCTCATGGAATCAATTTTACGTCTTACTCTTGGATAGTCATTGTATACTTGATACCAACGATGAATCATGTTAAAGAATTCTTCTGTACGCTTATTGAGCCAACTCTTCGGAATGTCCCAACCCGCTCTGGAGATTAGAGTGACAGGATGTACGTCTTTCTCATCTGTCACCAATTCCAGGGCCGTGTGGAGATTGAGGGAAGGATACTCCATTTGAATCTCATACAATAAACATTCTAAAAAGAATTTCCAAGCATTAGAGCTGTGTAATATTTTGACTTGTACCAATGAGTCTGAGGCAAAGGGGTTTTTAAATGGGGTGAAAGTTGTACTGTTTAAAGTATTGTTGTAGGTTTCAATTACATCATTTTCTTCTTCATCATCGTTACTTTTTTTCTGTTCAAGATTTGCCTTCGTATTGTATATGATGGATTCTGGAAGAGTGAGATATTTAAGGTTTGGAAACACTACAAAAAGAAGCTCAAACAACTTGGTCAAAGGGATGTTTCGAGAAATTTTCAATTTTCGAATTTCTAAGCTCTTAAGTTGCTTGAATGGAGACATATTCTGCTTAATTGAATCAGCTTTTTTGTGGAGTTGACGATATGTTAATGAAACCAATGTTAAACCAACAACGCAGTCAGGGATATTACATTGCAGTCCAGGAACGATGAGATGTGTCAGAGGCACCCGTTGAAAACTGCATTTATGAAGAAAATCAGTATCAGACCATAATTTCAAGGTTTTCAATTGCGACCAAATTTTGTTTGTAATCCCCTGATCGCTCTCAGACAATGTATTAAAAAATTCTAATGACTGGAGTGTTTTGGGAAACGTTGTAGAGTTGGGAAAGAAAATCTCAGAATTTAGAAAGGAAAGTCCAGTTAAATGTTGTGTTTTCAAAACTACTGGTTTCTCAACGTCTTGTAAGGTTTTACAACCCTCGAATGACAAGAACTTGATTCTACTTTGCATTCCAAGCAGCTCAATCAGAGATTTCTGAGAAATAAACATTTTGTGGAGTGTCACGTTTTCGAATTTCTCAGTTAAACTAAGCCCCTTGGTACACAGTTTCAAAATACGAGAGATGGTCAATTTTTTTTTGAATATAGTCGCACAATCGTTTCGATACATTTTACAAATTTCCAACAAGTCTCGCAACATGAATGTCATCAAACCCTCTGAATTCACATGAAATCCTGGTGATCGCATCCATAGACTTGCTATGGCCTCTTTTGATAAACATGCTCTGGCAATACTCTTGCAGCTTAACATTAAATTCACAAGAGAGGGCAACCAATACTGTTCAGGAATGTAGCTCCATATGATAGAAATTATATCCAAGACATAAAGAGGATGTTGATCTGCGTTGTGCTTTCTACGGAGGGGTCTATAATAGTATTCTTCTGGTGCGTTAGCACGTGCATGGCAATAGTAATAGTACTCATCATATAAATATCTGTCTCGTTCAAGAATAGAAACGATTATGGCATCGTTCAAGTTGTAATTCGCTTGATCACGTGGATGAGATGAGGTGGCGACATGATCACGATTGGGTAAATTGCTGCAAAGAGCAGGCTCACCACAACGATCACGTACAGAAAGTGTTCCTTGCATTTTTTTTAACTGTTTTGATTGATCGTGAATTCTCAAAAAATACTTAAATATTCGATTGTTCGATTTTTGGTAGTTCTATTTATGGAACCTTGAGCACTCGAAGTGAATTCACTTCTCTAATTCATTTCCTCAGTGACATCTTCAATGAGGGTAGTCGAAGACTGCATTTCGATGACATGTTGAATGGTTGTTGGAGAAATTTCTGCGTCATTACTACTATCTGACGACGACGACTGTTCTTGATCAAATAAGAATCGATGATACTCTTTTTCAGCAATAATTATGACCAATGAGTAGTATTGTTTTTAGTAATGATAAAAATATTAACAAATAATTTAAGTATCGTAGTATGATAAAAGCAAAATGAAATTTGAAATTAAAGCAAATCTTACCATGACAATACTTTTCCAAATATTCAATAAAAAAGCTTCCTCTAACTCTTCTTTTCCATCCATCTTTCTCATCACATATTTAAATCCATTTTAATTATCGAGTACTTGCATAGACACCTCCTCACATTCCAACACCAAATCTTTAGGCTTGGTTTTACTTCATTCAAATAATCCATCACGTATCGGAATAATTTTGATCCGTTGTATGGATTTGATGTTAATGAAATGGCAGATGTTGTTATCGGTGCATCATCATCCTTCCTAGATGAACACTCCGATGATGATGATGTTACGGAAGGAAATGATTGTTCTTCCTTTTCGGGCATTTTTTTAAAATTGAAAAAAAATTCAAAAATATTTTCCACCTCTCTTTTGAAAAACACGAAAGTAGTGAAATTGACAAAAAACTCACTCTTTCAAAAACCATCATCCCTTTCAGAATTGTGATTAAAATATCACTTCAAGGAAATCATTTTGACACTATTTATTCCTCAAACATTTCCTCCAAATCAAGATCTGAAAGAGTCTTCTCTTGTTGTTGTGAAGGCATAATTACTTGAGGTGTGAATTTGGGAGCTTCTGCACAAGCACAAGTCTTACATCCATTAAACTTTCTCACTCCAAATTTACAATGAGAAGTGTCACATGTCATCAAAGGACACTTGAAAGAGGGATATCGAGAAGCAGGAACTAAATGTTGCGTTGTTAAATTCATTTCTTGCTCGATCGGATCCTTGCATTCACAAGAGGAACAGCCACGTTGTTGACCCGTCAATTTACCTTCCTTGTAACCACTTGGACAATAGCGATGACAACGTGGACACAGGACGGATGCGATTGAGTGGCACGCATCCACATTTTCCATTGGGCAGTACATAGGCTCTTCCAATTGTACACTTTTTCTTGCATTCTTGCAATAACTGTTCCTTTGAATCTTTGATTGGAGGTTTGGCCACGACGTCAGAAGTTTTGGATTTTTCTGTCAAAGATAAAGGACCTTTCAAACAAGAACATTTTCGACATCCATTGAGGTCGGTTTCGTGTCCATGTGGACAGAACCTCATGCATGCATGTTTTGGACAGTTACCAAAGTTTGGTTTTCTGAATTGATAATTTTGTTGTTCCAACTGAGAATGAATCTTCTTCATCAAGGTTCCAGTCAAACGAAGTGCATGCTCTCTTGGATCACGACATCTGCAAGTGGGACATCCACGTTTGTCAATGACAAAGCCAGTGAATGGACAGGCACGATCTTTGCAATCTCTCAAAGGACAGTAAAGGCCTGTGACTGTGAGAGAATGGACAAAGGAAACAAACAAGAACAGACACAGAATGGCAACTGACAGTTGTTGTTGGACTCTTTGCATTTTTTTACGATAATATCTGCCTCGAGTTAGCAAAGGCTGATTTATTCGCTCATTTGCTTTTTGAGTGGTTGTAATCCACCGCATTATAATCCTTTAAATAATAATTGCAATAATAATCCCATTCAATTTTGGATGTGAAAAATTCCCACATTTCTTTATTTGGAAGGTTTTGTGAGGGATACATGGGTCGATGAATTTGACGTAATGGTCAATGTTGTGGTGGTTGAGGGTTTCATAATTTGATTCATGAGAATGACATATTCAAATGCTGCATCCCATCGATCTAATTCTTTTGTGAACTGTAACAAATATAGAAAACTCGTTTCTTGCAAACCACTTCCAAGCAAAATGGATAGTCTTTGTTACTGGTGAACTTTTCTTCAAGATTTTGTTTCACATATTCAATTTCATCGGTAGGCACAGTATTTTTCATCTTTTTCTTTTTCAAGCTCTTGTTGGATTTAATTTCGTAATAACCAAAATGTTCAATCGTTAACAGGAAGTATCGTTCGGTCCAACTTTTGCGTAATTTTCCTTGTTTCAATGCCATTCCATCACAAATAATAATTCCTTTTCTAATTTCTAAGGCGAAGGAAATCATTTTTGAGATGTGATCCAACGACAAGTTATATTGACCTGTGTATTGAGAGTAGGTCAGTAAACGACTCCAAATTTCAATTGCATTTTGGATGTGCTTGTCTGACTCTTTTCCGAACTTGGCTCTTGCCCAGAAGAAGTAAACTTCACCTAGAATGGCCATTGCAACCATGTGGAATGGTTTAGCTTCAAGTACCTTGTTGAGTGCCACGATCGATGATGTGAATAAATCATCAACTTCTTTCAAGAGTCGAACTCTATTTTCTGCTTGCATGGATTCATTAAGTGTTTCGGCTTCAGATTTTTGTTGCTTCTTCTTTTCATGGTTTTTTAAAGTATTTACAATGTGAGATTCACTCGATGATGTGATATTGGTTGTTTTTAAAGCTCCCATTTCAAAATATAATTGACTTTGGAACATGAGCATGTCAGTATTTGGATTAACCATGATAGAACAGGCCTTGTCAATCGCTTCTATTGCCTTTTCCATGAGTGACTCTCGTGTTAGTATGGTTCGAATATTAATATCACCGATTTTGTCTGAATAAATCAAACTATATCTCAGACGAAGATCATCTTTGTTATTTTCATCAAGAACCACTGTCTTTGAGGTTTGATCTGAGAGAATTTTTCTATTATTTTCTCGCAAGAGTTCTTTCTTATCATCAAGCATTCTGTGTTTAAATAATAAATCATGCCAAGAGAGTCCGCTTGTTAAAATCTCTGATCGAGAGCAATTTCTCATTGGCTCTCCATCAATATTATCATACATGGACAGATAATCATTGCAAGCTAAAATTGAGGCGGAAGGAATCAGTAATAAAGCATATTCATAAATAGAATTTGAAAGTCTGAAAAATAAATGAGGATTCACATTATGTTCCACACAAAATATTTCAGCTTTTCTCATTTCCACATTGCATACACTTTCCCAGAGGGAGACACATCCTTTACAGAGCTTTTCACTTTCACTCGCAACATTATTTTGTAAAATAGATTGAGCATGTCTTGGTATTGCCTTGTTCTGTTCTGCATTTAAACGTGATTCTAATTTTTGAAACTCGGAATAATTTAAAGTTAAGGTTCCAACAGAGTTCACTGCTGTCAATGTGGATTCGTAATCAAAATTGGATAACATAGTGTCACTGGATGAGCTATTTTCACCAGAATAGATCGTTGAATGTTCTCGTTTTCTTCTCACCCAGTATAATAACAAAACTGCATATTTGTAGAGACATTGGTGATGAAGAGGGCAATAGACATAATTAATGAATGATCCATTTCTTCCATCTTGGTCACATCTTACAAATTTGGAATTAATACAACAAACATCATCTTTGTCCTTGTCAATGGTTGATAAAATCTTTTCTATACAAATCTTGATACATGTATTATACTTTTCTTGAGCTTGTGAACAGAGAGCTGCCCAACGTTGTTTTCGTCGGACAGACCACTGAGTGAGAACATCTCCAAAATACATGTACATGTAAGCTCTTTTTGATTCTTGTGAAATATCTACCACGACAGGTTCATTCTCCTTCTCATCAACCACAGGTGTTTTCTTTTTTGGTTTTTGTGTGGACTTTTCAAACAGCTTAATAGCAGAATCCATGTGAAGACAAATATCTTGAAACATGTTTTCAATTTGTTGTTGAGCTTGTTGAGCTGCTTTTTGTGAAGAACTTGTTGGAGAAGTCATTCCTCCTCTGGGACTTGGACTTGAACATTTCGATGAAAAACTTGCCCGAACTGGAGAATCTAAAGAAACTGCCATTACATTGTCCAATGAACCTAAGGAATATCCAGTACCAATGGTAAGATTTGGAGCTGAAAGTGGTTCACTTGGAGACATGTTATTTCCTGTCACAACTTGTGAATCAGTAATCTTAATTGGTGGAGAAATGGAAGAAGCAGCATTATTTTGTAATGGACTGTTCATTCCAACATTGCTACTACTACCACCATTATTTGACATATTGGAAGACATTTGAGAACTTTCTCTTTCCAATTCATCCAATCTTGGAAATGACAATTCATATAAAATTCTTGCCAATAATAAATGTAAATCTGATTTTAACATTAAATCCAGTGAATATTCTCGACTCAATTCACAACATGTAATTGCATTTCTCAACTTGTATTCTGCCTTATTGAGTAAATGAATGACATGTCCAGATTGACTTGACAAGTTTTTAGTGGAGCATACCATCAATGTGGCATAACCAAAAACGAGAGCTTTCAAAGGAGATTCTGAATTCGATGCTGACATATTCAGAGTTGTTCCCAATGTATTGGAATTAAAGGATAAGATTGAAGTTGACACTATTGGAGTGACTTCGTGTTGTTGTTGTTGATTCCATTCATTGATTTGATCTAAAATTTCTTGTGCATAAATTCCTCTCTTTTGATTGTCAATTCCCATAAACGGCGATGAATAATTGATGAGAGAAAAAACAGCATCTGTTGGACCAGATTTTGCTGGTGATGACATCGACGATCGTAACGAAGAGGAAAGAAGAGAATGTCGTGAATTTGATGACAAGTGAATGGATTCATTAATTTTGGAATGATGATTGTAAGAAGGAGATGAAGAAAAAGAATTCAATTTGGAATTTGGTTTGTGGTTGGATGATGATAATAATAATACTGATGATGATGAATTGAAAGAATTGGAAAAAGAAGGATTTTGATGATTCAACAAGGAAGAAGAATTGGAAGAATTGAAGGAATCGTTCAGTTGTTGTTGTTGTTGTTGTTCCAAATGATGATCCATTCGAGAACATTCAATAAACGTCGGAGGTTCATCGATATTCTCGAGTCGTAATTTGAAATCTAAAAGAAGTGTGGAAATATTTGAAGGATTCATTCCATGAATGGAACTATTATTCGAGGATCCAGTAGATGATGATGAAGAAGGTGTTGCTGATCCGCGAGGAGAAGGCGTCGATGAGATGGTGGTGGTTGTGGTCGTCGAGGAAGACAAGGAGACCAAAGACGAAGACGCGGATGACATTTTTTGGTTTTTTGATGCGAGTCAATGACGATGATGAAAGGAAATGGTTCTTGGCAAAGTGTGTTCGTCCTTAATCATATTTGGAAGTTTTTCCTCTCTCAATCGCGATGTCAAGAGGAAAAAACTGGTATGTGGCATTTGAAAATCTGTGAAATCTCTATTTTATTGTCTCATCATGGTCTTTCCTATGGATTCGAGTGCCGACACTGAAGAAACAATTGAGCCTGTGTCAGAAAAAGACCTCTCTAGCTTTGTGATCAAACACACCAAACACACTTGTTGTTCAGATGGATTCAAGTACATGTAGTGAGATAGACCTCTTTCTCATTATGACCACTTCTTCCATGAAAAGTTCATTCCATTTCAAACTTGTAATCTAAATCAGGTCTTCTCTCTGAAATATCTCCTTCAAACTTGAGTAATTGTTTCTTAATGGCTGAAGGACTGTTGTCTAACGATTGATAGCGCTGATAAGCTCCCACTCGCAAATCGTCAGAAACTGCAGGTGGTTCATATTGATCATTTCTAGGTTTGAGAAGATTAGCAGAAGGTCTTTGTTGATCGTATCTACTTTGAATACTTTTTGTCGATTCTGTGACATTTGGCTTTTGTGAAATCAACGTTGAAGAAGAAGGAATGGCCATCTCTGACTGCTGTAAACTCCTCAATTGTTCTTGTTCAAATTCTTTCAACTGTCTTCCCACAAGTTTCAAATGAGATCTTCGCATTGCTTGATATTCAATGGGTAATGGATTTCTCTTGTCAGCATCGAGTGATTTTAACATGGTGCTTTTATCAGCAGACGGAGCTGCCATCACCAATGGAGAACGACCTGTAGGAACATTGGTAAATAATTCTTCAGTTCCTTCTGCATAGAATCGATTGTAAGGTCGCCATCCTACATATGAAGATGATCGATGTTTGAATGCACCACCACCATTATTGTCATTCTCGTCCTCGTCGCCATCTATTCCTCGAACTGCTTTATCAATTTCATCACTCAAATACATGGCACTTCGTAAAACTCTTAAATCAGTCACTTTGCCTCCAGTGTCTCTGAAAAAGTCTTCGAGAGCTCTCTTTTGCTTTTCCTTGCTTGAAATTCTTTTTTTTGCTTTTTTGTTGTTCGAGAGTTTGAGCGGTGAGACTTTCTTTGAAAGTGAGTGCTGGTGCTCCAATAAAGACATGTTTGACAGGTTCCGAAAGAAGATGGCTTAGAAATCGATAGGAAAGTAGACTGACTAGATATGCGATCAGAGAGACCTGTGAAATGAATTAATATTAATTATAATACAAGTGTGTGTAAATTGGAATATCGGAATGGATTTATCAAATCGTGCGAAATAATAATTTTTAAAATTCAAAAGGAATTATTGTAAAAATTTTCCGATTACGTAGTGATCACCCAAAAACAAAAATCCAATAATATATAATTGATAATTTCATTTCAATATATTTTAATTTTGAATTTGTCATTTCTCTGCATGTTCTTCTGGATAGATTTCACCTACCAAAACAGCCATTTTTTTTCAAAATAAAAGTCAAATTTAATGAAATTTGAATAAATAGTGAATTTGTCTCTTGTGTGAAATGCATGGATCAAGTTGTTGTTTAGTCAGGTCACATTACTTATTCCTCAGAGACTTCATATTGAACATGAATACGCTCAACTTCTTCCAATTCCTTCATAATACTTTGGTTCATGTTGTAATCGTAGGGTCCAAAAACTCCCTTATTGGAAATTTCACCACTCAAAATTTTCTTGGTGGCAATGGCACATGGATAACCAACAGTCTTGGCCATTGCAAAACCTCTTTCATCTCCAAAATCAACCAATTTAGCAACAATTGTTCTCTTCTTTCCTTCTGCAGTTTCAATGACGAACTTATTGTACATGAAGAGCATGTCTTTTTTCTCCTTCTTTGTATTCCATCATTTCTAATAAGGTTTGAGAGAAGGTATCCAAAACATTTCCCTTAAATGGAGCAACCTTGTCACTGAATAAATCATAGAATTTGAATGCATGGAGAGCAGTCTTGGCCTTTTCAGAATTTGCATCCAAATTCAATTTTTTCAAAAGAGCACGTTCAAGTTCACTCTCTTCGGTGCTGTTTGCAGAAAGAAGTGTTTGTATAATTTCTCTCCATTGCTTGTCCTTAAATTCTGGTCTTGGAGTCAAATCAACAAGACCAGCACCAATAAAGAATTCAACAACCTCACAATTACCCTTATATCTCAAAGTTCCTCTCAACACATCATCAGCATATTTCAAATTGTAATGTTCCTTAAATGGAGTCGAGTCACGATTTGGATAACCTTCAAAGGTTGGGATCTTATCATCCAATTTCAATTCTCTTCTCGAAGACAACAATTTAGATGCCTCTACTTGTTGAAGTTGACCATGTTCATACCATTTGGCAGTATTTTGCAAAGCCATCAACACTCCTCTTGGAGACCAAGAGAATTTGTACTTCATTGGATTATCAATGTGATCAGGATGTGGCAAACCTCCACACCAACTATAAAAACTCTTAATCTTTCCACCCTTCAAATCTTGTTCTTCATGAACAATCTTGGTGGCAATCATGTGATCTATACCAGGATCAACACCAATTTCATTCATACAGGCCAATCCCAAATCCTTAAATTGCTGATCCAATTCCCGTAAAGCAGGTGAAATGTAGGAAGTTGTGACCATATTCTTTTGATGTTGCAAACAAGCTTTAGCCACCAAGACATGATACGAATAGGGAACCAATGAAATGGCCAAATCGTGTTGAGAGACCAACTCGGAGAGTTTATCCTGTTCATTCTCAATATCGAGAGCAACCTGAGCAGTACGAATGGAAGGCTCATGAGCATACTGTTCGCACATTTCCTTGGCTTTGGCTAATGTACGGGAAGCCACAGTAACGAAAATGTTCAAGCCATCACGAGTGAGGCTTTCCAATGTGGTGCCAGCAACAAAGCCGGAGCCAAGTAATAGAACTCGATGTTGGAAGGTGGACATGATGATGATTGAAAGAAACTGGATGATGAACAATTTAATTAAGAGAAATGATAGTATGAGTGAAAATGTAAATAATATTAATAGTTATAATAATAATTCAAAGTAGCAGCCACCAAATAATTCAATTGAAATTGATCAATCATGAATTGTATAAATCAATATTGAATATACGTTTCAGTAATCCATCCCGTAAAGAGTTCCACACACACGAAACAAAATTTGATCCGTTTGAAAATTTAAATTCATCACACCCAGTGAGGAGTGAATGAACGAACGTTCGTTCATCACCACCAAGGGTATACATTCAATAAGAACGACGTACTATTTGTTTAACAAACTCTTGATTTTTTCAGAAAGTTTGCAGGTCATTGACGTGTCTTGTGTCTCGACAATGCGTTCTCCTTCTCTCGGAGTTTTTTCAAAAAGCTCAATAAGGAAGCATCGACTTTTGGAACAGCAAAGCTTAAAGCCATGTCAGTCCTTTGTTATCATGCAGGAATTAAGGGAATAGAAATTAAATGGATGGTTCATGAGGTACACTTTTGATCTCTCTCAATAGAATAATAAAACTTAATACAACAATTAAAAAAATATTTATTTCGAGTGATGGTTCAACCATGACGATTACCATCACATCAACCACTTCAAATGAAAAGTCAACAACAACAGTCATGGAAAATTGTTCGGAATCATCAAAGATTGTAGTCATGCGATCGAGTGAGCAAAATGATCATCATGAACATCTTGTTTTGGAAAAACGTCATGAACAACAAGAACAAAATTCAAGAGAAAATAATCATGTTTCTAACGCTTTTACTTTTGTATCGATTACTTTTGTTTTTCTTTTACTAATTATAGCAATTTGTAACGACTTATTTCCGAAAGAATCTTCAACAAACACTGACAAACTCACGATCGCTTCAATGCTTTTAGAAAAAGGAAATATTGCATTTCAAAATATGGAGTATGAACATGCAATCACATGTTACTCAAACGCGATTGAATTGACTCCAAATTTAGCTGATGCTTGGAGTCAAAGAGGACTTGCTTATCTTAAAGCTCAATCATATGCTCAAGCATTAAATGATTTTAATCATGCTCTTAAATTAGATTCAATACACGCAAACACTCAAAATTGTATGGGAGTATTACATTATTATGGTTATGGAGTTGTCACAATCAATTATGAGATTGCTTTTTCATGGTTTGAAAAAGCTGCCAAACAAGGACATGCAAAAGCTCAACATAATGTTGGCCTATTATATTATTATGGATGTGGAACTCCAGAAACCTACACGAAAGCAATTGAATGGTTCAAAAAGTCAGCCAACCAAGGAAATCCTAACTCTCAATATTATCTTGGACACATCTTTGAGAAAGGTAATCCTACCGCATTCTTCAGATTCTTTGACTATTTGAGAGACCATTCAAAAGCGCTTAAATGGTATGAAAAAGCAGCAAATCAAGGTCACCATGAAGCTCGTTATTCAGTCGGTCATTTGTATTATAGAAATCAAAATTACACAATGGCACTTGAATGGTTAACAAAAGCAGCAAATCACAATCACTCACAAGCTCAGTACATGTTAGGAACCATGTACTATAATGGAGATGGAGTGACACAAAATTACACAATTGCTTTTGATTGGTTTTTCAAGAGTGCCCAAAAAGGTAATGCTGAAGCTCAATTAATGATTGGAAATATGTTTTATAATGGAGAAGGAACGAAGCCAAGTTATGTAAAATCGTTCCTATGGTTCAAAAAAAGCGCAGAACAAGGAAATTCAGAGGCTCAATTGAACCTGGGATTTATGTACTTCCATGGATTTGGAGTGCGAATGGATTTCATAGAGGCCTACAAATGGATTAAATCTGCAGCAGACCAGGCCAATCTTAAGGCATTATTGCTTATTCCAGGCCAAATTGATCTGACCAAAGTTGGTAAAAAGCTGTGGAGCAATGAAGGGAGTAGCAAAAAGAAGCCCTATGTCATGCTGTAACTGTGACAGTACGCTTGTAAGCATTTCATAGTGTGAGACGAACACGAATTGAGCGAGCAATCAAGACTGTGACAGCAGGAGTCCACAGACAAACATGGTATTTCGAAGAGAGTTGATCCACGGCACCAAAGGAAGTTGAAAAATTTTAACCAAACATATGGACCAGAATTCATCTCGAAATCTCGAAGAGATTATTAGTCAATCAAAAAGATATTCTTCAATCTTTTCATTCGAGAGAAGATTATTTCAACTTGTTCAAGAATCACCGTATGCATCAGACATAGATTTCTCAACGTGTGAATTCTATTCAATAAGGAAGCATTCTTACTTTACTATTTTCCTAAAATAGATGATGGACAATGGATAACACACTCGTTCAGGTTCACCAATATCATTTCAAAGTTCAGAACTGAACCAACTCTCCGTTATGAACTTTTACTGTTTTAGAGAATTGCCTTTTTGATAGGGTGAAATTGCCTTAAATACTTAGACTCTGCATTCACTCCTTCAATCAACAAACAAAAAATCAACAATGGATTTCAAAACAAATAGTAGAAACTGTAGCATTTCAAGTGCTTCTCGTCATTTCCTCTTGTGCGTTCTTGTGATTTTGGCATCTCTCGTCCTCGCTGTCCACTGTCGAAACGATTCCATAAATCAGCAAAAGACTGAGAATGTTGTCACTCCTCGTTTCACCTTTGTGTTGCCTAAATGCAGAAAATTCCGTTGTCGTAGATATTGTCGACAAGGATTCTTGTTGGATCGTTGTGGATGCCAAAAAGTTTGTTTATGCAGACGTCATCCTTGTCGTCATTTCTCTTGTCGTAAACGCTGCAAATTCGGTTTCAAGAGAGACAAATTTGGATGTCCTGTGTGTTTGTGTCAAGGAAGAAGATGTAAATCTAACCTTGTTGTGGGTTATAAAGTTGTAAAGTTGTAATTCCAAATAGAAGGATTTGATATAAATTAATTTCACTTTTCACAAAGTCGAAAAGCAAAGATTTCACTAATTGAGAGATTAATTTGTACTGTTTTTTATAAATTACAATCAATTGTTTTTACTTGTTCGTGTCTTGAAATGCAGCCAAATCACTCTCTGCATTTTGTTTTCCACATGAATTAAATAATCCTCCAAAACCTCTCTTTGATTTTTGTGAACTTTCATTCTTGGAATTTTTCACAGGTTCTTCTTCAATCATTTCTTCGTGATCAAATTCTCCATTTCGATCCTTTCTCACTGTTCTCACAAGTGCATGGAATGCATTTTCAATATTAATATTGGCTTTGGCAGAGGTTTCAAAGAATTTAGTTTTGGCAAATTGTTTAGCGAATTCTTCTCCTTCCTTATAAGTGACAGCTCGTTCATTCGAGAGATCACATTTATTTCCAAGAAAGACGACTGGAATTCCTTCTTCTCCGACATCACGTGATCGTAACAATTGACTGTAAATATCTTGAACTTCTTGGAAAGAGGAAGCATCGGTCACAGAATAGACAAGAACAAATCCATCACCTTCTCTCATGTATTGATCTCTCATGGCAGTAAATTCTGTAAAATGTGTGAAATGTGAATGGTTATTATTGTGTCAATGGTTATTATTATTATTTGTGAATGATTATTATTGTGTCAATGGTGACAATAGGATTTGTGTGAATGATTTTAATATTTTGAAATGCAATTCTTATTACAAACCTTCTTGTCCTGCTGTATCAAGTAAATTAATTTTAACAGGTCGAGAATCGACGGAACATTGTTTGGTGTAGGCATCTTCGATGGTTGGATTGTACGAGTCGCGATATTCACCTTTGATGAATTGGATGGTAATGGATGATTTTCCGACAGCTCCTGTGCCGAGCATGACAAATTTCATTTCGTCTCGCTCCGAGAGTTCGATGGTGGATGAAGAGGCCATGATGATGATGTTGTTGTCAATGTTGATAGTTAGGTTTGTTTGGAAATTTTTTTTGGTTGTATTGAAAATGTTCAGTTGGTTGATTAGTGACAGCCCTGTCCATAGTTCAAAGTTCGAGACGTACTTCTGACACCAAGTTCAGAGTGAACCATGTCCACTCTCTGAGAGAAAATCCAAAGCTCGAAACAACATGTCGTAACGGATGAGGAATTTAAGAGCATCTTCATTGGATTCAAACTATGGATTCGTGTATTAATCTGAATCCGATTTTAGAAGCATGATCTCACGTGAGAGGATCCCAACGCGTTGATGGCATGATTTTCATTGATGCAAATGGAAATATGATGATTGACCCCTTTGATGTGTTATGATAACATTCAACCTCATCCATAAAACGTTCGAGAATGTGTTGGAGAGAGGATGATGAGATAGATTCGAGGAATTAACCGACAGTCGTTCACCTCCTCCTTCATCATCATGATCTACAACTAGGGGGATCTTAGGTCAAAAACAGATCAAGGGCATCTCTCTCCATAACAAGAACCGGTTATTCTTTGGGAGAGAGAATTTCTGAATTAAGTGGGCCCACTACAACTTGTATTGACTCGTAATGATGTTTGCTGTTTGTTCAATCATGATCCTCCAGTTATGAATATTTACAATGAACGATGAAGACTGAAGGATATCTCTTCATTTGTTTTTTTGGATAAATTCTTGACAAAATCATCTTCTCAAAGATTCATCCAGTAGTGATCAGCATTTTGGCATACAATGATAGAAACATTCAGGTAAAAAACAAAACACATCATCTGTGGCTTCCTTCAAGATCATCATCATCAACATCATTGACTGATTCAACCTAACGTCAAAACGAAATGCTCAGTGAAATTGCAAGCTTTAATCAAAGCTACAAAAGTGCAGATGAGTCATGCGTTTCACGATCAAGTCAGCCCTCAGTGACAAGAGAGTTCAACAGCTATTTGACAACAAGCATACATTCTCTACAGATTAATACACCACGATTAGGATGGAGATGGTATATTGGAACATTAATACCACAAATTATTTATTTGTGGTGCGTCATAATGATGCCAACAGCGAGGAATTATAATTGGGGCAGTGTTGGTTCTCTTATATTCGACGTTTTAAACTTTCCATTAACTTTTTTTGTTCACTGGTTGGGGTATACGGAAGGAACAGTAATTGTATGCTTAATATTTACGTTTGTTGGATTGTGCTATTTGGTTTGGATGATTTCATTATGGGCCATCAACAACGCTCATAACCATCTGTCAAAAGTCAAAGCAGTACTCTACGTGCTAGGAATAGTTTCTCAAACTCTCTCCTTTTTTTTCATTTATGCAATGGCTGGATTCTATGATTGCAGTAGGACCCACATTATTGTTGAAACTCTAGAATTAACGTTGAATAGGTTTCCATCGGTAGCTTGCAATGGATCACAAAACACTGTTTTGATGGCTCTCTCCATTGTCGCCACTTTATGCTTTTTCATTTTCGTTCTCTTCTCACGACTCATGACACAAGATTTGCATCCACTGAGTTTCACTCCTTTGGTTGCCTCACATCCATACCTTTTATTATTGCTTGATATCATTTCAATGGTTGGTCTTGTTGGAATGTTTGCCATTCCAATCGAATACTCGTATGCTGCTGTTGCCTTCAATACTCTTCTGTCCTTATTCTTTTTGTTGGCAACAGTGAAAAGCTGTCCCTTCTTTCGGCGGATTGATAACTCTTTAATGACTGGTGTGGCATGTGCAAGGTTAGGAGCTTGTGTAGGAACACTTGTGAATACAATTGTGAATCAAAAGAAAGATCTGTATTTAGGACTTGAATTAGGTGTTGTTTTAACATTGGGACTTGTAATTTGCGGATTCATTGCCGGCTTTTTTTTTTTTTTTTGCAACAGAGGCCTATTTATATTTCATCATAAAATCAGTGAGAAGTAGAATTTTGGAAGAAATTGAACTTCACATTGAAAATAGCCCTCAAGGAGCGTCGCTTTACAACGACAAGAAAGCAATTCTCACCGTTTTAGATAATAAGGCGTTGATAATCTTCCAAGAAATGATAGAAGAAAAGAAATTATCTTATTTACGTGACTTTTTCAAATTTTGTAACAAGTCATCATTTACAACGGTAGTCACAAGACAGGAAGGTGGTGACGTTGTACTCACTGAGAAGGATTTAGCAATGACTTTTTCAAAGTTATTCCTGTTAAGAAAATCGTCAGATATGGACCTACTCTATTTTGCTGCATTGCTGATGGGATATGATCACAGGAATGAGGGAAGTTTTAGTACCTCACAAGCAATCGATCTAATGAATCGAGTATCAAGAAACACCAAGAATTTTCTATTTCGAATGGTTGTTCACTATCGAATCAAGGAAATGCAGCATTACTCTTCAGAACATAATATTATTGAAGATGTGAACGATTCTGACTCGAAAGTACAAAGTGTGAAGCTTGCTCAAGAAACATTACTTAGTTTGCATAGAGACTTTTTCAAAGAAATGATCAGCGATCCTGTGAAGACGAGCAGTCTTGAAAAGATAACCAAAAAGATGACAGAGGTGACTAACGAGTGTGATCAATTGTTCAAAGAGCTCCTGGTGAACAAGAAGAATACCACATATATGAGAATGTATGCATCCTATGTAGAAAATTTACTGTTCGATAAGGAGCTGGCTCAAGCAATTAACATGGAGGCAAGTCAAATGGAGGAGGAACAACGCTTAGCACAATATGTTTCCTTCCGTAAAAAGTCTCTCTCCCACCAACTTGTTCCAACGAATGATAATAACCAGTCATTCAATAAGAAATACAAATCCTTTGTAGAAAACAACCCTCAAAACATGTCCATGTATGAGCAAGATCACAACCAAGGCCAAGAAATGCTCGATAATTTAGAAAGCACAAGTTCCGTTGGATTTGAGTACGAACAGAAAAAGGATTATCTTTTTAGAAATGCATTGAAAACTAGAGTCTCTGATAGAACGATATTTTTCTCCTTTTTTTTCTATATCCTTTTGTGTATTGCTTTGATTATTGGAGGAATTGTTCTGCACATTATAGATAGTGCTCAAATCAAGAAAAATATTGTTAATTTGAGATATGTCTGCATGCCTCAAACCGCTCCACTCTCGATCATGAGAAATATCAGAAATATGCAAAACTTTATTAATGTTTTCCTGAATTATGGATACAATTGGCCTGCATACGATCATGAATTCCCTTTGCCAAGCAAAAAGGTAGGTAGAAGATCTTTCTTTGGACAGAGCATGAACAGAAATGTAATAACGAATTGTCATGCATGAACATAGGAATATGTGAATTATTTTTTTGAAAGACTCTCAAATGACAAGACCATTATGGATGAACTGATTGCATTGGGTCAGGCCATTCAATTTGATGCAGCTACTTATACGGAGTACGGAAAAAGCATGTACACGACCTACGTTCCTGGTTTTGAATCGATACCAGAATTGGGGAAAACATTTACAGGAACCCCACAGCCAAGAAATGTCTCTATTATTGAGATTACGAACTCTATTCTCAAATATACCCAGCAGATAATGAATGAAGATTTTCCATATCCATATCTAAATGATGCTGTTGACATGAACAGTCTCAATACAACACTTGCCAGAGAAGTTATTACCAAGATTATGAATTCTACATTTATGGAATCTTTTTCATCATTTAGTTTCATGTATTTGTGGATCAACAAAATTCACTTTAGTGAAATTTACAAAGGATTTTGTGATATATATGTCGAAAAATGCAAAGATTCTACCCAACACTTGATTTTACAGATCGAAATATACTTTTTTGTTACTTTGGGATTGAGCTTTGTGGTTGGATTTATCCTCGTGGTCATCATTTTCCAGAATCAAATGTATTTCAAAAGATTGGTGAAACTGCTCGAAAAACAAATGACAAAAGATATGATTGGAAAAATTTATCATACTCTCAGCAAGAAGACATGTGTTGAAGCGTCGCTGGACTCCACAGTTGTTTACAAAGCATTCAGATCAAAATATGCACCTATCGTGATAATTTGCTTGTTGTCCTTGCTCGTTCCCCTCTGTGTAGGGTTATTTTATTTGGAAACTTTGAATAATGCTAATAACGCCTTATTTACTTTTACTAACGTAGGGCTCTCTTCCAATGTTATTGGTCACATGCAAAGAAACTCGTTTTATTTAGGGGAATTATTCACCAATTTTGGCTTGAAGAACTTTGTTGACACCGGCAATGTTAAATATGGGAACAAATATTTGTCAGAATATGAAAGCATTGATCAATTGTACAAGTTGGTTCGATATGAGACTGATATGGTAGCTGCAAACTGGAATGAGCTAATTTATGGAGATGTTACCAAGCCCAATGATGATCCTGTCATAGGGTAAGTATAGCTCACAAACCTTTGCATATTACTAACGTTCACATCAATTTTATAGATTATATCCTTCTCTGGACAAGCTGCTGAAGAGTGGTGTTGCATCCAATTGTACAGAATATTTATCGTCACACAATATGACATTTAACTTGAACACAAATATTCAATACTGTTTAGGAATTGAGAAAGTAATGACCGATTACCTTACTGAATCTACTGAATTTTGTGAACGAACAAGAAATGTGTATCTCGCCCAACTCAACTCGTCCCAAAATTTGGATCCAACAGAAATATTTATGGAGCATAATTTTGTCAGCATGATTTCATATCCTCTCACTGACAAGCTTGTCATTTACATGAATGAATTTGTAAGAGTGTCTGGAGAGTTGTCACTTGTGATGTTACTTATTTTTAGCAGTTGTGGACTACTTTTGATCTTCATTTTTGGTAAAATTTTACATTCCATGCTCAAGAATGCCACAGATCATTATCAGCAGTCTAGAATGCTGCTGAATTATATTCCCATTGATTTTGTGGATCGAAATGAGATTCTTAGAAATCTAATACTTTATCATCAATTTCCTAATCCAATCTTGCAAAAGTTTTCAAATCGCAGAATACATCCAGGTAGCTCTGAAGACGAAGGCACAATCTTTAAGGGCGTTTCTAACATCATTAACTCTAACGTTGATGGATCAGCGATTATCAATGAACAGGGAGAGGTTGAGCTGTGCAATCCATCTGCATTGCGAATGTTTGGCCTCTCAAGTGTTGATATTTTAGGAAATTCGATATACAGCTTATTTTCTTCTGGAGAGTCTCAAACTCAAGTCAAGAAAGTAGTTGCCTCTCTCTTTGAACAAAGCAAACGATCAACGGATGGGTCAGCTCACGAAACATTCGAAGTTGAATGCGTGCGTAGGAATCAAAGCAAATTCCCAGCGAGACTCACACTGTTTACAACTCGTGTTTCACAAAGAGGAATTATCCTTGTGATTACCATCAAAGATATGACTTCAGAAAAGAAACAACAAACCTTGTTAAACGAGGAGAAGAAGAATTCGGAAAATTTACTAAAGAATATTTTACCTGAAGCGGTGGGAAATCGATTGAAACAAGGAGAGACGTTCATCGCAGAAAAGCTTGGAGATATTTCTTGTTTCTTTAGTGACATGTAAGTAAGAAGAGCTCTTCATTATTGTTTTATTCATAGCATTTTCTGTTTCTCTGTTTTCGTGTTTATATTTTTCACTTTGATGTTTCCGCTTGTTCATACTTATTAGGGTTGGGTTCACAAATTTCAGTTCTGGAATGCAGCCCACTGAATTGGTAAAGATGCTCAACATTATAGTGAATGGATTTGACACCTTGGTGGAGATGTATCACTTGGAAAAGATTAAAACCATTGGAGATGCCTATTTTGCAGTAGGAGGTTTGCATGGTGCAGCGTCGTCAGATCATCCTGAAAGAACACTACGCTTTGCAATGGACACTTTCAAAGTCATTCGAGATTTCAACGATGGCAAACATGGAATCACTTTAGAAGAAGGTCATTTGTTGAATATTAGAGTGGGCATCAATACTGGTCGTGCAGTTGCTGGTGTGATTGGGAAGATCAAATTTGCCTATGACCTGTGGGGAGACACCATCAATACAGCCTCTCGAATGGAATCGACAGGAGTTCCTGGTCGAATTCAAATTTCAAGATCGACCTATGAACGAGTGTACGATCTAGGTTATGAATTTGAAGAACGAATGGTGGAGGTGAAAGGTAAAGGTAAAATGCAAAGCTATCTGTTGAAGGCCAAGCATCACATCAATCCCTTACCAGAACACACCAACAACACCAACAACCCCAACAACAGTTACAGTAGTGGTGGTGATGATGATGACTCTCATTTCATCCAAAGTAATGAACATGATCAGAGTGAAAACAACAGTTGTGTCAACGTTAACAACCATAATCAAACAGAGTTGAGAGATGCAGAACAGAGTGCCATGACCAGCTCGTTAGAATTTAGTTCCGTGAGAGTTGTTCGGCACTGATTTCCCCTTGTCTATAAAGTTGTAAACATTCGCCCAATACGGAGAAATTCGAATATTTCCATATAAAGAACGGGAATTAAGAAAAACACTTTCAAAAAAAAATTTCCACATCAAGAGAGCGAAAGTTTTGCATCCTCTTCTCTCGAACATTTTGATCGGACACAACCCTCTTCTCTAGCCGAGCCTCTTCTCTCTCTTGAATCTTGTTATTATTGATCGACTCCACTATCAATCAATGGCACCCAACGACAATACTGCCCAGCATCGCCGTCTTCAGGTTCATTTGAATCACTTGATGGGGGCTTCCTCAAGTGTAAACCCTGAGGAAATGCTTCTTCACGATCAAACCTATGGAATTCAACGAAAATTGGAGAGAAATGATACCAGTGCCACTACATCATCCTCTCTTGTATTGGAACATAACTTTACAAAAGCAAGACAATACGGATCCAACGGAGTCGATGTTGAGACTTTAAAGGCTTTCTTGGATGGTAAATATGCTGATGTAAGTACTTATGAATCAATGCTGTTCATAGATGTATTATTTCTCTCATCATGATCATCCTTTGTTTTCCTCTCTTTTGAATTCACTTTATCTTGTTGAAACATTGACATGATCATCACAACAACAGACCAAGGAAAGAGTGAGACAAACATTGGCAAAAGGAAATTTCCCTCACTTCTTTGACTATGACACTTTGCATTACCAAGAAGCCCGTAGAGTGTTGATGGGATGGGCAAAAACCTTTGCCGATGAACTTCCATTTGATTTATTGAATACTCTCAGAAATGATTATGGAAGATTTGTTGCATGGTTTGAAGCATTTGGTCATTTCAACACTTCACTTTGTGTCAAGATGGCTGTTCAATACTCATTGTTTTGTGGTACCTTGGCAAACTTGGGTACAGATAGACATCACGAATTTGTTAAATTGGGCCAAAGACTTCAAGTATTGGGTTGCTTTGGTATGACAGAAAAAGGACACGGTTCAAATGTCCGAGGTATTGAAACAACTGCTACCTACGACCCAAAGACTCAAGAATTTATTATCAACACACCAAATCCAAAAGCAATGAAGACATGGATCGGAGGTGGACAATTTTGTCACTACTCTGTAGTTTTTGCTCAACTCATTTTGAATGGAGAAAGAAAGGGAGTTCATGTTTTCTTGGTTCCAATGCGTGACAGAAACACACAAAAGTTATTACCTGGAGTTTATGTTGAGGATGTTGAATACAAGTTAGGATTGAACGGAATTGACAATTATTCCTTCGGATTTAATAATGTTCGTATTCCTCGTACTAATCTCCTCAACAGATTCAGTGACGTGACTCCTGACGGTAAATATATCTGTAAATTCAAGACAGAATCACAACATTTTGGTGCCACCGTTGGAGAATTGAGTGGAGGTAGAGTCGTCATTGCAGGTCTTGGCTCTGCTTGTGTTAAATCCTGTCTTGCTATTGCTGTAAGATACGGCTTTACTAGAAAACAATTCGGACCACCAGGAAAGGGTGAAATTTCAATTATGGAATATCCATCTCACTACACTAGATTGATGCCTTTGGTTGCTAAAACATATGCCTTGTCATCTGCATTGTCCTATGTTCGTGAACAATATCATCACAAGCACAAGAATGCAGAAGCTAATGCTCTTGGACACTGTTTGACATCAGCCATCAAGGTTGCAGGCAGCTTCCATACCATCAACACTGCTGACATTTGTAGACAAGCATGTGGAGGTGCTGGTTTCCGTGCTCCAAACCTTATTTCTGGATTTTTGAGAGATACTCACGTCTTTGTTACATTTGAAGGAGACAATCAAGTATTACTCCAACAAGTTGCCAAGTACCTCATTGCTCAATATGCTCAAGCTGTGAAACAAGGATGTTTCTGTGGCACTGTTCTTGAATACTACAAAGATGGAAAGGTAGAATTTAATGGAGAACAAGATTTGACATGTCCAAAATATCAACTCTACTTGTTCAGAGCTAGAGAGATTAAGATGGTAGAAGAATTGATTAAGAGATTGAGAGATAGAGAAGGAAAGGGTGAGGACGAATGGGAGGCTTGGAAGAATGAAATTGTGTTTGCCAATGAACTTGGTATGGCATTTGCTGACAGAATGGTTCACGAACAATTCTTGAAGGCCTCTAACTTGTGCAGCTTCTCAATCTCCAATACTCTCACTCTTTTATGCAAGTTGAATGGTTTGACACAAATTCAAAAAGCTTTGGGTTGGTTAGTTAGCAATGGAGTATTGTGTCCAAACCTTGGAAAGAAGGTTGATTCACTTGTTGTCTCTTACTCCCAAGAGGTCAGCAAGATTGCTTTGGAGTTGATCGATGCATTTGCTATCCCCAGTCAAATGCTTCCACCAAAATGGGATCTTAGCGATTATACCGTCACTGAAAATTAATGTATTTCTAGTCATCATAAACCTCTTTGTTAAATTTACTCAAGCAAAAGCAACACATTTTATTGTTGGCCTCAACCTCAATTAATTCTTTGCTTCATATGAGGCAACACAAATGAATCAGACCAAAGTCGCTTCGTTTGATTGGAAAATGTGTTCGCTTCCTGATTGCTTTTTCGCTGTTTATCGAGCGACCAGAATGCTTGTCGCAAAGATTGCACAAAATATGTCCAGCACAATGCATATCGCACCACACACAATACTTGTGACGTGTTGGTACTATCAATTTCGATATAAGGAATTCGTAGTTCATCAGCGAATGGTTTAAATTGAGTTTCCCTGTTCGTAAGGTATGAAGTGAGGTTTTTGGGAGAAATTAGGTCATGTTTTGTTGCAACTAAAATAAGTTCAGGCCTATTAGACTTGAAGTTACCATTAATGATTGTGCTATATACCCAATGTTTTAACTTTACAAATGACTCGATATTGGACGAGTCGAACAATAAAATTAGAAAGTTCATTCGTCTCAAGAAATAGGGTGGCATCTCTGACATGCTTTGATATTCATCCCAAATTTGATATGAATTGGAATTAAAGCTTTCAAAGTTGGAGGAGGTAGAATTGGAAGGAGTGTGGAGTGTAACTGTATCATCGAAACAATTCTGTTCACTGGAGATACCATGTATCCTTTCTTTTTGAGCTCTGTATGTTTTAAAGAAGGTGGTTTTTGACATGCATTTTTCTCCAACTATTGCAATTCTTGCGAATGCATCTCTCGCAAACGATTGAGTTTCATTTCTTCTTTGAGGGGAATTATTCTGAGGCTTAAATAAATTATTGATCAAGTTAAACACAGAAAAGACTTTCTCTTGGTGATGCAAAAGTCGTTTGGCCTCCGATACGGTGATCGTTTTGAAAGTATCAATTTTGCGAATGATCTTACTCAAATCATTATAATCACGATTGGGTCGTCTCGAGAACGAGGTGAGTTCACCATTTCGCAAGGTTTGAGAAAGGGGCATCTCGAACACTCCACTCATCGCCAATGGATCCATCTTTTGTTGTGAAGATGAGAGATGCATGATATTACTACTACTACAAGGAAGGATATTATTTACATTCATTGCTGAAGAAAGTTGAGTATTGAACGTATTGAACACAACAAGCTCCCAAGTCATCATTCTCAAAAATTGAATTTTTGATTTAAAGCCTTTCTCTTTGTACAGTTTCATCCACTTCTTTTGGCATTGCATTAACATGGAAATGGTATATAAATCTACATACTCAAAGATCATTCTCCAAATTTCGGAAGGACAATAATACCATTGGTTCTCCACAAAAATCGTAGTACTTGGGGTCGGAGTGGTAGTGTTGGAATTGGCATCCTCTCCCGAGCTGATTATCGTGTTATTATGGAATAGACACCTTTCCCAATCATCGGGATGGATACCAATTTCCAGAGGTTTCAGAGGTCTTTTGGCCATCTTCATTATCGGTTACGAGATTACAATTTTAGTAGTGAAAGAGAGAAGAAGAACGAAGAATAAGGCAAATTGAAGGTGTTTCCAAAGTAAATAATATGGCAGTGGAACTATGGAAGCAATTCAGAGAGAGGACCAACCGTTCAGAAATGCAAAAGGGTTCACTCAAAGCTGTTGTGTTGGTTAAAAGTCAATTTTTTGTGCCTAAAAATATTCTCGGCTGAAACTCCAAAAATAACAATTTCTGAAAAGGGATTATTTCAAAACTTGAAAAATTTAAGACAGGTATTGCAACATATGCTTGTTCTGCTGAACAGCTTTGGATTTCCATTATTCAATAACAACAGTCCACAATGAATAATTCTTTTTTCTAGATCCTTCACTGCCCTTCTTTTGGAGTCACCAGTTGATTCGTGAGTGTTGTTTATTGGCAAATTCCAACAACGAAAATGTTTTACAAAAACAAAAAAATCTCCACGGCCATCATCATGAGTGCATCATCGTCCTCATCACAACAACTCGAGATCATCAATGAATTTATCAATTGCTCCTGGGATGATTTACCGGTGGATGTAAAGGAAGTATTGGGAGGAAATAAGAATTTGTTTGATCGGATTTTGAAAGACTATGCCATGGAAAGGCAATTGCCATATGAACAAGCTCCGGTCTCGTTGTCGTTAATGAATAAGAAAGACTATTATTTGGAGATGGTGGAATATTTGAGAAACAACTTACGGGTAAGTGTAAATGAGATGGATGATGGATCATAACCTAAACCAACTTTATATTCTGATTTTGTGTAACACAAAATTATGTTTGCGATACATGTTATTAATCGGAACCTGCTGATTGTGTTTGCTCGGAATTCTTGATGAACTGTATGACATGTTATGTTCTTTTAACGAAATTTTGAATCATCAGTTGTTCCCGTATCAATTTTCAGATGTGATCATTAATGAACTTGGAATTTTACCCTTTACTTTCTATTCAGAGATGGTTTACATGATTATGAAGAATGAAAAATCATACGATATACTTCCAAATTTTACTGCAGCAGACGTCAACAGATTACTTGGAATTGGAAGAAATCAATACATAGACATTATGAACAAGGTGAGGAGTAAAAAATGGACTTGGAGATTCAACAAGGGAATCCTAAAAGAGCAATTGCCTGTACAACCTGTAGATACAAAGATTGATTATTGGTGGATTGTCGATGTCTTTCCAATGCCTCAACAAGAATTTTTGAAAATTTACAATGTGAGTGTCACTGATAATGCTTTTTAATTCCCTCTTATCGATTGAAACCATTGTCATGATATGAACTCAAAAATGACACAAATTCACTTTATTAGACGCTCACTACTGAGGAAGCAATAGCTATTGCCATGGTTAAAAATGAAGGAAAAATTCTTGCATGCAGAATTCCTTATGCAGAATTATTATCAATTTATAGAAAAGGACTGGTTCATTTTCACGTTCCAATCAATAGTGATGATTACATTGTAATTCCTCCCCTCAAAGGTTTCATCATGAACCGAACGCCAAATGATCACTTTGAAAAACTATTGTACGATATTTTAGTCACTTTGGATGAAAGAACTGCAGTTAGTCAATTAGCAAAAATTCTTCAAGTGGACGAAAACATGGTCAAGTCAGCCGTGTCTGTATGTTGCAGACTAGGATTTGCTAAAAAGAAGGTTCAAAAGCCGAAGAACATGACGGATACAAGTGAAGATCAATACAAAAATAGCTGGCAATTGTCAATAGACGAATATCATGATGAAATGATGAGCAATGAGGGTAAGAACAATGTAACACGAAGTGAGAACAATTCCATGCTAGAATTTACCTCCAGCTTCGAAAACAAAGGTGAAAAGATGAAAAGAATATGTTTCTTGTTTGATTCTTCACTCACTGCTTATTTAATGATGGGTAATCTGGCTGAAGGCTTGAAGAATCATGCAGGTGAGTTTTATTGTTTTTGTATATTTGGTATTCTAATTTTTTTAGTGACGCTCTTTGAGGTTGGAAAGATGCCCGACGAATTATTGGATGAATTTTTGAAGGAGCTTGACAAGGTTGTTTGCCCAACTGACAATGAGGGAGAGGCCATTAAATACTATACCCATGCCATTGCTCTCAGAAATACTTTGAGATTCCTGAGACAAAATAGCAAGGAATTTGGAATTGTTGGTTCTGATGGTGGAGTTGATATGATTCGTTGTGAAAGCTTGAACAATTTGGATAATGGAACCAAGATGCGAATTCTTGATATGAATTACGCTATTCTTATTGCTACTGCGCCAATCGCCTCTAGAGCGATCAATTTACCAAACTTGCCCAATTTTTATGGACCTCCACTTCCTCATGTGTCTTCTCCTTGGTTCAAGTTGTACATGTACGTGTCTTGTGAGCTAGGACCAGCAACAGTTTTATTCTGCAGAGGTCAACGTATTCGAAAGCTTCCAGGTATGATTGGAACTAATGAAAAGATTATGATTTCGGGATGGGAACAAGAAGCATATGCAGTCCACTCCAGGATATTGTTGCAAGTTTTGAACGAAGCATTAATGACGTCTCCTAACATGATCCAAATGATTGATGAGAACTCCTCTGAAAATCAAACATTTGATGTACCATTCCCATTTGAGAGATGTAATTATCATCATCATGACAATGGAAGCGCTTTGAAACAAAAACGACATGCTTCAAAAGAAACTGAAAAAAGTGACAGCCAACAAGAAAAACCTGCATTTGCGCTTGACGACTCTCAAGAAGATGAAACTTTAGATGGAGATGCAGTGAAGGCACCTTTGGAAAGCGTAGAGGCAGCTGTTGATGAAATAATTGATTTATCTGAGGAAGATTGGGATACTGTAGAAAAAATTATGAACAAACTCACTGAAAAGCTTCATTTAGAATGCTCTTTTGGATGCGTGAAAATGCTCAAAATTGTAAAGAATGGTGTCACACAAGCCATTGTTCCAACTGATTTACACTTTGGAATTCCACTTTCTAGTTATGATATTAACAAGAAAGTATGCGATGTGGTCATTAAGCGAAGTTTATTTAACGAAGAGAATTTGAAGCGTCACACTCAACATATGAAACAAATGTGTGACGAATTTTTGAACTTTATTCAAAATTACTCAGAGGATTCATGCATTTCCGATCCATCACAAGTGCCTTATCCTTCCAAGGCAATTTATTTTGATGGCAAACAGATTATTTCATACCGATTTTAAATATTGAAAACGAACTATTTATCATTTGATGCTCATCCATGCTTTGATTGTGATTAAATATTAAAGAACTATATGACCACCCATACGCTCATAAGCTTCTTCTAGTAAACCCGCGCTTTGGCATTGGCCTTTCCTTGTTTAAACTAAGCAATCGACAAATTGGAAACAACACCTGTGTAAACGCGCTGACACCCATAAGACTGAACGGATAAACAAATGGCCGACTTGAGAGATATCGTAAAAAAATACAGCGGGCGATTTAATGAAGAGAAAAAATGCAAGCGCCTCTCGACCTTGCTCGAATTAAGGAAGTCTATGAATCGTATGATTATCAGGATTTGGGGTATATAGAGGCTGCTGATGCTCGGGATGCGTTCATTGGTAAGTGTATGAATTTAAATTGAAGGATGATCTCGGTGGTGGATGATTTGTTGGTGGTTGTATACAACAGAACTTGGTTATGACATTACCCTTGAGGAGATGCTAAAATTGATCGATGAGGAGAGTGCCAGTCATGAACTGACTCGACAATCCAGTGAAGACAGTCTCAGTTCAGCTCGTAATTCGGAAGGTTTCAACCCAGATAAAATTGAATTTTATTTGTTTATGGAATTGTTGCAAAAGTATAGTGCTTTAAAAGATGATGAGGCCAATGAAGAAGATATTCTTGATGCATTTTCAGCTCTCGGAGGAAACTACAACAAGAGCGGCACCATCTCTATGAGCGATGTCAAATCGTTTTGCGAAAAATTTGAACTCTCTTTTGATGTCATGCAGCTAGCGAAAGAGAACAACATTCCCATTGATTCCCACAAATTGGACTTTTCACAATTTAAATCCATCTTATCCATTCCCAAGAATCAATAAAATTATTTATTCAACCTTACATTGGACTGAGCTCAAATTACTTCCATTACATCTCCTTCTTTTCCTTCTTCCTTCACAGAACGATCTCCAACAATGTTCAACAACAATTACAAAAAAAATCGTGAATGTCCTCGCTGGCTCCCTCTCGCCTTCACGATGATGAAAGCAACTCAAGTTACCACAACAACCTACAAGGAGCAGAACAAAGGAGTAGAATGACCTTCCTTGAAGAACCTAAGGATGATCAACACCTCCTTAACAAATCCGATAGCGGATGTTCCACAACAAGCTCCGAGTTGTACGCCGTGCCTTATGATGATCTTTCATTTGAAAATGAGACTATTGTTAGTAACACCAATGTTTGTAATCAACCAAAGATGATTATATTTAATCATGGAAGCAGCTCTAGTTCAAGATCACCAAATAGAAAAAGAGATAATGAATTAGTTCTGGAATTAACCATTCATTATGAAAAGTTCACCAAAGAATTCTATCCTGGGGAGTTAGTTCAAGGATACGTAAGGCTTAAAACTTCTATTCATGTTGAACTACAAAAAGGTATTGTTCGTGTTTTTGGTGTGTAATGTAATTTGAAGATAACTCAAAGCGTGCAAAATTTCTTCAAGTTTCTGTTCAATTGCTCGGGAAAGAATGCATTTTCAAAAATTCTGCAGACAGGACGGAAAACATTTTTCAAAAGAAAGAAACAATCTTTATGAACTTGCATCTTGTCCCTGGAAATCATACTTTTGAATTTTCGTTCGAATTGGATCATGATTCTACACCTACTTTTTCAAAACCCACCTGTTGCGTTGAATATATCATTAGTGCTCTTGCAGAACGCAACTCCCAAAGTGAGGCACATAATTTGCTTTCAACCATGTCGTTGTTTAAAGTGTTGGAGGGAAATAACAAAATAACCAAGTCAACGCAACAGAAATTAATAACATCAACAAAAACCATTACATTCGAAAATGGAGAGACTGTTTCATTGGATTTGAACTCGCAGGTTTCATCAAATGAAACACTATCAATTTTGATCAAGAATTTAACCTCTGACGACATGTTTCATTTCAAAATCGTTGAGCAAATAAGAGAAAAGCAAAACAACGCAACCATCCATGAAGAAGAAATTTCGTTAGAACCTGAAAGGAAAGAACAATTCGAAGATTCCTTTAAAATTGATCTTCGAATTCCAAAACATTTCTCAAAGTCTTGGATTCCACTCTCCGAAAAATGTCTCCTTGTTTTTGCTCATTTCTTGGTGGTGGGAGTAAAAAATAAGTCATCTCAGTAAGTTGTGTATATACATCACAATTAACATTAATCAACAACTGTGACAGAGAATTTTCTATTCCAATTATTATTCAACCAGGATTTTGTGATTCCGTTGAAATCGTTGACAACTTAGCGAATATAGAATCTCCCCAAAAAGATTCTTCCCCACTGTCCATAATGAAAAACATCCTTTCAACTCCAATGCTTTTCTCCTCACCTACCGATAATAATCGAAAAACAAAGAGTGAAAATTATGATATCAGCACGTTATTTTCACAATACAATCCCTGCTCTCCCACACACAAAGCTTACATCAATCACAAAGTTCCAGTCCAAGAAACATCCGAGATTGGAATGACAGAAACCTTTTTATCACCAATTCCTGTTAAGGAGAGATTTGAATCCGACAAGAGCTTTCTCAACGAGTCTAGTATCGAGGACATTAATCTTCAAATCGAAAAAACAAGGAAGCATGTAGAAAGATTGAACGAGCAACTTTCCCTTTCTTGTCCCCCTTTTAAAGCAGAAAAAGATGAATTCCTTGCAAAGTATTGCTCAAAATTAATGGGTCCCTCGTCTAAAATGAACAATGAGGTCGATCGATCAGAGGACTTGTGTTTTACTCCAGCAGAATCAACAACCCAAAGAGACGATGGCTTTGGTCACAGACAAGAAAAAAGGAACGCAAATCAGGGCCTTCCAAACTCTAAGGTCGAGTATGGGGAAGTCTCATTTTCACACATAGGTAAATATATTGGACAATACGCTAATGCACAACTCAATCAACAAGGTCTAATACCACATGGAAAAGGTACATTTTATTATTCCACTGGAACAACGTACTCAGGTCATTTTGTGAACGGAAAAAAGCAAGGAAAAGGACAAATGGAGTACAAAGACGGATCCATCTATAAGGGAGATTTTTTCGACAACTTTCGTCATGGAAATGGAGTTTATCGATGTAGAGCTTATAGCTATTCTGGATCTTGGGAATTTGATAAAAAGAAAGGTCAAGGAATTATTGTCTATTCCAATGGCGAATCGTATGAAGGCACATTTGATAACAATCTTCCTCATGGAAGTGGAAAATATCTGTTTAAGGACAAATCTGTGTACGAGGGAGAATTTTCAAATGGTTATCCACATGGAAACGGAACTTTAATTTATTCAGATCATGTTACTATGTACGACGGTGAATGGAAACAGGGAAAGAAGAGTGGAAAAGCAAGATTGGTTATACTTCCTAATGGTTACTACGAAGGAGACATGGAAAATGATTGCAAACATGGGAAAGGGCGATATGTGTACAAGAACGGAGATGTCTACGAAGGAGGATTCAAGCAAGATAAGAAACACGGACAAGGAATTTATTTCTTTGCGCAGGGTGGATATCTTAAAGGAACGTGGCACTTATCTGCTAAACAGGGTCATGCTTTGTTGTGTGCACCAGATGGCACTCTCTATGAAGAAGTATGGGATAACGATGTGTTAATTTCAAAGAAGCTCGTTTATAAATAACTAGAAAAGACTTTTTTCCTTAATGAGTGCACTCCAAGTGGACTTGACCAACAAGCACAACAACATGGAAGAATATCAATTAATATGTGGAAATTCTTACACTCACTGGTGACAACGCATCTTGTTGCGTTGATGAAGAATTAGAAGCAGAAGGAGAGGATGTACTTAAATCAGTGGCTGTTGTACTTGTTGGCCTTGCAAGACTATTCCTATTTGTTGGATAAGAAATGCTTACACTGCTTCTATGATCCACTACAAGATCCGTCTCATCAAATTCTAACGGTGTTCCAACATTTTTCAGGACTTGATAATACGAAGGAAATGATAAATCCACCATTGCTACTCGTGTGTAGATTTGCTTGACGACGCTTGATGAAAAGTCTGTCTCGCTTAATTCAATCGTGCCCTTCTTCTTCAGATCATCAATATCGAGCTCTAAGGTCAAGTCACTGAATAATGTCTTATTTTGTGCATGTGCTTGAAAATGTCTCTCCAATGGTATTTCCTTGGATAGTATTTTAGCTTTTGCCTGAATGTCATCAATCACAGTCTCAATTTCAGAAAACCTTACTCGCATGTAATCATTTGCTTTCATGAGACAAGAAAGAATTCGATCGAGTGCGGATGGAATTTCAGCTTTCATGAGGTTTTCAATATTACATGTCAAGTTACTTTTTGAAAGGTCCACGAGAGTTGTCTCAATGATCCTCTGTATATGATTTTCCACTTGTTGTAAATCCTGAACGGTGTCTTCCATAAACGTATCCACTGGTTGTGAAAAAGTTTCTCGAAAATTTGAACCTGTTGCTTTTTCAAAAACTGAATTTGAAGAAGGAGAGCTTAACACTTGTTCCACTAAATGATCATCTTCTACATCCTCGCTTTCTTCATTATTTTTCAATGATGAGCATGAATGAACAATAACTTTAGAATCTCCCAATTGCAAATTATTGGAACTTGAAGTTTCACTGCGGCTAAACCTAACGGAACTATTGCTACTTCCACTACTAGATGTAACCTTATTCTTCATGACAATACTTCTCAATAAGGCAATATTTTGCTTTTGAATACTCTTTTCAGATTCTGTCGCTTCATTTTGGCAATTTGTCAAAATGTAGTCATTCGATGTGTGGTCAGTTCGTGATATTGTTGAACATGTTTCTGTGGTTGGTATCGACTTGGAGATTTGAGAAGAAGAATGCGACGAAGCTTCTCCTAATTTTGTTTTTGAAGGAGTGTCATGAATTTTTGACAGTTTGAACGTGTTTCTCGTTGTGATGTTGGTGACAACAATAGGTATCAAAGGTGGCGGTGGAGGAATGACACCACTGTTTTCTTGATTATTAGTCGAATTCGAAATTTTTTTCTCTTCTTCTATTAATGTTGCCGTGGATGTTGTCTTTGTCGTTGTTTCTAATTTCTCCTTCCTGACACCACCACAAGAGTCACTTTGTTCTTTTTCCGATTGCGTTTGTTGCTGCTGTTCGGGTGAGCGCATCGTTTGGTTCGTTGAATTGTTCGAACAAGTGTTCGATGGAGAACGTGCACTCTCAAAGCTCACCATCAACAACAAGGGAGGAGGAGATCCCGGAGATCGAGGAGATTCCAAGATGGATGCCATGGCTTTGACAAAGCTTTGGCATTTTTCATCTCTTTGAAGAATGGATTGTGGCGGAGAGGAAGCGCCTGTGTCGCGGGTCATAAGAGTGGTTGACATTTTTTTTTAAAATATTGTAAAACAACCCGCGAAAGCAGGTACAGTATAATGACATTTGACAACGTCAAGATTTGACATGTCCTTTTTGCTCATCTCAAAGGTAGGTTGGACCAATGGTAATCTAGACCTCTATCTTGATATATATTGACAACCTTACTTTTCAAGGTTGTTCAATTGGTCATATTCACTTCTATTTTGAGAGATTTTCAACATTTCTGCAATAGCTGGATTCACCAAATACATCCACTGATGATCCTCCTCTACCATCACTCCTTTTCCTTGCTGTAATTTAGGTTCCCATGGTACAAAGGTTCTCCTCAATCCAAAATTACCTTTCAAAGCATGATACGTCACAACTGCTGTATGAGACATGAAACGAGTAGGGCGAGTTTCGTTGGAAATGATTCTACTTTGTGGTAAGTGATCTTCTTGAAGGACCAAATATTGTTCAGAAAGTTCGAAAAATTTCTCTAAAACATTCTTTCGAATACATTCATTTCCAAATAAATATCGAGTGACAGCATTCACAAATTCATTGGAATGTTTTCGAGTATCCTTGTCTTTTCCAGTTGCAAAATTAATTCTTCCAAAATATCCTCCTCGATGTGCAATGGCTTTAATATTTTGTTTAAAAGCCTTTCGATTGACATCCAATCCAACACTAATAATTCCTTGAATTAAATTCAATTGTGGCATTTCTTGAGAGAGTTTATGGAGAGCACTCAAGACCACAGCATCTCCTCCCGCGAATACACTAGAATGAATTTTATCAATAGAATCTGAAGGTTTCAAGATCAAAGAATCTCCTCCACCATCGACCACAATCAAATCCGTCAATTCATAACGTTGAACGACATCTTTGAGGCCTTCTTTTAAATTCTCAATTCCATTCCAGTGTTCATCATTTTGTTTTATATTCGAATGTGTATCCGTCGGAGAACCAGTCATTAAAAAGATGTTTTCATTCAATACGGAGGCAAGAGTGGGCTCCAAATAACGTCCTTTGATTTTAATTTTACTTTCTGAATGAATCAAGGCAACACTTGATGAGAGAATTTGTAACGGATTTTCAATATCGGAAGTTTTACAGGGACGAATGGAGCCTAAATATATATTTTCAATCGAATAGGGAAATTCTTGAGTCGTCGTAATAGTCGTAGTAGTAGTAGTAGTAGCATGATTATGATCATAAGTACATGAAGCCATTAGTGGTGATGAAGTTGATGTTAAATAAGTCTTTCCTTCTTTGAAAAGCAAGTACATGAGCATGGAGTTGTGGATATCGAGTCCACCACCTAATCCCGAAATGAGTATGTTTCGTCGTGAGGGTGGTGGTGGAGATGTTGGTGGGTGGTGGTGGAGGGTTGTTGATGGTGATGAAGAAGAAATCATTTTTTTTTATGGTTCGGTAAATGTGACACACGACACCTCATCTGGAGGTTGAACTTGGAACTTGATACCAAAAGAAACTAGGAATTAAGGGCAAGATCACAAAACTGTGATCCTTCCAATAGAATTCACCTTAATGAAAACTCTTTTTAAATAGACTCTTTCTCAATTCGTCTTTCAAATGGAAAAAAAAAGTTCAAAAAAAAGTTGAATTTTAATTTCTTGAAAAAAAAATGCCTTCTTCACAAAAACCGAAACGCCTCACACTCGAGGAGTTTTACAAGATGAACGGAATGGACACGACGAGTTTGTTGAGTCATTCTTCCATGGCTGTAAACAATGACCACCAACAAACAACAGATGAAGAATCGGAAGAAGATGGTTTCATGAAGAATGAAGAGATGAACAAGATGAAGGGAGTGATGAGGAATTATCATAATACTCAACAATATCACGGATCAAAAAAGACAACGGAAATTTCCTATTTACATGATGACTTTGAAGGAGATGTTTTATATGATTATTATGATATCGGAGAGGAATATAGTGATGATGATGATGAAGAATATGAGTACAACAATGATGAGGACTTTCGTGTGGCCGCATCGAATGATAGCAACAACTCTGTTCCCACGGAACGTCAAAGTGCCATCTCCTCTTCAGGAGGTACATCATCAGCTCTTGAGAATAATAGTCATTCAAGAGACACCAGCACTCCAAGCTCTTCATCTAACAAGTATTCCGGAAGAATTAATCTTACAACATCGATCCGAACAGATATTTCAAAAGTACAAAAGAAGGAGTTAGAATCACGAATCAAGTTAACGAACAAATTGGAGGAAAGAGCGACTGTAGAACAAGTGATTGACACCAGAACAAGAATGATTCTCTTTAAATTAATGAATAATGGATTCTTTTATTCTGTGAATGGATGTGTGTCCACAGGTAAAGAGGCAAACGTTTATTATGCTTGCGGAGATGAAGATGAAGAAAATTCTGAAAAGCAATATGCCATTAAAATTTACAAAACCTCCATTTTGGTGTTCAAGGACAGAGACAGATACGTCACTGGAGAGTATAGATTCAAGTCAGGCTATTCCAAGCACAATCCTAGAAAGATGGTTAAAGTGTGGGCAGAAAAAGAAATGAGAAATTTAAGAAGATTGGAAAATGTTGGAATACCATGTCCAAAGGTTCATGTTTTAAAACAGCATGTTCTCGTGATGTCATTTATTGGAAAGAACGGATGGCCAGCTCCAAGACTGAAGGATGCAAAACTTTCTCTGACAAAACTTCGAGAAATTTATCTTGACATCATAAAATCTGTTCGCACCATGTATCAAAAAGCAAAACTAGTTCATGGAGACTTGAGCGAGTACAACTTGCTTTACTTTAAAGGAAGAGTATATTTTATTGATGTGTCTCAGAGTGTTGAAAATGATCATCCTAATGCACTCGAATTTTTGAGAAAAGATTGTGAGAATGTTAAAAACTTCTTCTTCAAGAACGGACTTACTAACATCATGACAACAAGAGAATTATTTGACTTTGTAACAGATATTACTCTAACCGATGACATGGTTGACTCTTATTTAGAAACTATGATGGAAAAAATTCAAGATAGACCTCCAATAACAGCCAAAGATGAAGTGGATGCTGAAGTATTTAAACAAGTTTACATCCCACGTACCTTGACAGAGATTATGGATTATGAAGCTCACAGAGAACAGATTGAACTTCAAGAAAACACGGATGATATTTTCTACAGAAGTGTGACAGGAATCAATATGGACTTATCAGGTGCCGCTACAACACCTTTTGGACTCACCGAAGAGGAAGCAGAGAAGATTCAGAAAAAATTGGAAGAAAATCAGCAAGAGCCTGAACAACAAGAGACAGCAACACCCTCTATAGATCATTCAGCATCTCTCGTTGCTGATAAAGAGAAGAGTACTGTGGAAGAACAAGGAGAAGAAAACCTCAATAATAATGGTGATGAAGCAGCAGGCGATGATGCCTCTAGTAGCTCAGAAGATACAGAAAACACCAACGAAGAGGGTAAGAATGGAAAGAAAGGCAAAAAAAAGAAACCTCCTCTTCCAGATCTCGAGAATATGGAAAGACATGAACGAAAAAAATGGGTCAAAGAATATAATCGAGAGCGAAGAAAAAACAAGATACCAAAGAAGGTTAAGAAAAAGCTTGAAAAGAAGCACAAGAAATAAATATATTTATTGCAATCACCAATATTTTACAAGGATTTTTCAAAAAACAATGAATTCTGGTCGTTAATCACTCATAGAATCAATTCATAAAAATTTTTCAAATATTGGTTGAAAAAAACAACTTCTATCGGTTCTGAACCTTTAATAAATTTTACTTTTTGTTCCTGAGCTCAGTAGAACTGACATCAACTCTGAAATCAGGAATTTCAACAAAAATTTCTTCAAATCCGTTGGGAACCTTAATGTCACGCATTGTGACAAACTTGTTTGAAGTCTTGTCTTTTTGATCCAATCTTCCTCCCACCAAAAAAATACAATTATGCTGTTTGAAAACCATTAATGCCTTGATCATCTCTTCCTCGCTGTTGTTATAATATTTAGTGTCCACAATTCTTATCGCTGTATCAGAGCCAATCACTATAAAAATTTTGGAATCCTTGTTGAATAGTTTTGCTTTTTGAGCGAACAGAGGAGCTTTGGTAATGAGACAGGAGAAACGATCAGACACAATCTTCATGCCTTCTAATCGTTCTCTCAGAATGCTAATATCAATTCCTTTCTTATCAACATTTTGAACAGATATTTCATAAAAAGCTTCTAATCCAATACTCTTTTCAAAATCTGATAAATGACTGAGGGCAACCTCCTTTGCTCTTTCCATTAGTTGAACGTGCCCATGATGAAGAGGATTAAAACTTCCAGGAAATAGTATAAAATTCAAATACTTTTCCTTTAAAAATAAATTAGATTCTTCACGACCCAGCTCGTAAATAGTCTCCTCGTTATTGACATTTCTTGAATAAGAATAAAGGCCAATTAATGAGCTGTCGTTATCAAAATTCCAAACCTCTTCTGACCATTCTTTGTGGTTAATTGTTTCATTTTCCAACAATAGATTGTTAAAATATTGATCTAATTCGGTGAGGATAGTTTTAGCATTTTCTTCCCTTTTCATCGAATCAGGAAGGGAATTATCCAATAATGTTCGAATAATTAACAACGAAATTAGATTTTCCTCATCTTCTCTTTCACGCGTATTTTTCTCCAACTCAATACTGTACGTTTTGTGAACAAACTTTCCATTTTCAGAACATTTCATTGCAACAAACGCATGATGCTTTCCTTTCTTTGGTTGTAAAGTTCGGATTGCTCCTGTGCACCCCAGTCCAATAGAATTCATCAAACAATTGGCATAATTTTGAAGCACCATGTTGCTTGTTGGCCTTTCAACATTGTTCTTACAAATCTCTTGATATCGGGAAAAGAAGGAAATATGAGCACTCTTGGCAAAAGCCTTGTTACTCATCCGAACAGCAACCTCCTCACTCACATATTTCAATTCTTGTGATGTTTCATTCTCTTCATGAAGATTTCTCGTACGAGAAACACAATCCAAAACAGGATGATCAAACAATAATTCATTCACTGCAGACATTCCATACGGAATATGAGCATCCATCATGTAAGAACTTGCTCCCGAAACGCTAAAGAGCCAAGCCAATGAAGTGCTTCCCACTCCCGAGACGATCAAGCTGGCACTTTTTCCCGATGGATTGCTGCTTCCATGATGATGATGATGATGATCATACAGCAAACGAATGGCTTGTTGAATGAGAGTGGTATTGAAAGGAGAGCGCGACAATTGGTGAGACTTGATCATTGTGAATACAATTTTTTGAATGTTGAGAACAATTCTCGCGAAAACTCCTCATTCATTATATCATGATGATGATGAAGGTGCTTGATAGATTTTCAACATTCTCGCGCTCGCTCTTAGCTGTAAATTGAAGAGTTTTTATGAATTCAACACTCAGTTAACATTCAGTAGGAACGGCCATACCCTCGCGCAAAGCAACAGCAATCCCGGAGAACAAAACTCCTAAAACAAATAAGGACATGAAACCAAAAAAAATGGCACCACAAAACATGCTGGAAGCCTTTTCATCATTGAAATTATCATCATCATCATCGTCGTGGTGGTGGCTTTCTACGCAGAATGGTGGTCTTTTTGCAGACAGACCTCACATGAGAAGAAGGGACGGAAGGACTTCTCAAAGATTTTTCGGAACAATTTTGATGATCTCTTGCTGCCTCTTTGTGGTGATGATGACATTAATAGCTCATCAAGTGGAGGCTTTAGGTTCTGCACCTCCTTTGGAGCAAAAATTATTAGCTGTATTGGGAAAGAATTGTACGGAAGAAACGTTGGAAAGAGATTGTGGTGGTTTGATGAAACTTGTCTGTGCGATGGGAAAGTGTTCATTGTGTAATGAAACTATTCAATGCAGCACGCAAGTGGATTCTGTTTATAGTTGCAAATTTACGGGTTTTTATATGAATCAGACAAATGGTTCTACAGGTGGTATCTGTCAACACAAAGATTTGTTGGATTACTTTTCATTGTTTGACCTATTTTCAGTCTTGTCAAACTTTGTTGGTTCTGTGTTGAGTAGTGCTGGTGGTACAGGTGGTGGAGGAGTTTTCGTTCCATTGCTTCACGTGGTTGGTCGCTTCAATGCACAAGAAGCTGTTCCATTGTCAAAGGTGATGATTTTCGGAGCCGCAATTACAAATGTTGCTACGTTGCTCGTTAGAAGACATCCCGTAGGTAGTTTGTGTGAAATATCTGGTTCCGAGGATATTGAAGCATTTATATTTAATTAATATTTATTATGATGTGAATCACCATATAGTATGCAAATAGACCATTGATCGATTTCGATATTGCGCTCATGTAGGTTTCATGTCTGAAAATTTAAAAATTACAATCCCAAAAAATCTAAATAGGATGGAGCCTGCTACTTTACTAGGAACAATTATTGGAGTGTTTTTGAATATTACTTGTCCAGAATGGGTGATTGTCATGTCTGTAATTATTGTTCTGACGATTACTACAGTTTTGTCATTTTACAAGTTTTTCCAAAGAGCTAGAGTTGATTTTGCATTTTTGTTCAAACGAAAGAAAAAGGAAGAATATCAACCTTTAACTGCTGAGCAACCAACACAAGATGCCTATGGATCTGTCAATAAGGATATCAATGAGGAATTGCCAAGTGAACCCTCAACCGTCACAGACGTTACCCCATCAACTAATTTGATACCAAGCTCTGAGGCCGATGCTGCTGAAGAAAAATTAATTCCAAGTTGGGGTTGGCAAGTGATCAAGAGAACACCAATTATCAAAATTTTAATATTGATATTGTGCTGGTTGATCATTTTCACTCTCAGTTTGTTGAGAGGAGGCGAAGGTGCTCCAAGTATCATTGGGATTGAAATGTGCAGTGTTACATATTGGGTGCTTGTCGGATTGAGTTTTCCTATTGTTGGAGTCATCATGATAATCATTGCCATTTATTTACTCATTGACTACCGAAAAAAGGTTAGAAATGGACACAAGTTTGTGCAAGGAGATGTTAAATGGAACTGGATTAATGTCACTCTTTATCCAGGAGCATGTTTAATAGCTGGTATTCTTGCAAGTATGCTTGGAATTGGAGGAGGAATGATCAAATCTCCACTATTGCTCTTGTTGGGAAGTGATCCAGCAGTTGGAGCTGCCACTGCTGCCTTTAGTAAGTAGTTGATTGAATTGTTTTAATTGAGAATAATTTAAACATTGTTGTCAATAATTAGTGATTTTATTTACATCCTCAATTTCTTCTGCTCAGTTTATCATTGTTGGAAGAATTCCTCTTGATTATGGTCTTTTGTATGGTATTACTGGTTTCCTTTCAGGCTTTGTTGGCTTCTTCTTCGTGACATTTGTTGTTGAAAGATGGGGAAAGAGATCCTTAATTATTTTGTGCGTTGCAATTGTGTTACTTTCTGCCACACTATTGATGGGAGGTGTAGGAATTTATGATTCGGTAGTAGATCTCAAAACAGGAGTGTATATGGGTTTCCATAACCTGTGTGCTTAAAATCAAACTTGACAATTAAATTGTTCTTCCTGAGGGACTGATTCTATGAATTTCAAACATGGTTTAGTTGACATTTCGATCTGCTCACAAAGCGAACAGAGGATTCTACAACCTGTTCACAGGAAGCTTAATATTCAAAATTTTAGAAATCATGAAAGGCCAGTATTCTCGCATTGGTTCGAAAATCTTGTTGGGTCTAGTGGTGGAATAGGCCTCATCAAACTTTTTCCAACTGCCAATAATTGCATTTTCATCCCTATTCTTAATAGATACCAAAAAAAGGACATAAAACCCGAGTGCATAGCTTTTGTTAGAAAGTAGATATTTGGAGAGGATTAACTGAGCTAAATCATATCTTCTCATCATAATAACAATAGAGAACAGCTTTTGAAAGGTTAGTAGTGGTAATTTCACTTCCTTTTCTGAGTCATTGGTTTTAAATATTAATTCACAATATTTTGAAACCTCGGCATATCGGTCGTTGTGAAAAGAAATTAAACACAAAGCAAGAAAGCAAACATTATTTTCTTGAGCAATTACTCCTTTCGCATGGGATTGTCTTTCTCTTTTTTCTCTCTCCTTCTCTTGCAACATGAAATTCAACTGTTTTTGATAATCTAATTCTGTACCTTGTTGTGGTGATGTCTCAAAAATTAATCGATATATGACGTAACGAGCAGCGTTCTGATATTGACCTAGTCGACAAAAATTAATAGCTATTTTTCTGTGAAGAGTTTGAAGAATGGCAAATACAGAGGTTGGAGCACTTGTAGAAGCTTCAATTGCTTTTTCAGAATCATCATCTCGAGTACTGCTTGTGAAATTGAGCAATCAAGTAGGTTCAATATCAACTTACGCAAATCGTAAAGCTAATAGCAGCTTCTCTGCATCTGTAAAGAGATCTATGGACTTGTTGAACTGTTGTTCGAGGTAGTAAATGCATCCCAAACGTATGGCAATAGATGCTCTGTTATACTTGGTAGTGAATGGGGATAGCTCAATAAAAGTCTTGTTTCTTTTAAAATATTGTCGTTCCAACGCTAAGTACGCTCTGTGATAGTATACTTTACAATACTGAACATTGTGATTAATGTTAAAAAACAGTTCCGCTATTTTCAAATACACAAATCCAATAGTCACAAATGGATGATTAAAATTAGGATGTTCTAGAAAGTAAGTGCAGCATTTCAAATAACATTCAGTTGCCCAAACATCATAACCCATGGATTCCATGATCTCTCCAAGCCATAAATATATTGCTGAATACATATGCATATTGTACAATGTTTTAAATGGCTGCTCATTTATAATTTTTCTAAAATAATAGGCGCTGACGTCCAATTTAAAATTAATTCTCAGAACATGTCCCAAAAGCAATTTTAAATAATTGAGAATTAGATCTAATTAGATCCTTGAGTAAATGATAATTATTCCACACTGCATATGACATACCATTATCTAGCAGTTCACTCTCATTCGTAACATGAACCAAACAAATTTCTGCCTTTTCATACTCTTTCGATCTTAAATATAAAAAAGCAAAACACAAATCTATAATAACATGCTTTTGATCAAGCCTGTCCTTCAATGAGAATAAGACTGACTTCATGATATTTTCTTCTACTCTTGGATCTATAACTATTTCAACCTCCTCCGAATTTTCATCTTTAGTTTTTGCTCTTAAATCAACTTGTTTGAACTCAAATACATTTTGCAGTATTATTGGAAAGTAAGCCAACAAATGCTTGATTTCTGCTTGGTTTCCTCTAGTGTTGAGTAAATGAAGGCTTTTTTCGACAATCCATTCTCTCACCACTGGATCCTTCTCAATGCAATTCATCAGTTGATTTAAAATTATTTCCAAATCTCTTCGGGATGAAGACAAAGGAAGCAAATATTTTGGAAGAACATCATCCTCGCATTCAAATTTGAGTTCCTCCAATTCCTCCATCGTTAATTGTTGTTGGAATGTGATAGATGATGATGGAAACAAAAATCCCTGTTCTTTCAAAAACTTGGCTTCTTCCCACCATTCCAACTTTTCCCGAAGAGAAGATGATGATTCCACCAATTGATATTGTTCATGAACAAGTAAAATTCTACTCAATTCCTCCAATTCATACTCCACTTTGCCATCCAGTAAAATATGATGCGCATCCTGTGGTGGTGGTGATGGTGAAGACGATTCATGATGATTCATCATGATGAAGGAGCTTTCATATTTTTTTTTTATGTTTGGAAATCACTTGACGCTTTCGGAATCATCTTCATGTTGCATTTAATGGCATGAAGAAAGTTTATTCCCTTCGCGATCAATCCGTCTCTGTCTCAAGATCCAATCAAATTCACAATTCTCTCTTTCATTTTGAGACATGGCGAAAAGAGTTTCGATAAAGAAAAAAAAAGAACAACAACAATTGTCTTTTCCACTCTATTTTCATTCACGCGAATTCGCTGGTCTTTTCTCAAACTCTTTCCCATCATCACTTGTGTTGTTGTAGATTTTCTTCTTGTTGGAAAAGGAAAAAGGTCGTCAAATTTTGAAAAGAAAAAAATGGCCCAACAACCCGAAGAGGTGAGCTTGCTGGATTTGCCAACAACAACAACAACAGGAACCACAACAACAACGACGAGTAACCTTTCGCATCGTAGTAGTAGCAAAAGCTATCCATCCTCTAGAAAATTGTATGAAAAAATTGGAGGAGAGGATTCAATCATTATGGAATTTGATGACACGAGTAGTACTACTGTGAGGAGGCAAGTCATTCAAAAGCCTTCCGATGCATCCATTAAAATGTCATCGGGATATGAAACCATGAGCGAATTATACCAACGACTGAGGAAGAGCGATGCTCTACATTATAGTCTTGCTGGAATTTTCAGTGGGATATGCACGTCAACAGCGACACAGCCGCTTGATACTGTCAAGACCAGAATTCAAGTGTTTGACAGAATGAATTTAACGGTTCCAAGTCATGGTTCAAGTACGCTACAATCAACAAGGAGCTTTGTTAAAGCTTTTCAAAACTCTAAAACATTTGGAATGCTTGTCAATATTTGCCATACTGAAGGATGGAAAGCATTGTATAGAGGACTCCCTCCATCACTTCTTGCCTCATGCATTTCTCACTCAATCTTCTTTCCTACTTATGAGCTATGTAGAAATAATTTTTCAAAACAATTCGGTGCTGAACCGTGGCATGTGTCTGTGATTGTTCCTTCCGTTTTGGCAGCATGGACAATAAGTGTAGTTTTAGTTTCACCTATATCTCTTGTTAAAGTTAGGCTTCAAACAGCTTCAACGATTGGTAAGTAACAATAGTCAAAATTGTGAAAATAGTAATGTTGACATTGGATGGTCACTTTGCAGCAATGTATAATTCCGAAACTGTGCCAACCACCGTTTCACAAGTTGTTCGCAGCATTTACAAATCTGAGGGATTGCGTGGATTTTATGCCGGTTTTCGAGGAGTGGCTATTGGTGCTGCAGTATATTGTTTATATTTTTCAATCTATGAACCCTTGAAGCTGTACTGCATTGACACACTGCGTTTGCCATACCTAGTCGTTGTTCCAATTTTATCCCCTCTTACAATGATTGCCGTTTCAACTTTGACCTACCCAAATGACCTTATTATCAGGTACGTATTTTGCATTGTTTTATTTTGTGACAACAAAATTACTTTTGAAGCAATCTTCAATTTCAAGGAAAAAAGCAAGGAGTACAACATTTCAATGGGTGGCTGGATGCATGTAAATCCATTTACAAAACAGGAGGTGTGCGAGCTCTATATGCTGGATTGAGTACTTATTTAATGAGATTTTGTCTAGGAACTATTGTTACACAAACTGCTTACGAGACAATTTTAAGAGTCATGAACAAACGATAACACTTTTTTGTGTTTTTGGGTATTAGGCGTTTTATTAAAACGAGTTCAGTAACAAAGATTTTTTCGAAAGAAAATCTCTCGAACAAAAAAAATGTTTAAAGGTGTGACTTATTTAACACTCTTGTTGATTTCACTGTTTTGTTTCAGTATTGTTGGTATTCATGGAAATTCTTCCGAATTTCATAACCACGTTGAAGAGTTGAGAAAACTATTAAGAGATGCCAAACTTTCAATCAACGTGAACAGTGTTGTTAATTTAGTATCTATTTATTGTTCATCATCATCATCATCAATACCATCAAATCATGCAATTACATGGGGCAACACACAATTTACATACGCATTCGGACGAGCAGATAATATGGCGATTGCCATGGGAATTATTTATGATGGCTACTCTCCTACATTACAGAATCAAACTTCAGGAGTGGACGGATGGATGCGTTTGTGGGTCAATACTTTCACTGCTGCGAATCGTGGAGCCCACAGTGATGCTTGTTATCGTTCCGAGGCGAATCAACGCTTTGCATCGGGAATGGCTGAAGGTCTTTTAACCCAACCACAGATTTACAACTTCTTTCAAAATCAATACTCGAATTGGGTCTTTGAAAAGAAGACTTACAGCATGGACAAGATGAGAAGTCGATTTGGAAGTGGCCATGAATGGGTCAAGTCCTATGATCGATTTGCTGCAGCATCATCACGAATGCAAAAACAAGGCTCACCAGAAATGATGAAACGAGGCTTAGCTCCATCAAATTTGGAAATTTCTTCTTCTTTATCCTCTTACTATTATCCAGCTGCTCTCATTGCCTACATGCAAGAGAATATGAATTGGTTGGAGACTCAAGTGAAGCAAAATGCACAAAATTCGTATTGGATTGAAATTGGACGAATTTTTAATCAATTCCATGGTCTTGTGGAGGGTTATACGATTCGTGCAAATATGGAGAAGAATGAAATTTATGGAAAATTGAATTGGTTGGACTTGTATTTCTTGAACTCTGCTGGTGATATGGAAACATTGGAAGGAGCGATTAAGGATGACACTCAAAATGTGAGACGATCATCCTCTGCTGCTGGTTCTTCTTTTTTCAACAACAACAACAACAATGGAGGAATTGTTTTGCCCGATGAAGAAACATTGACCGATTGTAGTGCTCTAATCAAGATTACTCCCGATTGTCTCAATCTCTTTGCTGGGCATACCACGTGGAGAGGATACAATATTATCAACAAAATGTACAAGGTCTATAGTTTGATGGAGAATGGAGTGGCTTCTCAGACGGTTGCTTTTGCGTCCTCACCATCATTCCTCTCCAGTAAGGATGATTTCTATGTGACACAACATGGATTAGTGACCATGGAAACGACAAATGATGTTTTTAACACTGATCTTTTCCAATTTATTACTCCACACAGTGTGATGTGTTGGATGCGTTCCATTGTTGCGAATAGACTTGCAAAAACTGCCCATGAGTGGGTGACACTCTTTGGATTATATAACAGTGGAACCTATAACAATCAATGGATGGCACTTGATTACAACAAATTCACTCCTGGAGTTTGTCAATTACCTGCTGATTCATTGTGGATTTTAGAACAAATTCCTGGCACTGTCATGACTAAAGATGTTACTCCAGTATTGAATAATCAAACATTCTGGAGCTCTTATAACATTCCATATTTTGAATTTATTTACAACATTTCTGGATATCCACAAGCTAAAAAAAAATTTGGCAATGATTATGACTATAATCTCTGTTCGAGAGCTCAAATCTTCAGAAGAGAACAAGCTAAGATTGGCAGCAATAAGAGTAAGCCAGTTGACTTTAAAGATTTTGGTCGAGTTTTGCAATTCAATGAATGGAAAACAGATCAATTCAGCAACATGGATCCAAGTAAATCCATTTCGTCAAGATATGATTTGAGAGTGAGTCCTCAGCGTGCATTTGCATTTGGTGGAATTGATACTAAGGTTGCAGATTATACCAAGGTTAGAAAGAGCACAAGCATGTGGGGAATTTGTGGTCCAACTCACCAAGATCCCATTCAAACACCTCCATTCTCTTGGAGCGACAAGTGGAATGTCACACATTTAGGACAACCTCAAACTTATGATTTTGATTGGGTGGATTTAGAAGATGTTGGATCATTCTATGAGTCTCTAAAAAACAAACTTTTAGGTAAAAAGAATTAAAAACACTTTTGCAGTTTAAGATGGAGACCTGTTTTCTGATTCCTTAATTCACACAAACCAATAATTATTTTTGTTATTATTTCTCTCATCAAAATTGAACTCAAAAAAATGCAGCAAAAAAGGAATCGCTTTCTTTTGGCCTTTTGTTTGGTTGTCATGATGAGCCTTTTTATTGAAACGGTTCGATCATCATCGTCGGGAGTTGTATTAGAATTAACTTCTCAAAATTTTGCAAGTACAGTGGAAGCACCTTCAAATCATCATCGAGTGTATTTTGTAAAATTCTTTGCTCCGTGGTGTGGGCATTGCAAAAGATTGGCACCAGTATGGTCCGAATTGGCCAAGGAGCTTGAAGACTCATCAATTCCTCATTACAACAATGTTCAATTAGCAAAAATTAATTGTGATGAACATTCGGATGTTTGTAGAAAATTCTCCATTAGAGGATATCCAACTCTCAAATTATTCGCCAACGGAAAGCCAGTTACTGAATACTATGGACAAAGATCCATTCCCAAAATCAAAGGATTTTTGGATGATGTATTCTCAAAATCTAAAAGCACTGGAAAGGTCGAAGACATTATTGAAGTCGACCTTGAAGCAAAAATTAAGAACGATCATAGAAATTGGGTAGTCATGTTTTATAATCCTGATAGCTCATCCTTTAATTCATACAATGAAAAATTCACAGAGCTTGCAACACAAAACAAGGATACATTTAACTTCTTTGCTCGAGTGAATTGCAACCAAGAGATTGAATTATGTACAAAAAGATTTGGTCTTGACACAAAAACTAAGCCAGTGGTGTTGTATTTCACTGGCAAAGATCGTAGCATGTCTGTTTTCACCCAAGATATTTCCAATCTTCAACAATTTATTGAATCAGACCACACCAAACAAAAAGTTCCAGTGCCAGGCCCAGTTGACAACACTCCTACCATTATTCATTTCTTAACTGATCACCCTTACATCAGTATTGGTATTGTCACCTTGTTCTGTGTTGCAATTTTAGGAATTTTCTTGGCTGTTGTTTGCATGTCTGATGACACTCCCGAGAGAAGAAGATCAACATCGGATGCCACTTCCACAACAACACCTTCCGAAAGAACCACTAGTGAAGAAAGCAACAAGGATGAACCCGAATCACCACCAAGCACCACCAATGAAACCACCAGTAACACAGGAAGTTTGAAAGAGAGAAAACCTCGTTCTTCCGATCACTATTAAAATTTTCGGAATGATGATGATTTATATTATGGCTCAAAGACATCTACCATCCATATTTGATCATACCATTTTCATCTTCATCACCCAATAAATTTCTCGTGGACCAAAAAAACAAATGAACCATCTCATGATTGGGACATCCTCTCAACAACAACAACAACAACACCGACGAGTAACTTCTCCTTCCTCCTCCACGACGTCTGGTGGTGGTTCTCTTTCTCCACCAACGACTCTCGAGCTCCATCAAGAGGAAGATTCATTTGCCAAGCTAGATCAGGACCAAGATGATGAGAAGAACTACAATTCCTATTCAAACGGAGGAATGACAGAGAATGACCATCATCATCATCATCATTTTAATATTCATACCAATAATCACGAATACAGTGAAGAAATGATGGATATAGGCACAATAACAAATTTAAATCTTCAACACAGAAAAGGCTACACTACCCAGGAGGAAGACATGGATGCCGCTACCATGATGATGACCACTCACCATGAAGCACCTATTCTTCGGATGAACGAAGGCTCAACCACATCATCATTGAATGATGACACGACACCAACTCCCCTCACCACAATGGCATCCTTGAGCCATATTCCAAGTACTGCACAATTACTTTCCAAACAATCCAATGTTGGTGGTAAACTTTATAACAGTGCTAGAACTCTTTTGCAAAAAAAAGTATTCAGCAGAATTGGAGAAGAAACAATTGTCAACCAAGAAACATACTCATTATATTTATACGTATTTAACATTGCTTGGATTTTTGGGAGGATTAATCTCTTTCTCGCATGACATTATAGTGAGATATTTAGTATTAGGAAAGAATTCATTGATTAATTTATGGGATCCAGAGAAGGATTATAGTTTGAGAATGTTCATTTGGATTGTTTATAATTTAAGTTTTGTTTCTTTTGCTATTGTGTTAACTGCTCTATTTGCACCAGCAGCTGAAGGAAGTGGTTTGGCAGGTATTAAAGCAATTTTGAATGGAGTGAGAGGATTGAAAGACGTGTTAAGTTTAAAGACAATGATTGTGAAATTGTTATGTTTGCCAGCTGTGTTAACTGCTGGTTTATACGTTGGTAAGATGGGTCCTAGTATGCATATTAGTATGTATTTGTTTTTTTGAATGATGCAGACAAATTTTTACTTTCTGATTCTCAATGTGTTATCGAACACGTCGTTTTTCGCAAACGATCAATGTTGTTTTGCAACGGTACAGTCACATGTCTTGCCAACAATTTGCTCAAACTCAAAATATTTGAATCCATTAGAAAAACAAAAACCTTAAAACAGGAAATGATTGTCTGTGGATTGGTCGTTGGTTGTGCAGCTAATGACGGTGCCATTATTGGAGGAGTACTCTTTGGAGCAGAACTAGTCGGAACGTATTATTCACTAAGAAGTTATTTCAAGAGTTTCTATGCCGCTTTTATTGCGTGCATGACCTCTCGTCTTCTTCACAGTTTGGTAAATCAAAATATCAAACCATTTTTCACATGGAATATCAAGCTCGTACCACCAGCCTATACTCTCCCTGAATTGGCATTTATGATTGTTTTGGCATTTGTGATGGCATTCATTGGAGTTGGTGTTAACTATGCAAATGAAATGCTTCTCGTATTGAGAGATAAATATGGAAAGAAACATTTAGGATTCTTTGATTTTGGAAAGTACTCTAAAAGCAAGCTCCTTATTCTATTGGAAAACAGAATTATTTACACATGGGTGATTGCTTTAATAACAAGCATAGTAATGTTCCCTCAATTTATTGGAAAATTTATGAGCATGGGAGGAGTTCCTGTTTTTGAAGAATTGTTAATGACAAAACCATTGACAACGGTGAATGGAGCCAAAGGAGAATGGACTCAAGGAAATCTCTCAGAAATATTTATTACTATTTCTATTCTCTTAACTATTCGTTACATTGTTGCCATTTTGACACTTGTGGTTCCAGTAGCAGGAGGAAGTTATTTGCAATTGCTAGTCACTGGAGCTTCTTTTGGAAGATTGGTTGGAGAAGGTTTAGCAAATATTTTCCCAGATGGATTTGCACCTAACCATCCAATTATTCCAGCAAGTTATGGCCTCGTTGCAGCAGCTGCTTTGACAAGTTCACAAACACAAGCTTTCAGTTCAGTATTTATTTTATTGGAATTGACAGGAAATGGAGTACATTTACCTTCACTGGTGGCATCATATATTGGAGTAGCTATTTCTCGATGGCTCGCATACAGTGCCTATGACGTTGTCATCAAGTACAGAAAGTGGCCTGCTGTTTTGGAATCGTTCACAGACTCAGATGATATTAAGGTAAAATACATCATGCAATATGTGGATAGTATTCCAATTATTGAGGAAGTGACCTCTGTTCAAAAGATTGATCAAATTCTCAAAACATCAACTCTACCAAAAACAATTCCTGTTGTGAACAATTTGGATGATTTATTATTGGTGGGTTGTGTGAATACGAAAAAGTTACAGGATTATTATGAATCAAAATTGAAACCACTCCTTGAAAAAGATCCTCACTGTGACGAATTAGTTCAAATCGAAAAAGATACTTGTCCTGTAACCATCTCGATTGATACTCCATTGGTGTTGGCTCACTTGATTTTCTCCAAGTTAGGATTTGATGACGTGTTTGTCGTGTGGAGAGGACGATTGACTGGACAAGTTCAAAAATCATCCATTATTGCAGAACTCACAGAAAAACAAACTGGTTCTATTGATGCTTAATCTCCACTACATGCACTGTTTTAATACATACACTTTTTCAATACACTATTGTATTGAATAATATAAGTATATTATAAACGCCCATCATCAGAAAAAACGAACAAAAAAAATGAGCAAACAAAACCGACGAAGAAGGCTTGGCTATGACTCTGTCGTGATGCTTTTCATGATCATCATCATCATGGGATTGATGGCCAATCATCAACAACACGTAAAGGCACATAAAATTGGTGATGCCATTCCCATGCTAAAGAGAATACAATTTAATGAGAAGAGAACGGAATGGAGTGAAGTGCCTTACGGAGATGCTCCCCGATTTGGACTTTCAAAGAAGATCACCATCACGGGTGTTGCAGCAATACTTGAAGCCTTTCTTGAAGCACCAAAGGCAGATGCTAATACTGATAAATATTATGAAGAATTAATAATGCAAACAAAGGATGATTTAAAATTAGCGTTTTCATTTCATCACCCAAATTTTGAAACTCCATGGATCACTCTCTTCTCTAAAGGAACACTTGATACAGCAACAAACAGAATGCAATATCAATTTTTGAAACGAATTGATTTTTTATTTATCTATCATGGTGATACCATCAAGGAAATCAAATATACTCTTGATTGTATGTTTTAATTCGTAAATTTTGGATGATGAATTGACCATATTATCAATTTATGATATATTTATGATCACCCCTGACTATTATTGATTCAATTCTGCCTTAACACAGACTATGATGAAAATGACGAAAGTACCTACCGCCCATCCACCATTAATAATGACATTGAGGTGAACTATTATTGGCAAGAAGTGATTGAGAAGGACACATCTACCGCGTTGAGCGCCCTCTACTTTATTTCATTCATATTTGGTTCCTTAATTTTGGTCGCTGCTGTGAGTCAATTACCAAATACTCAGTTCATGTAAAAAGTGCCGTTTGTTTAATAAAGAATTAACGTTATTAACAAGTTGTGTTTGTATTGAGATTTACAATGTGGAAACTATTTTGTCAACGTCTTGGCAGAAGGTGTAATAATCGACATCTCCTCTTTCGTCTTCATACTTCTTCTGAAGAACATCATACTGTTTACCAGTCAAGTTGAATTTCAAGAAATCAATCACGGACGCAAATTGGCTCTTGGTGACTCGTTGTTTTCGCAGCAGATCGTAATCTTGAAAATGGTGAGATAATAATTGTTGCATAACTGCCGCTTTCTGTGCAACCTTACTAAGAATGAATTGCAGCTCGTTTTCATCCACATCGTTGCTGATTTCAGGAATGACAGCCTTCAAAGGATATGAATGTCTTGGCTCAAACTTTTCGAGCTTACTCTTTGGGCACTTCTCCAAATTAGAAGATGTAAAGGCTCTATCTAACTCCTCACAAAGTGCGGTATAGCTAATGTTATTAGGATCATTGTCTAATTTGAAATACTCCTCCAAGATATGAATTTCTTGCTCTTTCAACTCCAATTTAGCAACGTTTAAAGCCGTTCTGAACTTGGCACGTGTGACATAGCCATGTCTGAGTTTGTCATAATCAGAAAAGAATTCCTTCAATCGGATTCTGTTTTTCACAACGATAGATTTAACACGATGCATTAAAGTAGAAACGTCCAAGGGCAGCTCTTTGGAATCTTTTTGATTCACAAAATTCTTGGACATTTCAGCTTCTAACTCCTGTCCATAGAGACTCTTGGTTGACCCGTCAACTCTTTCGCTCTTATCCACATCCTCAATAAACTTGTAATAATTTACATATCCTGACAAAGGTTCAAAATATGCCTCTTGCAATAACTTAAAATCTGATTCACTTAAAAATTTGAACAGCTTATCCAATCCTTGGGTAAATTGAGCCTTTGTAATTTTTCCTCTCTTGAACTTGTCGAAATCTTCAAAAGTAAGCTTCATTGCTATTCCTCTTGTTTTTACAGCATCACGAAGCTTGGTTAATAGTAATTCAACCTCTCCCATCTTACTGAAAGAGGAACTTGCCACTTTTTGCGGGCCTCTTTTGGTAAGAGATGCTTCAGCAAACAATTTTGAAGAAGTGAGATCTCGGGTTGGTTGTTTTTCCAAGTTTTTCTCAGTTATCACGCTGTCCACTTGATCACAAAACTTTCTGTACAGTACGTAGTCTTTCCTAGTTGGGGACATGAATTCAGCACAAATTAAATCAAACTCTGAGTCTGATAACTGTATGCCACCCATATTGAGTGCGCTTCTGAATTGTTTTTGGGTAATCTCAAAGCTTCTCAATGGATCCATATCCCGCATGAATTCTTCAAGCCTCACTCTGTGAACTAGTGTTTTAAAAGAAATGTCTTCCATAATATCTTGGAGAGTTTTTTGTTCCTTTTCTGGATTGATAACAGACAGTCCACTTGAAGATACTTCTAAATTTTTGTAAGGTATGTTACTTCCGTCCAAAATTTCGTCCACATCTTCCAAGAACATTTTGTAGTTGACGTCTAGACCCGTACCCAAGTCATCATACTTTTCTTGGAGAACAGCATATTCCTCAGAGGTAAGATGAATACCAACCATATGTAAAGCCCTTTCAAATCGTGAATTGGTGACATGGTCAGTCGAATAGGTACCCTTCTTTGTCTTATCGAAATCTTGGAAAATTGGTTTCATCAAAATTCTCTTGGTTTTGACAATGTCTCTAATTTTGTCAAGTAATAGAGAGCATTGTTGCTCCTTTTCTTCTGACAGAGGCTTTCGATCGTGTGTCAAAAGTTGGTTTTGATTGACAAACTTTTTTGTTGGAAATCTCTCTAGTCCCTTGTCGTTGAATACCGAGTTCATATTGTTCAAAAATTCTTGGTAGGAGACTCGTGTTTCTGAATGTTTGTCTTCGACTCGATACTTTTCAGCAACTGCCTCTAGTTGAGCGGAGCTAAAAGCCCTTTTGTGGAACTTTATAGATCCTAAGGCTGCAATGAACTGAGGTTTTGTAATAAATCCTGTTCTCAATCTGTCATAGTCGCGAAATGCTTCATCCAATTTAATTCTATGCTTTAGCAACGCTTTTTTGATTTCTTTTTCAATCTCTTCAACGTTCTCTTCATAGGAGATAGGCGCTCTTTGGAAGGTTGGCTGTTCAATATGTTCCAAAGGTGTGTCATTTTCTACTTCCTCGTGAAATCTCAAGTAGTTGGCTTGCATTTTCTCATCGGTGTACCGATCGAGGATCATTCGAAGCTCTTCTCCATTTAAGTTTCGGAAAGGAAGACATTGCAAAAATTGAGATCTTGTCACGGTTCCATGATTAAGCGGGTCGAAATCTTTAAAGTAATTTTTAATTATGTGTCCTTGCGTTTTGGATTCCCATCTCAATTTTTCATACAATGTGTTGAGCTCCTCTGTAAGTTCTGGAATTGATTTTTGAGAATGTAGTAGAGCTTCTGGCTTGATTGTGTCCATCTTTGGATTTTTCTCCATGCCCTTCAATGTAAATACTGATACAGAGTTTTCGTTTTTGCTCTCATTCATGCGTGCTCACTTACCTTGATCGACATCGTTTGAAAATTTGGCATAGTTCACCTTATTCAGCTTGGGATCCAAGTATACAGCAACTAAATTGTCAAAGTCTTCATCTCTCAATTCCATTCCGAACATACTCAAACATCTTCGAAACTGCTGCAAGGAAACAAAACCCGATCTCAATTTATCAAAGTCAAGAAAAAATTCATTGATTCTAACTCGTTTCTGAAAACACAAGCTCCGTATAGCATCCATCAATGATGCTTCAACTGAAATTGTCATTTCATAATTTTTGCCATTCGATGATGATGGCAAGGAAGAACGTTTGTTTGAGGAACTACTGATGAGCATGATTTTTTTTTGGATTTCTGTAATTTGAAAATTTGGCGGCAATTCAAATCTACGAATTTCGTTAGACGTCGAATGTCAAGTATGTTTCATCGAATCGAATTTGGAACGCGTTCAGTGGCGCTTCACGTTGGTCAAAATAGATGAAATATAATACATGTAGTAAATAAAGGCGCTCAATGAGAACACAATAATGATGACAATTCCAACAAGCTTGTGAAATGAATTGTAAATATAAAATTGAAAAGATCAAAATTCTTCATTCTTACCCCTCTATTAATCCACGGTTCATAATTTTCAAACATTTGATTGCTCACATTTAATTTTTCGTTTTTTTCATCGTCGGAATCGGAAATTGTGTGATGAAGAGAAGGCGTTGAGTGTTCAGAGTGGTGATTGATGCGAGAAAGCTTTCGACTCGAGAGTTGCATTTTTTGGAACGAAAATTGAAATTTGTGTGTGAAAAATCATCTACGAATTTATTTGAATTCTTCTCGCAAGTTGCCCATTTCATCCAAGTAGTTGTAGATATCTTCTCCATAGACATACTTGTCTTTTTTCTTGTCAATAATTCGCTCGAACATATTAATGCCATCTAAATGATCGTATTCATGTTGGAAGACACGAGCAGCAAAGCCTTCAAGTGTTTTTCTCTTTCGTTCTCCAAAAATATTGATATATTCAATCTCAATTTCCTTACTTCTCAACAAAAACAAATACTCATTTTTAAAACTTAGACATCCTTCGACCTCTCTTTCTGTTTCTAAACTCTTATCAATCAACTTTGGTTCGATATACAATTCCAAGTCAATATCGTAAACATATGAATCCTCAATTGATTTTTGGGTTGGTTCTTTGGCTTCAAAACCTCCTGATTGTTTAGCATTGATTACTTTCACTTGCGCTGGTACTTTAAACATTCTATCCGTTCCAATAAAATACCTTGCTTTGTGAAACAGTTGTGGTGCACTGATACCAGTTCCATCATCATAATAGTATTTCAGTGACATTAGTAAATCCCTGAAAAATATCAATTGATTTTCCGAAATAACACTATTCACTTGTTTGAAAATGTATTGCAATTCATCATCCGAAAGAGTGTGTTTTGAGGCATGATTATTTTTGTCTGTCCATATTTGATTGATATCATAATATGATGAAGCATCAGGACCTTCTATTCCATTCAACTTTAAATTATTCAACGAATTCGGAAGAAGCACACTATTATCGTTTGGGACAAAATTCTTATTTAAAAACAATGACTCGGTACACTTTTGTTTCAGGATAGCCTCTTTCTTTCCAGCAATTCTCACCTTTCGGAATGGGAGTATCTTGTCTTTTCCCTCAGCAGTATTTTCCGCATTTATCATGGAAGTTATTCGTGAGGCTTTGATGCCATGTTTTGTGAGAAGAGTTTCAAAGATGGCTTTATTGTGAAAGAAGCCCGAGCGATCCAGAAAGGACAACATTTTTTTCAAATTGAAAGAGTTTCGAATGATAATAATGGATGATTATTATGATCGACCATGAATGGAATTTGATGAAAAGAATTGAAACAAAAAATGAAACCATTCTTGCTTGCTGCATCCTCTTTGGACAACAACAGTCGAACAAGTTCCACCTGGTCATTAAGGGCATCGGAGCCTCAACCATTGTCCATGATGGCCCAGGAGGTTGAACAACACACAGACAACGACAGTGAAATTGGTTTACATAACGTAGAATCGGTAGAATCATCGACTCTCGTTTCAGAAGAGATCCTGAAGCCTTATGAAAAGTGGGGGATATTAAATGTTCCATCATTGATGGATGGAATAAGCGTGGAGGATCATTCAAAATTCAATGAACAAATCTTCAAGGAAAATATAAGGGCCTCCATTCGGGAGCTCAAGGCTCGCAAGCTCATCTTGGAGTATGAGATCACTAAAAAGAACGAAATAATTTCAAAGATGAAGGAGACTCATTTACAGGAGAGAATAAAAGCAGACGAAAGCTTTTCTGAATGGAATCGGAAATTGCAAGAGACTCTAGATTTCATCAGTGATGATATTTCAACAACTTTTGATTTTGACGATCATCAAATACCAAATACTGGTGAAGAGAACAACAATTCTTTTGGTAGTTCAGAAACATATGAGAGAGATCTCTTATGGATGAAACTGAAAAAGTTCCGAACGGTCTACTGTAAAATCATACAATACATTGAGGTGAGAGAGAGAGAAATTAAGCACATGGAGCTAGAAGAGAAATGTGATATTGAAGAAATTCTTAAATCTCGTAATCTTCTAGAAAAAGAGTTGGATCATCTCAAATCCAAAAGGAAAGATATGGAAACTACCATTGCCTCACATTTTCAAGCAATTATTCAACTCAAAAAAGAAAATGAGTCCAAAAGGAAGAATATTGAAGCTCTCAAAGAAAAAATTGAGCAAGTAGAAGAAGTGAGCAAGCTCAAGGTTAGAGAACTCGCCAAAAAATTATTCAAATAATTGTTGATAATTCAATTTCAGTGTAATTTAAAAAATTATTTGTAACTTCATCATCATAATTTCCAGTAATTAATCTTCTTCCTCGTTTTGATCGTCATAATCCGAAGCAGGTTGAGGTATGTTGATGTTTTCCCAAGTTTGTGATTCTTCATTAAATCGAGTTAAATACAATACAGCATCATTTGCAATTTTCAACTCTTCCAATGTAGCGTCATTCTGGAGTTCATCATCTCCCACGACAGCATACAACCGTTGATGCTCCTCGGAAATATTTAATAACTGTTTAATCCTTTCCTTCAATTGTAGCACTGTATCTATCGGATCACAATGCAAGAAAATTGTAGTCTTGAATTGTTTAATTCTCACATACATCGACTTTGAAAAAATCAACAATTTCAATAATTGTTCACCAATGATCATCCAATGATGGCGAGCCTTGAGAAACTTACCATTTTTTTGAAGGTGGAAATTGCAAAAAAAAATGGTTTTGAAACCACTGAACGTTCGGGTGGAATTGTGTGATTTTAATTGTGATGATGATGATGATGATACTTGCAGGCCTTTGGAGACTGAGTTGAAATTACTTTTAAAAAACAAGCTCGGAACAAAACCTTTTCTACCCTTTTCAAATAAATTTATAAAAGTAGAACATGGGAGGTTTGGAATTCATGCCACTGATGGCCAAACGATGGAGTATTTTCAAATGTCCTATTCAAATGAGTGTATTCTAGTGATTGGTTCTAAACCACAGAAGGATAGTGCCACTACAATTTATGTTCTTGATATGTATTCGAAAAGATTGCTCCAAAGTATTGTACTCAATTTTTATTGCTGCATTTTACAGGTGGAAAGTATACCTTCAAAAATGGGAGGCGACAATTTGATAATGACAAATCATGAACGTATTTATTCATATAATTTGAGAGATTTCTTAACAACACAAACAAACCACAAGCCAAAAATTCTATGGAAAGCAAGAGTTCCAAGAATATTAACCCCTCAATTTAGAGGTATTCGAGGGATGGCCATTCAATATTCAACAACTGACTATGGAGAAAAAATACAAAATGTACTGTACGCAAGTGATTTTTCGAGGAGCAAAGTTTATGTGTTCAGTTGTGTGGATGGGAGGCTGTTAAAAGAAATAACTCACCCAGTCATTCATTCTCCTTGGGGAATGGACTTCAATTCAAGAGGTGAATTGCTTTTAAGTGATTTCAGAGCAAACAAAATTTACATGCTAAAATGCACATTGGATCAAGTTCAACTCTTGAAATCATTTGGTGATAACGAGTTGCAAATTCCAAGACAAGTCATCGTAGATCGAGTGACGCAAAATATTATTGTGTATAGCCAAGAAAATAGAATCATTTGTGTGTATGATAGGAATGGAAATTATTTGACGAGTAGTGATGCACGTGTACAATTAAGTTTACTTCAAGACATTATGCTTTTCAACCATTTTACAGGTGAATTACTTATCATGGATCGCCTCTTTCTCAATACCGACGTTTTGGTGTAGGATATCATAAACAAGCCGAATAATGAGTCAATCTTAGGATGCTGATTTCATCATATAGATATTTTGACATCCTTTGACAGGTTGAAAAAAGTGATTATCTTGAATTTATTATTTGAACATCATCAAGTTTCATCACTACACATTCTTAATTTTTATGACACGACTCACTTTCGAAGAGGCATCCACCACAAATGTAACCTTAACCTTATCTACAAGCAGTTCATGCTCGTCTTGTTTATCGACATTTCTTGTCTTTTTGCTATGACTTCTGATATCGTGTGAGAGAACTTGAGCTAAAAATTCGATAAACTCTTCCAATTCTGTTCTCTTATCAAAAAATTCCAAATGCGTGACATCTTCTTGTAGTTGTCGTTTGGCTTCATCTGATAAAACAACTTGATATTTTTCAACGCTTTCCACTGGTTCCTTGATCCATTCTGGAACCTTTACATTGGAAAAATTATCATATCCATCAATATATGGCTTTATATCAAGCACTGCAGTCCCATCCACAAGATCAGTTCCTTTCAAATGCAGTGTCCCATCTCTATCAATGTGATCAATTTCAACAATACTCAATCCAATTGCATTATATCGATGTGGAGTTCCTAATAATAATAATAATTGATAAGGATGACAACAAATCATTTGCAATTCAAAAGAAAATGATTAAAAATTTATACGTACTTGTTGCATAAATGCCAACTTTTTTAGATCCAAGCCGTGGAGGTCTGATTTTGGCCTTAATGGCATTTTGGCTATCCGTCACAACTCCTTTTGTCAAATTTGTATTTAAATTAAATTGAAAGATAATATAACAATGTGAATATTCTTCCAATCCATCAAGTGAAGAAGAGGGATTGCAATGAGGTAATAATTTTAATGTTGCTCTTCCCTTGTTCACATAATAGGGCTGTCTAGGACATCCATTTCTTGTCTTGTACACAGATCTTAAAAATCCAATGGGTTGTATTGGAAGAAATGGAAATTGTGGAATATTTTCTAAATGTTCCTCCATATCATTCAAAGATGCAACATTGGTTTGTGAAATTTGAGTATGATTGTCCAATTTGGTACTGATCGAATTATTTTCAATTGATAATACGGGCTGAGATGAATTAGCCAACTTTTGTTGTAAATTTAATAGTTTGTGTTCCAACTCTCTGTTTTTTTGTTCGGATCGTGTTCTTCCCGTGCGTTCATGTTTTCGATTGGAAATTTCTTTTTGAAGAGTGGATTCCGTCTTTTTAAATTGTTGATAGAAATAGACGGATAATGTAGTGGCAATTGCTGTGGATCCGATGAGAGCTGCATTTAAAATCCAATGATTGGAAGAGTTGATGAGATGATTGTTTTCTTTGGACATTTTTTATTTAAAAATTCTTTTTCGGAATTAACTTTCCATATGAACTCAAATTGCCAATATTTAAATTATGAATGATTATTAGAGGAAGAAAGAGTAGTAAGGAAGAAGAAAATTGGGAATAATAGGGAATAATTAAAATTTGAAAAAGGAGGAAGATTTTGAACTCGATTCAGTGTTGTCCAGTGACGACGTTGATTTTGGGGGTTCTTCTTGGGCAAATTCTTCTTTTTGACCCAAATTCAATGTTGCTGCAGCAATTCCACTACTGCTCGCTGCTGATGACAATGAAGATGATGTTGTTGTACCAGCAGCAGAAGAAACTGCAGGTGTTACTTCGGGATTTGTCGTGAGAGTCACAAATCGTTTGATGGCAGACCTTCTACCATGAAACCTCCCGATGGAATAGCCCAATAACGCTGAGCTGACCATAAACAATGCAATCATGGATGCATCTGATGTTTTCTTTTTCAGTAATTCCACACCTGTTGCTTGTTGTTCTTTTGAAAGTGTTTGATTTAATTCTCGGAGTTGTTCCTCAAGTTTTTGTTGATGCCTCAATCGTGATAGATAACCCAAATAGGCAGCCACACAAGAAAGAGCAGTTGCTGTGAAAGACAGCACATTCTTATTATTCTCAAATATGTCCTTATATCGGGCATAGGCCGTTACGAACCTTTGGCTCATGATGTATGATCCGAACAAAAATATAAATTAGAAATTAGAATATCAATCAGATCCAATCAATTGATTGAAATTGGTAGATGAAAGAGTGTTGATGTTGTTGTTGTTATTATTATTATTATTTCAGATTCTTCTCCGATTTGTTTTTGGATGATAACCTCTTCCCATCAAGACTTTCAAAACAAAAAAATTTTTTAGTTTTATTTTTTAAAATTGATTGAGCCCTCAGAGTTAATCTCTCGGAAATTTCGTTGGGTGTTTTTGGTGTTTTTGATGTTGAATTTTGTTATTCTACATTTAGAAGAGAGAGTGATTAAATAGATTAGACTTATAAATGGATGGACTGAACGATGATGGATGGAAACTAATTTTTGATTCTCTCAATGAATTTATTTCTTTGAATCACAGCCATCCTGCGATAAGGTCAGAATTTTGCATTAGTGATAGCACTTGTAATGTTGAAACAGGTAGGTGTGTGTGCTTGTTGGAATGATCATTTGCTTACTCTATCACTGATTTTTCTTCCGATACTCGGATTGATTTCGATTAATATTTCAACATTTCATTCCGATAATCGATTGGGATCGGTCTGTCCACAGATGTTTCTGCAATGGTTCTGATGGCCATCATGACCTGCGTATATATAATAACGCTTGTCGTTAATTCCTATTTATTAATCAGAGAAATAAGATATGGCTCACTATTTAAATCTAGATTAGTGTTTTATGTTCTGACTACGTTCTATCTGCTAGGAAATTTGGTGTTCTTTGCATCACATACTCTTGCCCGATTTGTGTTTAGAGTGAATGAAAAACAAGTGAATGGCGAGACAGATTTTAATCCAGTACTGTTTTTATTCACTCATATTGCTTTATATTGGAGCGAAACATTGCTTGCTTGCGCATTCTTATTTGTATGCGTAAATTATATGGAAATATTTTTACATTCTAAGGTGGGTTCAGTAATAATGTCATTCATCACATTCTTAAAATTTGGTTAACCATTCAAAAGGGATTTTCCATTATTTACTCTCAGGAGCAAACATCTAAATTACGAATTGGTGTCACTTTGATAATTGTTGTTGCCAACATGATTGAGATGATTATATTTGCTATCATGATAATATTTTTCCCTTCTCAGAACGCTCTTACAGTTGAGGTTGTTTTATCGTTTCAAATTATTTTGAGCGTTATAGTAGTCATTTTCTTTGTTGTATGGATTTATGTGAGCAAGAAATCAATATGGCAAGGTGCACATACAAATGAAACACTCTCGATACTCACACAGAAAATGTTCTATGTTGCCTCTATATTTGCTTTTTTGATCATTCTAAAATCAATTGCCAAGATTTTTCTATTAATTTACGTCTCTATGTGCGGTATTATCTGCCTTAATGTTTCTGTAATTTTATCTGCTACTACAGCAGCTGCTACTGATTTATTTCCGCTTATTTCAATTTATTATATTTTCAGAATTTCTGATAGCAATGCACATGAAGAAATTAGAAACGATGGAAATGGTTTGGTCACACTACAACCTGTATCTCAATCATCAAACACTCATGTAATCACTAACGAATGCACATCTAACGATATTGAGTTCGAAGATGAGGATTAATTCGTATCATTCCTTCTCACCCTTACTAGGTATCTTATCTTTCAGTTGATAGGAATTTTAAGAATAAATAATAATATATATTATAATTACAGAAATATGAACTACTACATAATTGTAAAATCTAGAATTTGAGCTTTTTCATGGAGATTCCATTCACTGAAACCTCATCGGATGATGGTTGAGCGGAGGAAGCAGAGGGCTCCTTCTTTATGGAGAGAGTAGGAATTTTGGGCTTGTTTGATTCTGCAGAAACATTGGAAACTTGTAACAACAAAGGATGAACCTGGGGAGCTTTGCGAGGAGAAGCAATGTCGCTATCATCATCGTCACTGTTATCACTTTCTGCACTTTCACTGAGTTCTTCATCGGAGAGGCCTGACTCTTCAATTTTCTCCAAGTTGTTTTGTTCATTAAGAAGAAAAGCAGAGGCATTGGGAGATAGAGTGGTAAATGTGTTGGAAGGTGTAGAAATGTTAAGATTTGGAGGAGATTTGTTGATGATATTTGGGTCTTGTGGAGGTTCGATTGTGGGAGATGCATTGATTTTGGGCAGGGCCAATTTTGTGAATGGAAGAGTAGAGGAGTTTGATTCCGATTTGGAGGAGCTTTGTTGCTGACTTGTTGCATTATTTACAACACTTGGGTTTGATTGAAGAGAAAGAGCTGGAATAGGCAGCAACTTTAGGGATAATGATGGAACTGGTGGCTGTGACACATTATTTGTGTTAGATGAAGATTCCAAATCTTCGCTGTCGTCATCCTCACTAGAATAACTGTCATCATTCTCACTAGCTTTTGTGGTGTTGACGACAGGCATCGTTGTTTGAGAGATTCCAATATTCAGTTTGGGTATACCTAATTTGAGAGGAGGCATCGACGAGGAGTTAACTGAAGTGTTATTCATTGATGATGCGAGTGTAGAAGAAATTTCTTCTGTAGGAGTTTTGGAATTGGAAATTACGTTGTTGTTGTTGGTACTCTCGAGAACAGGTTTTGTGGAATCCATCACAGCCACTGCTGTTGTTAAATACTTTTCAGGTGAGAATCCAAGAGAACTCATCATGTTCAAAAACCCAGTAATAAACGAGACAGCAAAATCATGAATGACATCCGTCGGAATAACATCATCCAAATCTACATCATCGAGTGACATGAGGCCTTTTTCTTCTCCGACCGTTTGCATCAAGTTCATGAACTGTTGGCACGAAATGCCATACAGCTCCTTGATTGACAATAATTCATGGATAATGCTTGCTGTGTCAATACTCACCCAATGAGTCTTTGGATATTTGGGACATTTCACGATATGTCCAACTGAAAAAACACGAACAAACCAATCTCCAAATACTTTCTTTCCATTTCGTGCTGTGTTAATTTGTTTCCACATATGTAATGTACACTGTGCTTGTAATTCACTTTTAAAACTCTGTTGATCGGTTTTTAAATGTTCCGTTACGGTACCACACCAATCTGTAAATTTCATCAAATCATCCAAACTGAATTTTCCATTCTTATCAAAATCCAACATGAATAACACTGCTAACTTTTTAAAATCAATCGGATACTCATCCAACGATTGTAACTTTTTAGCCTCCTCGATCACCAAATAATCTCTCTTGTCCGATTTTTTGACAGCATTGTATTGCCGTTGGACATGAGAGCGAATGGTTTGATTTTGGCCCATTTTTTTTTTGAAAAGAATTGACCCGCGCGTCGGTGCATAACTTATTTTTATTATTTTTTAAAAATTCGTAAACCATTGACGTTGCCGAGTTGATGAAAAAATTTTTATTCCCGAAGCAATTTAAGAGTTACAAATTAATGTTTTCTCGTCAATAAAAAACGTCAAAAATCTCTATTAGCGTTTTTTAAGAAATTGCGCCGTCAAATTAACGGTCTAAATTGACGTCGAAAATTTATGTTTCATCATCAATGATTGCTGTTAATAGTTTCGTTTTTTCATCATTAATTTTTCACAATTTTCTATTATTTGTTTCACTTTTCCAAGTTCTCCAACTCTTTACTTCTATTCTATGTCAACTAATTCGATTATAGTAACATTAAAATAATTTATACATACCTCAATCCTTAAAAAAACATTAAGGATGCGTGTTTAAGATTCTATTTGTGACATTAGATTGCCTAATCAAAGTAATTACTTCAATTGATCCAAACATTCACAGCAAATCCATGCATTGTCTAAAAGATGGCAAAATTTGTGGCCAATACATTAATTTGCTTACAATAAAAATACCAGAGAATCCTTAACTATTCAACATTAATTCCATCACGCTTTGCCGTTAAATAATACTCAAAACTCAACGCACAATAGTTAAGTACTTACATAATTTCCAAATGTTGCAATGATTACTAATGTGGAAATTCATTGGTGTGATGACTCGCAAGAATTGCATGATGATAAAAATTGTGCATATAGGAAAAATTGTTAGAACTAGGTGTCATTTCAAAATACCAACGGAAGTTATTGGCGCAGCTTGGATTCGACAAGGGTTGTCAATCAAACGATAAGTGGGCTTTAAGTCGATCGTGTCCCAAATTTGGGATGAATCTTCAGCATTACCACCAGCAAATGATTTCAAATCGTTTTCTGGGAGTCTAAGAAAATATGTCACTCATTTTGCTGATTATAAGCTTGTGAAAGATCCCTCCAATCTATGGATTTCAGTTTCAAATGGTGTTGCTTATTTAACAGAGATTATGTCTATATTTCGCCACGAAGAACTACTTTCAAGATTCACAATCATCAAGCATTCATTTGATTTCCGTTTGGCTGTAAAAAGTGCTCCTACGATTTACACAATCTCTCTGACAGGACGAGGTAAGAATACTGCAGAAAATGTAGTGATTGGTAGTATTTTCAAAGAAGATGAAAATGGTGCTCTTCAACACCCTCAAGCATGGAATGTGTTTAGAAAAATATATTCCGTTCACGGATTCAATTCTATCGCTCATGCCAACTCTGGCACTCAAGATATCACTATACGTCATATGATCTGTCCTGATTTGGCTGCTCTACGAAAGACAGTGAATACTTCATCCATTGAACAACCAATGCATTATGTCCTGAGATTGCAACAAGTAGCTCTTGTACTTCATACCTTTTTTGTAGAAGATAGATATTTGTTTTCGCAAATGCTAAGACAAGAAGGTACTTCTTGACTTTTCTATTTGTTAGGACAATGGGCACAGTGTATTAGAATGCATATAATGAATATTCAACATTTAGAAAATATACCACTCAACATTGAACAATTCTGTGCTTGGTATCACCTTCCAATAGAAACATTCAATCTCATACTTGCTTTTTTAGATGACAGTATACGGTGTTTACATGGACAGTGCTTGGTGGTATGTCCAAAGTGCTTTTACACTTGGACATTCAAGTTGGCATATTTTAAGTATCCAGGTCTTGGCATTTGGAAGTGGCGTAGAATGGATATGCATTGGATGAATGTTTTAGGTTATTCTGTAAAAGATACATCAATTTGCGTTGCCCATGGAATGAATCGGATTCTGTACACCATGCTTGACTTGACGTTAGGACAAAATGAAGATCATATGAGAGTATTTGCTTCTCTTTTTGAATTTGATACACCCATCGATTCCCTAAAAAGCAAAGAAGCAACGAAACACAAGCTTCGGGAAATAGGTTCCTTTATGCAATCTCATATAGACATTATTGAAAGGACTAATAGTGGAATCATAGTATCAGAAGTCAATCATCAAACTTCTGCACAGAACAATGGAGTTGGTATCATTTCTCTCGAATTTTCTCAAATTTTATTTAAGATGGCAGACAAAATTATTGTATCATGTTCACTATGGCTACCTTATATGTTGCGATATTTGGAAAGATATAGACTTGAAAACAATTCGACAATGGTACGTCATGCTTTGGAAACTCAACAAAGGTTTCTTGGAGTGGAACAACGAAATATCAATGATCAAGCTATGAGAGAATTATGGCAAGAGTTTCAAAAAGTATGGGTTATTATTAAGGCGGACAGACAACAATGGATTAATTGGAAACGCAATGGATACATTTACCCAAGAGAGGTTTTGGCTTCATTTCAGAACAAGATTTTCCTTAATGCTAGACGAGCCTCTGGTATCGCTGATTATGTTCACATTATTTGTTGCCACTTGATTGAGCTTTTTGATGCTTTTGAATTAGCCAACTGAATATCAGAATGTTGATACTGAATGTATTCACTCTATGCAGAAGGAAAGAGAACAATCAACCTCTATGAATGGTGGTTGTGGTTATGACGACTTCGAAGACTTGTTTGTAAGGGAGTTGAAGCGATTTCTCTGCAGAGCGGAGCTCTCCAAGTGGTTCTACTTGGAATACATCCTGTCTTCTTGGACACGTTGCTAGCTTCTTTTAAACGGACTGTTGATGACGGTTTGACAATCAATTCAATACTCTTAAAAAAAATGTTCCAATTACTCTTAACTGCGGTTGAAGCTGCCAGTTTCATGATCTTGTTTGGTAATTCTTTCTCTTTTGTGGTTCTATGGAAGGTATCGGGCGGTTTGTAAACAATACTCAATCATTCCGTTTGGAAGAGAACAATTTCTTCCGCCTGTTTTGTGTAGTTATTTGCCCGAGTTTTTGATTCCTAACGATTGGGGAAAACGATTGGGAGAAAATTTTGCACCTAAAACGTTTATGAGATTTATGAAAGAGAGTGGATGCGAAAAGATCTATAAAATAGTTTTCGGAGTACTCAATCAAGGCATGGTGGTGATTGGTGATTCGGATTTTTTGAAAGATGTGGCCACTAAAAAGTTAACGATCAAAGGAAATGAATTGAACTCAACAATTCAGGAACTGTTCGGAGGATCAAATGTGTTCACGGAAACAGATTATGAAGTGTGGCATCGTCACAGAAAGATTTTAGAGCCTTCATTCTCGCCATCTTCATTGGCATTAGTGGCACAAGTGACAAGCAATGTTGTTTTAGGTGAACTAATCCCAAGAATTAAGGAAAAGGGGTACCGAAGAGAGGTGGACAAGGATTTTTCTAGCTTAACTCTTGATGTCATCGGTTATGCTGGATTTAATTACTCATTTAATTCATTTTCTAGTCATGACAAGTCCAGTTTGACAGCTCAAACACAAACTCTCTTTCATTTGCTACTATTGTATGAACTATTTCCAAAATTTATCAGAGATCATATTGGAATATTTCCTCACAAGCCAACAAAAGACATTGCTTCACGTTTTACAGATTCCATTCAAAAAATTATTCAGCATAGATCCAGTCATGATGACAAGGAGTACAATGACATTTTATCATTATTACTTCAGGCTAGAGACGAAGGAAAGAAAAATAACGAGAGTGACAGCATGACTGATAAGGAACTCATCTCAAACTGTTTTGTTTTACTTGTTGCAGGACATGAAAGTGAGTATTTACTGTTTTGGTTCATTCTAAATTAGTTCTAAATTTATATCATGAACTAATGTGCTGTTATCAACATAGCTACTGCGAGAACCTTAGGATTTGCTTTATACCTTTTAGCAACAAATAAGGACGCTCAAGAACGGCTTCATAAATTCATCGATCACGACTATCCTGCACTTTATGGAAAGGACACTTTTGATTTTGCAGATTACCAAGCAGGAAGACTCGATTATGTTAAGGCCATTGTAAAGGAAACGTTACGATTGTTTCCAACAGTCATGGTTGCAATTAGAGAGCTTACTCAACCTTACACTTACAAAGGTTATCATTTACCAAAAGGTTTTAGAGTAGCCGCTTCATGGCAATTAATGCATCGAGATGAAAAGTATTGGCCTGAACCAGATGAGTTTATTCCTGAAAGGTTTTTGAAAAAGAAAGAACATGAAGACCACCATGACGACAACACTGAACCTGTCACACCTCAAGAATTCATTGCAACTCCAAAGATGGAAGTGACTTGTTTCAATCCACACATTGTGTTGCATCACAACCCATTTGCGTATGCTCCTTTCGGAATTGGAAATAGGTAAGTATAACTTATTTTATACTTATAATTATCATCAAATATCGCAATCATGATGAATGTTTCGTCTTGCTTTGTTTTGAAATCAGAATTTGCATTGGAAGAAATTTTGCAGAAGTTGAAGCCGTATTTACGCTCGCTCTGTTAGCAAAACATTTCAAATTTTCAATGTCCGAAAATTATCAAATGGAAGTTGACATGTTCATTACTTTGAGACCCAGAGATCCGCTTTATATTAACTTTGAGAAAAAGTAGGAAGTTTTATTTCTGCGTTGACTATTGTAATTTGCATTAAAGAGTATGAAATTTTTTTTTCGATCGTTTTGGGTCATTTTTAGCTTCGGTTGTTGTGCGTTGTTTTTCGTTGTTTGTGCGTTTATGCATTGGTTTATTTGTTGTTTTGCTGCTTTTTAACGTTATCAGAAATAATTGTTGGTCATTATTGTTTGAATCAAGAAGCTCGAAAAGTTCATTCCAAACATTGTTCGCATGTTTTAATTGCATCGCTCGTTTTGTCCACCCATTCTGCTTCATTTAACTGCTGGATAGTTGGTGAACTTGCACTTGGTTGGCTTGTTGAACAAACTACGGACATGCTTGTCTTCTCTTCTGAAGAATTATATCCAATAATAGCTGTAGGTGGAGTTTTTGTGTGGGCTACAGTAGTACTAGGTGAAGGTTTGACAGGTTCTGTGGCTTTTTGTTCTTGTTCTGTGATTGCAGGAGAACTTATTTCAATTTCCAACCGCAGGCCTTAATTGAATAACATAATCATTTCCATCTTCTTCATCTTGTTCAGAATATTCTCCAAGGTAATCATTGTCATCTTGTACTTTCTCTTCTTCAATTTTCTCCATTTGTTGCTTCAACGTTTGCAATATGTGCCTTTTTTTCCTTTTTTTCAGGTTTTAGGATACTCTTTCTAAAAGACTCTAATAATTCTCTTTTGTACATTTTCATCCTGAGTTCCCAAAGGCTTCGATCGTGTTGATTCTCTCCTTCTTCTTTTTGTTCTTCTTTGGCAGTTTCGCAATCGCTTCTTCTTCCGCTTTGTTTTGGATCAAAAAAATGGTTGTTGTTCATTCACGACAACGATTTGCCAATGTTTCAACATCGAACAGAGTATACGTTCTTGGGAAACGTTTGTTTCAGCAAGAAATTAATCTAATAACACTTAGATACAATGCCCTTAAATAAGAGGGAGTTAAAACAAGCAAGCTCATCTCTACAAACAATGCTACGTGAAACATTTGTCGTTGTTAATTGTCGTTCGTCGTTGTTGTTTGCGCTTTTTTCATTTTTAAAACTACGAAAAAAATTTCACACTCTAATGCAAATTACAATATTAAACAAGAATTGAGAGTACCATTGGATTTTCCTGAGCTAGATTCCAAAACCATTTGTTGTTATTTCATAAAAATAGAGAATGCTATTTTCATGTGCCTTCCTCTTTCACACTTACAAGTGTTCTCTTGTCCCTTATCTTTCCTAAAATAGAAGCTTAACAAGAAGGAAGTGTTCCTTTACCTTTACCTAAAAGATGTTACCACTTCACTTTCACCGACTTTAATGGTTATTTTTTTGAATAGCTCTATGGAACACTCTCCTTCATTCAGTACCCTGTCACAATTTCATGAATATAATTGAAACAAGAGAAACCTGCATTCCACCAAATGAAGAGTTGACTTTTCAACAACTCAGAACGACACAAAAAAGAATGAACACCCAACCAACTTCTCCAATAAAACCACACCTCTCCGCACAGTCACAGAATTCTCTCTCCATGAAACCCATCCAATCTCGAAACATTCATTGCAAAGTCATTTACGATTTTGAAGCCAAGGAAAAACAAGAACTTTCTGTTCAATGTGGTGAATTAGTCGAAGTGGTGAAACGCTACAAAGATGGATGGAGTTGGTGCATTGTGATGCGAGAGGAAGGTGAGAGTTATGGACTCATTCCAACGGCGTATTTGCATGAAGTGCAACCACACCAGCCTTCTTCTTCTTCTTCTGAGAGTGGTGGTTTTGACTCTATTCATTCGCATCCAGTGCTTCATAGTATTGCGAAAATCATTCAAGAAGAAAATGTTTCCTTATCAACCGCACCAACGTTGAGTGACATGAAGGATGAATGTTCTGAAACGAACACAATGATGAATTCACAAGCTCATCCATCTGGAAACACACAAATTGTGTTCGTCGATGAGGATGGAATGGTTTCCAATGTATTGACTTTTGGAAACATGATGAATGAACATGAATCCGATGTCGACACTTGCACAACCACAAACAACAACAACAACCCTCACTCCTGTATCAGCAGCAGCACCACTACCACCTTCAATTCAAACCCAAAGAAAGAGAAAACCAAGTTCCTGAAACGATTGGGATCTTTCTTTCAGAAACCTGCTTCGAATGGAAAGAAGAGCAACACTCTCTCGGAAGATCCTAATGATAACAACAACAACAATAGCGAATACGATGAATCAAATAAGAAGAAGAATAAGACGACCAATGCTTCAAAAACCTTAAAACCTCATCGTTCCATGTTGAATTTAAAGAAACAATTCAGTACTTTACGAATTCGTTCATCGAAAGAAGCTCCAACGACTACTTCTTCTCATGAAACCCAACAACAACATCCGAATCAGCACTCAGAGACTCTACATGAAAAAGCCTTCACTCTGCAACCTCAAAAACGAGCAGTACCTTCTTCACGCATCTCTCCATTGGAAATCAAAACAAGTATTGAGCTCATGACTCAATTAAAACAACAACAAGAACAACAACAGAATCTTCATCATCATGGTAATTCTTTGAGTATTCTATCTTCGGAGAGTTTATTCCCCATGAAAGCTTTGCAAACAACAGCGAAAAATAGTAACGCTAAACGAAGGTCGCAAGACTCGACGAATAGTACAAATTCATCCCCTAACAACCATCATCAGAGTTCGTTCCGAGACTCGATTTCGTTTAACCTCTTTTCAAAACATCGAAGATCAAGAAAAAAGAACGCCATTCCGACGGATCGTGCTGTTGAAATATTGTTGAATAATTTGGATTGTTTTAAGAGGAGAAGGCAATTTCGTTTGTATATCAAGAAAGATGAAACATTGAAAAAACAAAGAAGAAGACTAGAGTTAATCAAGGAAACCATTGAAACGGAGAGAACTTATGTAAATTTACTCAAGACGTTTATTGAAGTGTTCTACTATCCAATTATTAATGATTCAGGATATGCCAAAGGCGTTCTTCGAAAGGAAACAACGACCACACTCTTCAGTAATATTGAGCAAATTTATCAAATTAATCATACCTTGTTGAATGATTGGGAGCGAGAATTTCAGCTACATTATCCCTTCATTCAAATAGGATCTGCCTTCTCACAAATTTGTCCATTTCTAAAAGCGTACACTATTTACATTAATAATTTTGATAAGGCACAAGAAACCTTTGAGAAGTTGAGAGATAAGGATAAAAAATTTAAGGAATATCTTCAAGAGTGTTATAGGAATAAGCAAACAAAAGGACATCAACTTGGTGGCTTTCTTATTTTACCTGTACAGAGAATTCCGAGATACAAGATGTTGATTCAAGAAATATTGCATTTGACATCACAAGATCATGTGGAGTATGAAATTCTAAAGAAATGCAGTATTGAGATTGAGTCCATTGCTTCATATGTAAATGATGAAAAGAAGAAGGTAGAACAAAACCAAGTCGTGTTTGAGGTTCAAAATCTCGTTCAAAAACACTATAATTCATTCATTCAGCCCAATCGGAAATTTGTAAGACGAGGAACCATGCGAGTTCGAGCAATAACACATCATATTGAACAGCAGCTCATGGATGGAAGATCTTCAAAATCGATTCGGCCAGTTTCACTTATCGACATTATGAACTCGATGGTGTGCAAGGAAGCAAAATTTGACATATTCCTTTTCACAGACGTGTTGGTATTAATTGAAAGAGACAAAAGCAAAAACAACCACTCATCTCAAATCATGAATCCAGACAGTTTACACTTCATTTTCTTGCAGTTTGTAGACTGTAGAGATTTTACCAAGTACTCACCAAGCCAATCACAAAGACAGTTTATTGATTCTCCGAATGCTCTGTTATCCAATCACAACCAAAAGAGAAGTAGTATTCATCTCAAAGACAACACCATCACACGAGTTGAATACGAAGATTGCACATTCACATTAGAAGCCTTAATCAAATCTGTCAAGACAGAGTATACCTTTCATTGTACCACTGTGGATGACAAGATGAGTTGGATGAGCAGTATTAAGGACTGTCTTGAAAATATCAGTCGTTCCAATATTTCCAAGGGAATCGATCAAGACATGTTTATCGTTGGTAAGGAAAGAGCTTCCCTCAACCGAATCGCTAAATACAAGTTGGAAGAGCATCAGAAATTGGAAAAGAGTAATCTTATGAAAATTTCTTATTTAACACAGCTGGACCAACATCTCACCAAGAAAAAACAGCAACTCGCCAAGCTTCAGAAAGAAATTAGCATTTACGAGATGGACAAGGAACAAGTGCTTTCTGATGTGAAATGTGTGACAGAGAAGAAAAATAAGATACGAGAGGACTTGAAATCATACTACGCATCCATTCAAGAAAAGGACCTTGCCTGTATGAAGCTCTTGAATGAAGACCATGCGTTTAAATTAGTGTTTGATGATGTTCCATCCGTGGATATTCAAGCAGCTTATTCCTACATGACCAAAACAAAAGATTCCACACGTAGAAAGACAAGTGGAGATGTTACATTGAATCCATCAAATGATGAAAGCTCGGACTCTCCTTAATCAAATGGAGTCTATATATCAAACAGAACGCCCTGTAGAGTAGTTGTATCTATCAGGTATCAGGAATTGGCACATCAAACAGATTCCTTTTATATATAGAGATAGATCATGGAAGAAGTCAATTTTTCATCTTCTTCACTACTCGAAGCTTGGATATGATTGTCACTTTCATCTTGTGGATCATTTGGGACTGGAACTACAATGGTTATGCCATGAAGGTTATCATCGTCGGTCATGAGGCTTTCTTCTTCATGTGAAATTTTGTGAAATGGGAGACAAGGAAGGATTTATTTATCGATTGTGGCCTTCCATTGAATCTCATCGACATCAACCTCATATTGCGGTATGGGATTTGGTTTCCTTTTTACCAAATGATGGATTTCACATTTACATGGATTCTGAGTTGGGACATTACAAAACAGCAACACTTTTAAATGAAAATTCCTTCAAATTTATCATGAAATGCAACTCTTCGAGTTTGGAAGGGGGATGTAAAGAAAAGCTGAAGGAAACAAAGTTGTCAGAAGGTTCTTACACTTCATTGACAGATGGCCAAATTGTGGCGATCACTTACAAAATGTCGACGGAGTCTCGAGTGAATTTTCTAACGAATGAAACTTCACTCGATCCAGAGCAAGTTGAAGGAAACCAAATTCCAAAAGTCATTGATCTCTTTGACAAGAGGCTAGTGTATGCCAACGAAAGTGATCAATATTCGCTTTTGTACAGTGAGTACAGTCCACTAAAGTTGACCAACTTGACACAAGCAATATGGATGGGAATATTTAAGATAATCCTTTCCAATGCTCATATTTATGCTATTGTCATGTTTCAAAACAGAAAATGACCTTCAATTCATTCATGATGGAAGTGTCAATCCAAATGGCACGAAAGGGAGGAGCGAATCTTGATGAATATGGACATTTGCTCACAGCACCTCATTCACCTCAATATGTCCATGATCGCCACGGTCATGCCTGTTCTCATTGTGTCAACAGAATCACACATTACAAATGTAGTGGCTGTGGGCAATGGATATGTCAACATTGTCAAGGAAGTGGCTGCTCTCATGAGAAATAATAAGTTAATGTTTAATTTACAACGCGCAATAGTGTAACATGCTCTTTCAAAATTGTTATGCTAACACAGATTTCAGTCTTGCAACGACAACAGTTATGTTGTCATTACTACCTTTCTTATTGTATGCATAATCTCTTAATTTCAAACTTGCAGCTACTGGATCCAATTCATTCCTAATCTCATCAATTGCCTCTTGTTCAGAAACGAAATCAAAAATACCGTCACAAGCTACAATAACAAACTCATCCTTATCACAAAGTCTAATTGCTTGAGTATGTGGATCTGAAATGACACCAGGTTGGAATGTTTTGTCACCAATCGATCTTGAGACAGCCAAACATGCACTGATACGATTGTTAATGATGGATTTTCCAGCATCTCTAACACGTCTTCTTTCGTCAGAATCAGTGGGTCTATGGTCTACCGTTAGAACAATTGGCTTACCATCTCTGCAAAGTACCACCTTCGAATCTCCTACATTTCCTACAAATAAAAATCTTGAGTCAATCGTTGGAATATAAACCAATGTAGCTGTTGTACCATCTATGCTGTTTTTTTCACAAACAGCTTCATTGGTCTCTAAAAATGATTCTCTTATTAATAAATGCATTGCATCTACTGGTGACAAAGACAAAATATCGAAATATTCAACAGCTTGCTCCTCAGAAAGAGTTTGTTGTAATTCTTTCTCCTTTAAGTGTTGTAGAAGCTTTGAGGTTAAACTTTTTGCCTCTTGCTTTAATGCTTCTCTACCGGGTGCTGATTCATAATATCTCGAAAGTAAATTTTCATATTTTGTTAATTTTTCCAAGAAAATAGTATGTAAAATAGTAGAAGCATGCTTTGATGCTAAGGAACCTCCATGACCATCAAAAACTCCAATAAATGTTTCATGACGTGTTCCTTCACTTGTTTCAAATTTTCTAAAAGAAACATCACAATGTAGTGCATCTTCCATAGATGGTCTTGACCCTTGGAACTCACAATAACCAACTTTCAACCAATCATTCTCTTCTGGAGCTGTCGATTGTGTGTCGTGCTGTGACAAACACAATATTTAACACAAATTACTCTTCTAGAATGTCAAGAAATTACTTACTCTTGTTGATGCTCTTGGATTTGCTCGTTTCCTATTTTTGTTTCTCTCTTGAGCTAATTTCAATAAAGCTTCTTCATCATTGACAACATCCAAAACTGTTGATTTTTTATCATCAGTTGCTTCTTTCAATGAGTCCTGAGCCACAGAACTGTTTTCTTCTGTGGAATGACCATTTGGAGTTATAATACTAGGTGATGACGTCACAGCTTTCGTTTCTGGCTCTGTAGAACTTGAAGGAAAAGCAGGAGGAGTACCTCTAATAATCGGTGCTCGACCTCTTCTTGAAGAAGACATTATTCTTGAGGTTTCAGGGGAAGATTTGTTGGTTTGATCGTTGTCATCTGATTTTGTGGAAGGACTTTTCTCTGATGTACTGCTGGGCGTTGTGGTGATGGTTGATGTTGTTGGTGTTGATGGTGTGGAGGGCTCAGCAGATGATAAAGAAGAAGACATTGAAGATTCGTCTCTCGTAGTCTCATATCTGTGATTTGTGTGATCCGATGATAATGACAATGAATGAGTAGCAGCTCCTGAGGCAGCTCTTCCCAGAACGACAGCCTTCTCATCATCATCCATCAAACCGTCCACAACCACTGTTCCTTCTTCTCCTTCTTCGGAAGAAGAGGAATCATCCTCATATTCATCCTGATGTGTGTTCTCTTCTTCTTCTTCTTCTTCGTCTATCATGGAATCCAGTAGATGATACCCAACCGGTTGTCCTCGATGGGCGTTACCAGAAGAAGACGACGACGACAGTGATGGCAGTGCCGCTGAATTTCGATGATGACTCATTTTTTAATGAGAAGTTGAGACTTGAGAGGATATTCAAAAAGAGAGACTTTTTTTTTGACGGGCGCGATGAGAGTAGTTGCAACAAGATCGTCCTTACTACTGCTACTCTCTCACTCTCCCTCTTACAACAGGTGGTGGTGGTGGTGGTGGTCTTCAACAAATATGTGGTGGGTCATGATAGGAAAGGCAACCTTGTTGAAGGGTAATTAATATATTAGAGAGAGAGAACTGAATTCTTCTTATGAAAAAATGGCGCCCAAGTCGTCCATGATGAGAAGACTGAATGATGATTCGCCAAGTAGAATTCTACTTCAGAGAGGAGGAGTGAGTGCTGCTGCTGCTTCTCCAACCACCACCACCACTTCCTCCTCCGCCACCACCACCACCACCACCACCTCGGAAACACAACGTGTGTTGTTGCAAAAGAGTACAACACCTCCTCCTCCCACAGTTTTGAAAAGAATTTCATCGTCCAGCAGGAAATCATCAGCGATGATGATGGAAGAAGGATCAAAGAGAAAGAGATCATCATCTGGGAGTAGACAACCACCATCACCTTCAATGGATAAAACACCTCCTCCTACTACTCTTATTCCATCACGACAAAGATCTTCACGCAAGAATGTGCCTACTCGACGAGAACAGGATGATTCATCCAATTCCGATCCATACCACCATCACTCATCGAGTGAAGAGTTTGAGGAATCTCTTCTTGTTTCTGAAAGGAGAAAAAAGCTCAGGACATTACCAACATTTGATGAAGGTACTGCCACCAATTCTTCAAACGATGGTGATCTTCTCATCATGAATGATCTTGGACAAAACGTAAGCAAAAGAAGAAGAGAAAAACGAGCGCAATTAATGACCATCGAAGAATCAGAAAAAGCAGGCACACCAAAGCATCAAGAATTCTTGTCTGATACAAAAGAGTCTGTGCAGCAGTCAGTGAAAAAAGCATCCCTTATAATTAGAGGACGATCCAGAAGGTTGAAGAACTTTAAGGATTCTCAAAACGAGCTTGTGAAACAGGTGAAAATGTCCTTATCCATTCAATCGTTTTGCACAGCACCAGCTCAATAATGTGTCTTTGACTCACTACGAATGAATCAGCACAAAAAAGAATGACATAAGGACAAATTGAATCGAAATTCACCAACTCTAAAGACCAAGTTGGTGGTATTGGATCTCGCTACCCATTGACTGTTGTTGTTGACAGTGACCACAACAGAAAAAAATGGAAACACCGAATGTCATTGAGACACATTCTTCTTCTTCATCGGAACGACCAATGACGATTACTGGAGCCACGAATGAAAAATCGACTCTATCATCACAGTCTCACTTTTATCAATTAAATGAATCTCCACATTCTTCCGAACAATTAACTAGTCATGTCAGTGTAAATAATAGAAGAGTTCGCTTTTCCGATTCTTCTCATGCATCCAATTCGCAAGTTATTGGAAATATTAGTAAGGCGCTCAGCAATAGTGGTATTCACAAGGTGAGTTTCCAAAGATGCACATCTCTAACACTGCAGATCTCAATAGGCTGTGAAAGATTCAAATCTCTCTGCAACTAATATTGCAAATTACGAATCCCGAAAGAAAATGAAGAATATTTGGCGAAGCAGACTGAAAGGAATTATATTGGATTTGGAAGTGTTTCAAACCGTTTTATCAATATTATCTGCTGTGTTTTTCATCATTTCATCATATATTCAAATTGACGTTGATGGAAGATTACTGGCTTTGGTTGTTTGCGATTTAATATTTTCTTGTTTTTTTATTGCACTTTTCATTATTAATTTTCTTCTCGCCAAGAACAAGTATGTTTATCATGTAATAGTTGTTATTGAGATTATCCAATTCAACATTGATGTGTTTGTTTAATTCCAGAATTTTGTTCTTTGTAACACCACTCTCTATTTTGGACTATGTGACTGTCATTCCATCATTAACCATTACTGTCATTTCATTTACTCAAGATTCATTTAACAGCCAATCTTATGCATTTGTAGGGTTATTAAGAGTACTGAGATTGTTGCGGTTAATTCCAATCACTAACAAAATTTCATCTAAAGGAGAAATCAATTCTGTTCTTGCCAAAGTTATTGAACTTGCCTTAACTGTAGCTTGTTTTCTTGTGATATTTTCAGGACTATTCCAATGGTTAGAAAATTATTTTGGAGATCGAGTGATCTATTTTCACGATGCCCTATATTTTATTGCCATCACTCTTGTCACAATTGGCTATGGTGATATTGTAAGTAACTAATGACTTTGAATTGATTATTCGATGGTCTTATCTCTTATATTCAGTCTCCATCAAATGTTGCCTCTAGATATGCAGTAATTTTATTTTTTTTGATTGGTGTCACAATCATTCCCATCCAAATTTCTCAAATTTACGAAATTGTGACAAGCGAAAAAAGTATATTTAAGGTGAAGAACTTTACTCTTAAAAATCATACCATAGTGAGTGGAAGTTGCAGAATTGACGAAGCTATTGATTTTGTTAAGGAATGTTTTCAAAAAAGAAAGAAGAGAATCAAAAGAGTGATTCGTAAGTATGATTTGCCTCTTCTGCTAAATATTTTATACATAATGCATTGAAGTGGTATTTAAAAACGAGGATTTTTGCAAACACCTACTAGAGAGTTTGAAAAAAACACCCTTCCGAAGCAAGATTTACGTTTATTGTGGAGACATTATGGATTTCGAAACCATGAACCTTTTAAAAGTTCCACAAGCTCAAAACGTGTTCCTGTTAAATAGCCCAAAAATTGGAAATGCAAGAAAACAAGACACATCCATCATCATGACCACTATCGCATTAAGAAATTTCAACAAAAACTTGAAAGTTTATGCCCAAATTAATTTAATGGAATCTAGACCATATTTAATTCGAGCAGGTGCCAAGGTAATCATTTGCAATGAAATTTTGTGTACAAAAATTCTTTCTGCATCTGTGTCATCCACTGGCTTTAATACCTTCTTATTTAACTTACTCAGTGGAGTAGAGATTACAGTGTTTTCTAAGAATCTTCCAACATCAGTTCAGTCACTGAATTTTCAAAGCTCAATTAATCTCATGATGGCTCTCGCTGCAACGAAAGATGATTTTCTCGATGATGAGAGTAAATGGATCGCTGAGTATGCAGAAGGATTGAATTGTGAAGTGTTCAGAGTCAAATTTAGTCCAGCATTCAGCAATAATCTTTTTATTGATGCTGCAAAATTGTTGTTAACTAAATTGGAAGTGGTTGTGTTTGCTCTCGAAGATATTAATGGAATCATCTTGATCAATCCATCTCGATACTTGATTAAGGAAGGAGACAAATGTTTTTGCCTTGCCAAGAGTTTCAAACACGCTCAAGAAATTGAAAATTATCAGCACACAGAAAACGAAATTAACACTCATGCAAAAAAGTTAAAGTCTGCTAAACCATTTGTATACGCTAAAACACCAATCGATGACTTTGGAGATGATTTTCTAGATGCCAATTATATAGAATATACCACAAAAGAGCAAATGAAATTTGAAGACAGTTCTCAAAGCGAAAAAGAAGTCAAGAAAATTTCAGAGAAACAAATTGACAAACAACACCGAAAACAACTTGAACGAAAGTCACGAAATCTAATGTCATCACTTAAAAAAGATGTCAAAAGAGCTGGAAGCAGTTCTGAACCTAAAATAGTGGATGTTTTATTATTGAGAAAAGATGAAGACGTTCCAGATGATGAAGTCAGAAACGCACATTTAGAACTTCTATTGAAGATTTTGTCACCAGAAGCATATTTCTTGGAAAAGAGACAATATTTAAAAAAAATTAGAGAAACACTTTCAAAAGAGGAAAGTCGAATTGAAGAACAGAGATTCTTTTCAAATATTATTAATAACTACAATTTGGTACAAATACCAAGGTCAAAGGAAGAGTTTCTCATCACGAGTTATCGAGTTCCGTTTCTTATTAAGGATCACATTTTAATATTAGGTGAATTTCAACAGCCAGCAATGATATGCTCGTTAATTCGATCGTTTCATAGAAAGAATAGACTCACACCAATTGTTTTCATGTCACATTTGGTTGACAAATATTTCCATTATCTCTATGATCGATTGAAACACTTTTCAAATATTTATTTCATTCAGGGAAATCCAATGAAAAGCTTTGAATTAAGAAGAGCTGGATATCAATATGCAATAACCATACTTTACTTTACACAGGATGAAAAAATTATTAATTTAAATGATCATACCTTATCAGAAGAAAAAGATGAACAAGAAACAGAATATTCCATTGATTCAGAAGCTATCAAATTGGCATTAGGAATTGAAGCTACAGAAGGAAACAAATGTTTTTTATTGGAGCTTGCGAATCGATCCAATTTGAAATTCATTCCTCATGAAGGTGTTGGAACATTTGAGAAAATTAGATCTCTTCAAGAAAAAGGAGTTGTAGAGCATAATTTAGATGATATTGATTTATTTTGCTTATTTTCTGATCTTCACATCTCGAGCAGAATATTTCCTTCTTCTTCATTCCTGAGTCGATTGTTAGCTCAATCCTTTCACAACAAGAGAATTGTGGATTTAATTGAACAATTGTGTGCCGATGAATTTTTGGCAGGTGACAATCAATCTGTGATCTTTGAAGTTCCAATACCTTCTACATTTGTTTCACTTTCTGTCTATGATTTAGGTAGGTTGATGAGTGATGTTGAACATTTTCAAAATGATTAATGATTATTATTCATTCTAGTAACTTCATGTTTTGAGAATGATCTCATTCTTCTCGCTCTTAGTCGAGTGAAATTGTCATCAGATTTGAATAGTATTCATCATTCCCATCTCAATAGATACATTTACACAAATCCTTCACTTTCTACTGTTTTACGATCCTCTGACGTTCTTTTCTTGTGTGGACATCGAAAAGATTTCCATAATTTGTTAAAAGATGAGAAATGCAAAGATATTGACCTTTCGAACAAGTCGACTCATCATAAGGATGAAACAAAAACGTCACAACCACTTCAGGAAGATCAAGTGGTTGTAGAAATTAATTTAGAAGAATTGGATGTTAAGAACTTGCAACAAAAGAGTTGTGGAACACCACCACTCGTGTCTTCTCCAACTCTTGAAGAGAATTCTCCTCAAGAAAGTTCTCCATCATCAACTCATCATCATTCTGACGGATTGACACATTCTGCATCACTTCCAAATTCAAATCCAACTATTGTAATCGAGTCAACGAATGAGAGAAAGCAACCTCATATTCCTCCTCTTCGACTTGTAAATTCTCAACAAGGTGACGACGATGAAGAAGAAGAACAAATGCCACGAATGAGTTTTGATCAATTATTGAAAGTTCATACTGCGAGAAAGATTTAATCATGAATTTACAAATTCAATTTCAAATGTGAAAGTAAATTGGAAATCGATCCTCCCAAAAAATACCAACAGAACAAGGATGATAGCAACGTGTGATTCATTTTTTTTCCTTGTTCTGATCCAAAGACCTTCAGATCAAATTAGAAAACTTGACAGTGCTGGAAATTACACAAAATTCGAAGGTATCACCATTGTCATGCCTCTATTAAATGACCTTTCTCCACTCTTTAGAGACCTTCAAAAAGTAGTTCCGAACGCCTTCCATTCCTTGCTGTAACTCTCTGGAATTGCATGCACAAGTAAATTTACGAACTGTGAAATGTACAATGAATTTTTAGACAAGTTCATTCCTTTATTGCATCAATTACAGCAAGAAATGAACACTCAACAAGTGGATCGAATCAATTACATTCCTAATAAGGTAACAGAAAAAAAACTTTTACCAACTCACTGCGTACTTTCAAATTGCCGATGTCCAATCCAAAGAGTTGATTGACAAGTTTTCTCAGCTCGGAAAGCAATATTTGGGTGATACATTTGTGTACAGCGAACCTCACATGAGCTTGGCTTACCGAATTGCAAAAGGTGAAAGTAAGGAAATTAAGAAAGCCATTGTGGATGTGTTAAATAAGCACTTGAATGGCACAGTACTCTCGTTTGGACATCCACAAGTTTGTAAATTTGATGACATGTGTGAATTTAAGCCAATATTCTCCAATCATTACAATAAATAAACTACGGTACTACCAAGAAATGCCATTTTTGACACTGTGAGAATGAATTTATAAATTGTAGGTACTGCCAGGCTAATAATTATCGTTTCCTATTTAAAGTCCAACCATGTTTTGATGTAATTTTGAGAATTGCATCCATATGGTTATCCCACCATTCTGTGCAATAATCATTCTTTCTATCAGTTCGTGTTAAATGTTTTAAGCAATATAATAAAACTCTTGAATCCGTAATTTGTTCCATTTTTGTGAAATAAGCATCCAAAATCAATTTAACTCGTTGAGATTGCAATGAATCGTTAATTAACAACATGGTTTCCAGAATGGAAATAAAAGGATCAGAGGCTTCGTTAACAGCATTTTGGAAAGTGCACTGTAGTAAATGATTGACAAGAGATCTTGTAAAATCTGCATCTTCCCAACAATAATGAGCAAAAATACCAGCAATGTCATCTAATCGTAGATTGAGTGACATTAATGATGTTAAAAAGGACTTGTTAAATAGCTTATCAAAATCTGTTTTTGGTAAGGTAAAGACATGTCTTTGATTCGTCTCAGAGATTGGTGATGATAAATCATAATTCAAACTGGTTGGTTTGTTTTCAATTTTTGAATCATCACAAGTTTTCACAAGGAATGCGATGGAAACGATCATGTATGAAAGTGATAGTTGACTTGACATGGTAATGAGAGGTTGTTTCAGGGAGGAAAATGAAACTTGTTCATATTGTCCTTCTGGATTCAGACCTGTCATATAGAGTATCATTTTAGATATCAATTGTCTCTTGATTAAAAACAATCTCATATTGTAGGGTGCAAATGAGGAAAGTTCGTAAAGAAATCGGAAATAATGTGTGGCAGAACGCCACGTCGTGTACATGCCCATCATACTGATCATAGTGTCAATAAATATACCAATACAACATTGCTTGTTAATTGTCACATTAGTTGGGTTTGGATTTTCCAAATATTCCATCAGATTTTCATGAGGATACAATGCCTTGATGCACGAGATGAATAAATCAATTAATAAGTCTTTGATTTCTTGGGAAGGACATGACACTATTGCTGGAATCAGCCAATTCTGTTTGTTGGTTGATAAGCTAGTCAAAAATATTTTGCACAGAGTGACGTTCTTTTCGAATGTGTCCTTCAGGTACATGATCCATTTCATTATTTTAGGATTGGAGGAACGAATGTAAAATTCGAGTACATAGGTTAATGACAGTGAAATGTTCTTCGTCAATAGTTCATGATCATTTGTTTGTAAAATGCTTATGGAGCTAAATAAAAATGCATCAAACGAGTCATCGAAAATGTTCTTGTAGTGATAAAACTTTTCATTCTCTTTCCATACTTTCTCTTTGATGGAGTTAGGCATGTCTATAACTGCATCACTCTGTTGATTACAAGTTTCAGAGCTGGTATTGAAAGAATCTGCATGCAATAAATGCACACGCTGATAAAAGAGCATGTATGCATTGTTGCACCTGAACATGGAAGTCTTTCTTCCATTAATGTTATTTTCCACAACACCTCCAAAACACTCGCTGTCCAAATTCTCAGTATCAAAAACATTAATTTCTTCATCATTAAACTCATACCATGTTTTGTCTTCAGTTCCAGATCCTCTATTCATAATGAATGAATAATAGTGACCAGAATCTGCACTTCCTGAATGTACCAAGACTCCCACGAGTTTGTATTGATAGTATTCATCAGGTCGATGTGCTGGAGGAATGTCATATATACCTCTTTGTTCTTTTCTTTCCATTCCCTCAACAGTGTAGGCCTCCATATTCAAGGTATGAGGAAATTCTACACGATCATTAATTTTTCTGTTGACCATTAAACTAAAATCGAAATCAAATCTTTTCAAGTGAAGAATTAGAACATTTGGAAGATCCTTAATCAAAGTTCTTTTCAATGCATCCACATGCTTTTCAAGCTTGTCACTATAGTATTGATTATTTCCTTCCAACATTTCACCTTGCACATATAAATCAAGAGATTCCATAATATTTCTCTTATTTTTAACCTCTAAACTGATAATATTGAAATTTTCTGGTCTCTCAGAAACGTTATCATCATAAATAATTTGATGCAAAAGAGTACCTCCAAAGACATCTTTTAGTAAGTGTCCTTTACCATAAAACTTCAATGCTTCTTCAATTCTATCAGTAAAAAGATTGAAAAACTCATTAGCATCATGCTGAGTAGAGCAATCCACTGGTCTTCCATCTACCTTGTAGAGTGAACAAAATGGTCTTGTATCGTAAAACTTTTTTGAGCTCTCTTGAAGAAATGCAAAGATGGTTTGAAGCTCTTTGAGAAGGTTGACATTGTCTTGCATCTTTTCTTCTACTATCGATGTGGTGTCAGTATTAACTCGTAGCAATTCTTTTCTGAAAGGAACCGTCATAAAGAATTGTTGAATCAATGAATTCATACTATTATGAAATGTACAACAACTTGATCAAAATCAATTATAATTGTAAACACTTACTAGCATGTGGCACCTTGGTTTTTAAGTCCAACAAAAGGTTTTTTTCTTTCCAAGTGTCTCGGCACAATGTTCCAGAATGTTGGTTGTTCACACTCGTACATGTACTTTTCTAATAGGGAGAGCATTTCTGAGAAAAACGTTGGAGAATTATCCGCTAACTCTGATAAAAACTGAAAAGCAGCATCTCTACTTTCTCTTGTCTTGCATTTTGGAATCTGGATACTTGTACGTGATTTTGGTACCTCAAATAAACAATTGTAAAATATTCTCTTTCCTATCTCATACAAGGCACTTGTTTGTTTGATGTAAGGATAAAGTTTTAACAGAGCTCTTGTAATGTTAAAGAGACCAATTAAAATGTAATCTGGTTGGGATGAGTGAGACTCTTCAACGACATTTCTGTTAATGATTTTTTCAACAAGCTCATAAATATCGCCATCTTTGATCTCTGTAAAATTGCTATGTCTACTACCAATTAAGTTTTCAAGGAGTATAAAGTATTGTTCGCATCTATCTTGATACTTTTCAATGTCTTCTTCTTTCAACATTCGATAAAGCATGACAATAAAGTACTTGCATGCTTCCTCATTCTTAGAGGCTATTTCAATAATGGTGCTTAAAAACTTCTTTCTGATGTTTACGTCGGCTGTATACAATAAACTTCGTATTGTAATATGCTTCAACTCTTCATGGTTCAAAAACCATGCCATTAAATCATTTTTGGCTGTCACAATTCTTTGAATTGATGTCAAACCATAATCGTACAGCATGCAATTAGCATACTCTTTCGTCATCGTGAAACTAGGGTTGAATTGAAAGATTTCTGGTGTTTGGCGATAGGACAATGATGGAAGAGAATTGTTTTCTTCTTTTTTTTCATCAATCAAAACCATTCCAATCGTCCTCAATAAATATTCTAAAATATCTGTTAACCGCTCCTCATAATCTATACGGATATAGAAATGAACATGTGCTTGGAAAATTGAAACTTACTTGGAATAAATTTGTTTAAAAGCTTGAGCAGCAATGCCATGCACTGCTTGTGGAGTGGACTTTTGTTTTCTGCATTGGAAGCAAGTAGTCCATTAATTAAATGTGAAACTCCTCCTAACTTGATAAAGCTATGATAAAAGGTTGACTCTTGGGTGAGCTTTTTCTGAAACTTTGTATCTAATATTTGCAACGAATAAAGTAGCTTGTGAGAGTTATTAACAGGAAGTACAGATTCCCAATCAACCTTTGAACTGGTTTCTATGTTCAGAATGTTCTTTGACATGATCTGATTCGTTGGTAAATGCATTAGTAGCATCCAAGCTTTCTTGGCAACTTCCTCATGAGATGTATCAAGAAGAGAAAACAACAAGTAAAAATTATTCTCTCTGGAAAGTACGTTTGCTGGGTAGAGACCATCCTCTAAATCTAAAATAACATAATCATCATCAGTGTCGACATCATGGTTGCTTATGGAAGTTAGTGGAAACCCATTCTCAGAGTTTTTCTGTTGTATCTTCTTTTGTGGTATTGATCTATTTCTAGACACAAACAAAGCCCCTAATTCTGGCACTCCTAACATTTGCATTGTTGTGTTCATGATAGCAATAGAGGCATCTTTGATTGTCAAAGGTTTCACATACAAATCAACCCTAGAATCGATACCAAGCTCTTCTAAACTTTTTGTTTTAAAAGGAGTAATGTCATCTCCATTTTCTGTTTCAATTCTTAAGAGCTGAGATGCATTCTCGTCCCCAAGCTCTGAAGCAATTATGCTAAGTAGAGTTCCCACTTTCATTTTGGATGGAACCATTTTCACAAACCTTGAATTTGAGAAGCAATTAATGTTCAACGTGATAGGATATCCCAAAAAACTAATACCATGTCCTTTACCAATTCCTCCTCCACCACTTTTTTGATTCACAAGCACAATAAAATCTAAAAGTACTGTGATAATATTTCCAATATAAGAATCATTTCTCTGATCAAGTTTGCTGTATAGTTGTAACAGCTCCATGCAAGTAGATACATGTTTTTCCATAAACAATGAAGTATTTGATTTTAAATCTTTCGAATAGTCTGTTCTGAAATTGTTTAAATTTTCAATTGCTTTTCTCAGTACATTGGTGTCTTTGGCAGAAAGTACAATATTCCATAAGTGATTCAATCCATACAAATCTTCAGCAATCACTTCGAACTTTTTCAATTTTCTAACCACTGGTGTCTCTTGTTCAGTCTCAGGATAGGGCATGGTGGGATCTAAAAATTCTTTACCTTTAGCCACAATTTTAGAAATCAACTTTTTACCTCCGTTTGATGATTGCTGATCGAGAATGGTAGTAGTACTATCTACATGTGATTGGTTGTCATAAACTACTTCAATCTTTTTAAGAATTATGTTAACCGATATAAAAAACGTTAAAAAGCAGTCCAATTCCGTCTCGGTCATGTTACTGTAAAGAACGAAAGTATCTTTGCTTGGAGAGCAAATGAGTTCTTCAAATACAAGCATTGTCGTTTCATCATCAAAGGCTTGAAATTCTTCCACAAAGTTGTCTCTCATCTTTGTTAACCAGCGAACAACAATTTCCCTTCGACCATGTGACCAAAGAACAATACATTGCTTAAAGGATAGTTTGATCGGAGAGTTTTTAACCACAAATTCAAGAAAATCTAATTGATCGCGTAGCTCCTGATCATTCTGTTCATTGTTTTCCATGTCTGTAGGAAATTGATTTTCATAGTTTGAAAAAAAGTGATCCATCAAATGAGTTTTTTCATTAATAGAAGAAATGATACCCCATGTGGATAGCTTTTTCTTTTTCTTTTGAAGAGAATACGTAGCCAACAAAGTTTTCATCAAAGATACTGCTCCACTAGAGTTGTTTCGAGTTTTTAACATCTCAATACAGCTTTTGAGATAGTCTTTACGAATTGCCTCGAATGCATCTTGTTTGAAAACATCGGATAGACACTCAAAAGCTTTTCTATTTCCTCCTATCGCAAGTTTCCATAACATGTCTAAGGCAAACCAATTTTTCTTTTTGTCTTTTGAGCCTCTTCCATATGAAGAGCTAACTGCATATATGGTGAATTGCGATAAAAACTCAATGAAATGGTCTTTCTTGTTGATGGACTCGATAGAAATGAGTTCGACTTTGGAATATAGATGTAAAATATCATTATAGGACAAACTTGGAATTAGAAGTGATATGATAGACAATATCAATCTCTGAGTAGCTTCATGCTTATCGACAGAAGCTTGCCATATTAAATCTAGCTCTTCTTTTGTGAAACCCTTATACTGAGCAAGAAATTGTAAAATTACTTTGGTGATACTATTTAACAAGTATTGTAACAACAACGTAAATACTTACCAGTTGCTTGTCGTAGTAATTCTCTGTGAATGTCCGTCTCGAATAAATAGTGCAGAAACTTCTTTTCATCAACCCAAGATAAAAAGGTTTTTACATGTAGTTCTTTCTTAAACGAAATAGGTTGAGGTTGTGGGCTGGAATGAGGCTGTTGTTGATCATTTCCATTCAGTTGTGGCGAATTTGCTTTGGATCCTGCCTCTGTTTTTCTGAGTGATTCTACATGAGCTCTTATTTCATTCATTCCCAGCATTTTCCTTTCAACAGAGGAGCAATTCAAAAGTCTGTAGAAATATTGCAATTTCAACCTGTCAAAAATATCTATACATTTCTCGTCGGTGTAGCATGCAAGAATTTTGTTTCTAAAATTTAAAATAAGGTCTTTAAACCGTTCTTCTACTTTTAAAATCTCGTCGGATAATGAATCAAAAAATACAAATAATGAGTCTATCAACGCTGTGATAATGCTCTCTCTACACTTTGGTACCAAATAAGGAGTTTGAAAAGCAATGGTATCAATTATCTTTTCAATTATTCTCATAGGTAAATCCTTATACTTTCTCAATAAATTAATAAATAAAAGGTATCCTCCGCTCTGCCCAAAAACGTTAATGGATTTACAACAAAGTTTGGATAAAATTTCGGATTTTGATCGTGGTGTGGAAAAAATACAATTTTTAAAGTCTTCGTTCCATGAGCTTTGTGGAAATTTTTGTGAATGCTCTGTAAATATACTATTTTCATGGTTAAACAATTTGACATCTCTTGAATACAGAAGGTTTCTTGAGTAGAGTTCATGTTTTTGGTTTGTAAGAGATCTACAAACATCCACTCCAAAAGAAACACATTTTGAAATGTGATTAAGCTTTTGTTGTCTGATGTTTTCCATTTCCTTATCTTGTGAGGCAGTAGTATTAGGAGCAGTATCGTCTAACTTCTCAGTAGACGATGAAGTAGAGCCAGATTTTTGATCTGATTGACTATCTTCAGATGTCATTGCTTCAAGTAGAGAGAAAGGCCGCCGTACCATGATTTCTAAATAAAATTCAATTGAAGTAGTAATGAGCTGGCCGAGCTTTAAAAGAAGATCTGAGTTGTCAATTTCCTTTAGTGATGTTGATAAATTCAACATTGCAACCATGTGTGTATGTAAAAACCAATGGCTGTTACTATATTTAAAATCAGAGTAAATAAATTCATCAAAGAATTCTGCATAATGAGCTTGAATAAATTTCAAAACGGAGATTTCTCCATCAAGTATTTCTATTTACCACAACACAACAATAATCATTCATTTATATTTGATGAATAAATTATATAAAACAAACCTATAATTTGTTGAGCATGTTCGGAATACTTTGACATTGATTCCTTGTATAGATCACTAATTCTTCTATATTTTGTATCAAATCCATATTCCATCCGAATTAAATCTTGTGGATCAGGCTTGCACGAAGAAAGCGTTTCTACCATGTTTATGTCATTCCCATTAATAGCCTCTGTAGGCTTTGATTGATGAGAATGGGAATCAGTTGTTGTTTCATTGCTACCATTTTGCAAAGGAGCCTCCGCCTGTTGTTGTACGGGTGAATGTGACCCCTTCTCGTTTGTATCCGGCCATTGCTCATCATCATTGTCGTCATCATGATTGGTGTTGGCACTTCCAATAGTGGCCACCGATGAACAGCGATCATCATCATTGTCTTCCGCTGTTGGAGACCGATCATGAAGGCTTTCATTCAAGTAAAAATCATCATGATTTTGTTGCGCCATAGTACTGTTGTTATTATTCTCCATACTAATTGTTGTTATTTCTCGTTGTTGTTGTTTCTTGTTGTTTGGTTGTTCTTGTGTCTTTGAAGAGAGCATCGTTGAACCTTCTTCTTCGGCAGGCTCGCTGTCGGAGGTCGTCATTGTTTTCTGAAAAATGAGCATAACAGTGGAACTCGGAAAATGGAAGGATAGACGAATGTCAACAATAAAAGAACCCAAAGATTCAAATTCGAATCAATTATATTAGCTTTCGATAGTATTCAATCACAGATGAATCAACAGGAAGGTTGGTTAACTTTGACCTCATGTGAATAATGTCAACAATTTTTTCAAGCTTCGTGTCAAAATCGAACACGAAAAAATACTTCGTGAAATCGAGTCGCTGAACTTGTTGACATAGCTCGTAAATTTTCTCACCATGGCCTGGTTGCTTCTTGATCGAATCTAAAATTCTCAAAATTTTGAATGATAGTTGTTGTTTTGGGTCGGATAATCTTTCTTCACTCATTGGCACTCCATTTCGTTCGTCCTCATCTTCGTAAATTGCGTCCAATAAGGAAGCCATGTAAGGATGTAAAGCTTTATCCTGCTCTCTGTTGGAAGTGAAAATTTGAATTGGTACAATATTGTCTCTTGATTCGGTGTTATCTTTAGGCTCCAATATGTTGTCACTAAGATTCCAACAGGATGATACTTCGTGTTCTTTATCTTTCATTCTAAGAACAGTTGCAACTGATTGATCATCAAATCCATACGACAAGCATCGGACCAACTTATCTTTCAAATCAAGAACAAACCCATTACATTGCAAATAAAAGTAGTTCATATTCTTGTCGCTTAATTTCTCTCTATCCAAAAATAAAATATTCAAATGTGAAAATCTTTGTGACACGATACACTCAATTTCTTGCAAAAACCTGTTTTTAAATCTTTGAAGCGTATCCAGTTTTTGTTCATGCCCTAACGTCTCATCACGATATAACAAGGGTTGTAGTTCTGTATAGAAATCTGCAATGTCTCTTTTAGTGTACAATTCACAGCCTCTTGTCACCAATGCCAAGGTTTGGCCCAATCTAAAAGCACAATATTTGACATCATCAAGACCCAAATCATCAATGGTCATTTTTGTAAAGTCTATTGACTCGAGTGTTAGTTTTTTCAATTTAAAGGATGGCACATTCAGAGCCTTAATGACTGCTTGTCTAAATTCTTTGCAGCGTCTAACTTTTGACAATAAGTTAATAATTGTGTAGCATACTTTAAGGGGAATTAATCTTCTTACTCTGCCCGAAATAGGACAAGGATAATCTTGCTTATGGTAGGAATACGTAGTGAACAGAGCATTGTTGGCCTCATCTGGTATTCCCTTGAACACATCAGCAATGAACCCTGTGTCAGTATCACTTGTTAACTTTGAAAAATCTTCACGTCGTACCACTACTAAATTTCGATCCTCATTACCAGAGGATCGAATAAATAAATTACAATCACTCTCGGGTGGAAGCTGTTCAGTGAACATGTAAAACTTGTCAGTATCCACAGAATCTTTTGATCCATGAAAATAATAAGGAATCTCAATGATGTCTCTACTCTTTGAAGAACTAATTGCTGCGTCTGCAGTTTGAGTGGATTGAAACTTGTTCAAAAAATCATCAAGAGAGAAATCTAAATTCCAACTCTTCTTCCAGTCCTTCCATCCTTTCATACGGTGGAAGGTACGTAAGTTATTCTCATGATTCGTCATGGTGGTCATGAATTGCTTCCAAGCATTTGACTTTTTCAAAAAGTTGGTATTGCATGGCCCCTGAAGAATAAATACTTGTTGATGTTTTTCAGCACGGTTACAAGAGCAAATGAATGGAAAAGCCTGTACAATGATATCCGCTGAATTTAAAACAGGAGAAGATTCGTGCGATAAATCCTCTTCTAAAAACATCATCTTCTTCATCCAATTTTTCTTATGACCTAACAACTTGAGAACCCAATTCATTTTGGAGATGATTAATCGTGAGACGTCATCCTGCGCAATAGTTGGAGGCTTTGAATGATCTTTCTTTCCTTCACTGTTATGATGGACACTTTTGAAATAAATCGATGAATTGAGAGGATTCAATGTTGTAAATAATCGAAAATCAATCGTGTTGTACTTGTCTTCGTATTGATAAATTTCTTGAAGAATTCCTTTCGTGTTTGTGAGCTGTAAATTTTCATATCCAAAAAAGTTTTCGTCCGTCAATAAGGAGGCTAATTTGTATTGGTCTCCTCTTGAGATGATTGGTAACGATCGGAAAGAGTCTTCGCACGCTTTTTCAATCATTTCATCGGGAGAAGGAATTTTGCCATCACCGAACTTTTGGCAAAACAGCCGATAGAGAGTTTCATCAAGATTGTACAAACAGTTGTCCATGTGGATCATGATGAACTTCTTCTTTTTCTGAGAGAATATAGGTCTCTCATCATCTTTCGAACGTTGTTGATCTCGTCTATCTTCATGACGATTGTTGGAAGAAGCACAATAGGAATTCAACATTTTTTAATGTGAAAAACTCTTCTTGATGGTTTCTTATTGTGGACTTGACAAGGAAAGAACAGCATGCAATTTCCAAGTGCACGCGAGCAACCCTATAAATGCACATGTATAACAACCCAATTTGAGGATTGTCGACTACTAATCCAAAGTAATTTTGCAAGAGTGGAAATACTTTCGTCATCATGATTGATAAACCTTAGAGCGAGTGTTTATCAAGAACCCGTTCAATCTTCTTGGATCCGTTATGATTCGTTCTCTAATATAATCACGCGAAAGAGTCTTTTTCTGACCCCGCCCAACTGGATTGTGAAAGCCTCAACAACCCTCTCAAATGTCAGTCATCAACAGTTGACAAACAAAGTGCGACCACCCTGAAAATCGTCTTGTATCAAATTCACACACAAAAAATTCTAGACGTTCATACTTCCGTTTTTTCGTTGCGGTAATCAAAGCAGAGATTGGGTTGCTGCAGACAGTTTGTGATACTGAACGAATCACTCCTCTCTAGAAATGTAAGTACTGTGAGATCATCACCATTTCGATCATATCAACACTTCGTTCCTGAAAATTTGACTTTTGACATTTCTCATCACCCAAAAACTCACAGCTGTACCATCATCACAACAACGAAACTTTTACATCAGTCGTTTCACCATTCTTCGACTCAAACAACAATAACAACCATCATCATTATTGACATCACACACAAACAACAACTCAACAACAAGAATGGAACACTTACTAGTCCTCACCACCGTTGAACGTATTGGTGACTCTCTTCCTAACACTCCATCATCGCAACGAAGAAAAGGTTTCAATTTGAAAGGATACATCAAAACACTGAATGAATTGATTGTGTTACCGAATATTGATTTGCATAAAGTTGTGCAACCATTGATTGATTTGTACGATAATGTCTCAAAGGTAAGTTTTGTTGTTGTTGTTGTTGTATACATTAGATGATGAACAACAAAATCACATTGGAATGGTCCTGTCATGGATGAATCGAAACAACGAAAATGAAATCTTGAAACGCTTGAATGATTGTCATCATCACCAATTAAACCATCATAGACCCCGATCAATGCAAATCTGAAACCCAACGAGAAGAGAGTCAAATTGGAGTTGATCAACAAATCTAAACTCATCATTCTGAACTTGTGTTCAGATTACCTAAATTTTGCAATCGATCAAAAGCAGGTATGTTTCAAAGAGCATGTGTGTGTGAATGAATGGACCATCATTGATGACACCATGATTGAATCCCGTATGGCTTGTATATGAATTTACGAAATCCAATCGTCTGCTCTACCATTTTTTCATCCTTTCATGTGACACTCCAACAACAACAACCATCCCGAACTGTGTGTTTTTGTCACTACTCCTCGTCGTCTCTCGTTGTCATGTGACCTTCGCTTCGTTACCATCATCATCATTATTATTATGTGTTGATGTTCAATATTATAGGTTGTTCTTCCAAATCATCACTTCAACAACATGTTTCACGAATTTGATGAGGATGATTTGTTGATTGAAGAAAGTCGTGATGAACAAGATGAAGAAGAGGATGAAGATCTAGTTGCTCTTGTCAAAGACTCACAACAACAACAACAAAACTCAACAGGAACACCTGTCATAACTGATGAGAATACTCTCTCAGTGAATCAATCTCTTAATCAGATTGTGTTAGATCCAGCAAACACCATCGATACAAATAGACCAAGAAGAAGCAGTGGTGTATCAGTTTCCATTGACTATCTCAATGCTCTCAAACAAAGAAAAAAGAAGGGTTCTGATGCATCAGAAAAGTTTAATGTGAAAAGAAGTGCCATGTCATTCGGTACTGCACAAAATAGGAAAGAGCTCGATGAATCAACAGCAATTAATTTGCTTCAATTAGTTTCAACACGATTGTTGTTACAACATGACATTTACTATGATGCATCGACAGAAGAGTTTTCAAAGAGCTCGGTCAATCAATATTTAGAACAACAATTGAACTACAAATGTATGGAACTTTTGTTTAAACTCAGTGTTGCTTGTCCAGAAGTTGTTTTCAAAAGTTTGGTAGAAAATGCGATGGCAACCAGTGCTAATAACAATTGCATGGAAGTTCCATATATTACCGATTTACAGGCAGATAAGACTCCATTCGTTGCTACGTTATCTCATTTTAAACTGATTGAATATATGAATTGGGATTCTCTCTTGTTAGAACGTCTCTTAATATGCATCAATTCAAATATGAAAGGATTTTCAAAGTATCTTGAAGTGTTGACTCCACCCGTAAGATTAGCTATTTGGAACTTTATTTCAAACTACAATGAGAAATTTATTGACATTTCCAAAAATTCGTTATCCTCATTACTGAGTGCAGCAAGAGATGTCTTCGACAACTTGTACAAGCAAACTGGTAAGAAACAACGTTCCAAGACATGGCCAACTCTTGCTACTCTCTGTGTGTTGACAGCAGATGATTTGCTCAAATGTGTGAAAGCAGGAACTGCTAAAAAGTTTGGTGGAAGTGAGAATATGTCTACTTTCATCCATAAGGAACTTTTGAAAGCAATGGAAGACAAAGATAAGACGCTTATTTTACCACCTCTCATTGACATTTATAGAGGAAACAGTTATGTTCCTGCTGATATGGAATCTGCATTCTCTGTTTTGTCTCTCATTGTTGAAGAAAAACTTCTTAGTATTTTGTGCCCAGAACCAGGTTCAGGAAAGAAAGAAAAAGACAAACACTACAATCCTGAAGAGTTGAATGAACTCGAGATGTGGGTACATTATGTCGCTACTCTCTATAGAAAGAGTCCCGATAAGTGTAAACGATCTGTTCTCATCCCAATCATGACGGAAGGTACTCAAGATCAAAAACATATTGTCAGCAAAGCATTGCTTTTCTTGATTGCTGACAAGTCATCTCAATATCCTTACAATAGACGAATTGAAACAGATTACAAAATGTTAGCTCATCATGTGAGAGAAGTTTTTAAAGAAACCATTGATCAATTCAAACTGAAGAAAGAAGAAGACAGTCCATTGTTGACTCCAAGCGCTTCATTCAGAACTCCAAAGAAAGGGTTTGCTGCTCTTCTCAGGGAAAAGGTCAGTGGTAAAGAAACCAATTCTCAATCAGGAGCAGCTCCGAATTCAAAAGTTTTTGATACTGTGAACACCTTATTGCATGTGTTTAGTTCAGACCCAAGATTCTTCCTCACCAAAACTGAGAATGAGACAAAGGTTCATTACAACGATAAGAACTTTACCATGTTGGTCGACTTTTTCATTACCAATTTTGACCCAACAATACAAGATCAAATCACTAGATTATTCCAAAAGCTCTTCATGGAGCATCACATCAAGAATTGGAGCGATGACATGTATCTTGGTTTTTGTAACATTAGTTCTGACGTTGTGTCTCGTCTTTCTCAAGCGCTCTTCAGTTTGAATGAAATTGACCAACCTCAAGGTGTCAAGTCATTGCTTCACTTGTTGAGAAACATTACCTATCGTTCCAAGAAATTCTACCTTATGAACAGAGATGCTGTCTTGCAAGTAGACAATATCAGAAGCAGTGGAAAAAGATTGCAAAGCTTGGAAATTCTGTCTAGCAATTTATTGATTTACTTATGCTCCACAGATAAAGAAATTTGGCAATCCACCACAAGATGTCTTAGAGATATTTGTGATCAAGTAGAAACACTTGGTAATCAAAGTCTCAAGCATCTCAATTACAACTTTTACAGACAATTATCTAGTGTTGAGTTGAATGGAAAGATTTATAATGAAAGAAAGAGCCAAATTCAACTTTTTAGAAGAATTGAATATCAAACAAAATCCTATGTCTCTGCTTTCAACGAAGTCTACAGAAGATGGAAAGAACTTCTCGAACAATTTGGTTCAGAAGACGCTTCAGGTTCATCTAACATCACATGGAGAGATTTATTCTCCAACTACACATCCTTGTTGTGTGCATTGGGTGGTGTTTGCATTCAAGATGAAGCAGACGAAGGTAAAGATACTGCCATCACTGCATTCCGATCCTTCATTTCTGAGAATAGTGTGGACAACTACATGGAAGATTTGATGAAACAAGTCATTTCAGATGATGTCAATGTCAGACAAATGGTCACCATCTCTGTCTCCACCGATTTGTCTCCAACACTCTATACCAAGTTGTTCACTGCTATGAAATCTTCCATTCAAGAACAATTAGGTCAATCATTCAATATTAGCTCTAAGAACAATTTACTTGTTGATCAATATTTGCATATTGTGAAATCGATTGTTGAAAGCCCAGAAGCCACCTCAGATCTCTCATTGGCTCAAGAATTTGATTCAATCACTGATCTCTTTGCCAACTACTGTACACATAGTGAATATGATAATAAGGAAATTCTGGAACTCAAGAAGAAATTATGTCAATTCATTGATGTGTTGATGAGCAAAGTTGAATATTTGACTTTTAAGAATATTGAAGAACAGAAATTGAGAAGAGTCCTTTCTCAACATGTTATGGAATGGACCACTGATTCTGTATTCAAAGACAAGAACAACATGGGTAATGGAGTTCATCAACCTCGTGTTGCTTCTGAAACTTTACTATTGGAAAATAATACTCAAATTTCTTCTGATGTCAAAAAGCTCTATGTGGAATTGGATGTCCTTTGTATGAAAGCATTCAGTTCACTTGTGAATGGAATGATCATTGCAAACGATGAAAAGGGAAGAGAAGAATACTCCAAGTACTTTGCATTCTTGTTGAGATTCTTAGAAAAGTCCAAAGAAAGTCAAATGACAGCAGCAAGTTATAAGGCCTTCTCAAGATTGCTTCAAACAAACGTAAGCTTTGGTTTGGAGTACTACATGGCAAAGGTCTATGACAACAACAATGCCATTCGTTCAACATTCTTGAGTTTGCTCTCTGAATTGATTAAGAAAGGTCTCATCATTGAAGAAGAAGAGAAGGATAAGCCCAAGGTTTCAGCTTCTCCCTACCAAGAATTTATCAATCGGTTGATCTTTACTAACAGAAAGAAAGCACTATTCGCACTCTTTGATAAATGCAAGAATCCAGAGAAGGATGCCTTGTGTGAAGCTGTCATTTGTGTCTATCAAAGCAAGGCAGATATTGAAAAGAACTTGCTCGATCTCTTACGTCAAAGTGTTGTGCGTGAAGTCAATGCCACACCAAAGAACCAACCAGAGACTTTGTTCAGGGCCAACTCTACTGCATCTAAACTCATGAAAAAGTACTGTCATCGTGTGAGCACTCCTTATTTGAAGGACGTGATTGGTGGATTTATTGACACAATGGTTGCCCATCCAACCAAATTTGAAATTGATCCATTGAAGGCACAACAAAGAGGTGAGAATGTTCAAGAGAACATTGAAAACATTAAGGAAGTCCTCCAAGAATTCATTGATTGCTTGTGTGACTCCATTGCTCAAACTCCATACACATTCAGAATGTATTGCAGATATTTATATGAAGAAGTTGGGAAAAAGTTTACAAAACCAGCTGACGACCCTGATGAACAATTTGACTTTAAGTATATTGCTGTTGGTGGTTTCTTGATTTTGAGATTGATTTGTCCTGCTATCACTTCTCCAAACTTGTATGGTCTCTCAGGAGAGGATATTTCTGCTGACTCGAGACGTTATGCCATTATTTTGACAAAACTTGTTCAAAACTTGGCAAACGGTGTTGCAGATGCAAAGAAGGAAGAATTTATGAAAAGCTTTGTTGAAATTTTACGATTGAATATCAGCAAGATTCAAACATTCTTTGAAAAGATTGCTGCACCAATTGGAGAAAATGAAGTTTGCCCTCGCTGTGACGAGACAGTTACTGAAGAAGAACTGAAGGAAGCTTATGCTGCTCTTTATAGATTCTTCTTCAATTATTCTGATGCTCTCAGAGAAGAATTGACTCAACTCGATGCTGAGGATTTGGAGGATGAACAAAAACTCGTTTTAGAAGAAGTTGAACTTATCGAGACTGCCAAACAATCTGTCCTCAAACCACTCTATGAAACTCTTGAAGACGGAATTGAACAATTCGGTAAGCCACCAGAAGAAGAAAAGTCCAGTAGAAGACTTTCATTGAAGAGAGCCAAAGATGAGAATGAGTTCTCCAACACTTTGTTGCAAGAATTGTTGAGAAAGAATGAGAAGAGGGATACCTCAAAGATTGCTGAGATGAAATTCTTTACTATTAGCGAACATTTGAATGCTAAAAGGACAACGAGTGGTTTATTTCACACCCTATTTATTGGATTTGACTAGATTTTCTATTGATCTCTTCTTATTCTACGTCTTGAAGAATATGGAAACCATTTGGAAGGATCCTTTCGTCATTGTTGTGGATTGTACATTCTGGACCAAGAAGTTTGATATTCGTCTCTCAGTTTTCCTTCAACTTTCTAAACACATTCCACAAGGTGCAAAGAAGAATTTACAAGATATCTATGTGGTGAATCCAAATAACTTCTTTAACAAGACAACCAAGAAACTTGTTTCATCTTTAGGATATTCTCGTTGGAAGGTATTGACCGGTGAATCTTTGGCTGCTGCTGCTGAGAATGGAAAGACCAAGAATCCTCTAGATCTTGCTAAACCAGAACATTTGTTGTTGTCTCCAATCACTCAACAAATCTTTACAAAGAGTGAAATTGTGTTCAAGGATGTTCAACTTGTCTTGTCCTCTCATGTCACTGAATGTGAAATTAGACTCTTTGATCAATACTTGTTCATTATTGTGAAGGATGAAAAGTTTATTGGTAACAAACTTGTTTGTGACTGTGTTGAACACATTCCAGTAACAAAAATCTCTGATATTGCCATCAAGAAATCACTCTTTGGTAAGTCTGGAAAGGCCACCAAAGACTTCACAGTCAAGTACATTGACGACGAAGATGCTGAAGCAGTTTATAACTTTAGAAGCCAAACTGTCGAAGAAAGAGAACAAATCATGCAAGGAATTAGAAACTATGTGGAAAGAAAATCAAGAGGTACCAAGTCTGCAAAGGAAGTTGAACGTGACTTTAAGAGACTTAAGGTTCAAGATGTACCAGGACAGCTGCTTGCCATTTCATTCTTTAATCTTGACTCAAAGAGTCCTTCAATCCGAACAAGCGCGTACTCCTTGCTAACATCCATTTTTGAACAATTGAAACTTCCAAAACATCCAATCATTCTTGAAAGTGACGTTGTATGCGTTCCAAGAAATACTGAAACCTTTGTTCTCAGAATTAGCGAATATTTCGCAAGAAACAAACCAGAGTTAACTCTTGAGTTTATGAAAGAAGCATTGAATGCATTCAAGACCATCCAAGGAAGCAAATCGAAACTCAAGTTTGCTTCTTTCATTTTACCATGGTTGGATAATCTAACACGATTTGAAATTTCGCACAATAGTAGTGATGAAGCAGATGAAAAGACAGAAGCAATCAAAGCATGGTTTGAGAACTTTACAAAACTTTGTATTTCCTATGAAGATATTTATCCAACTCTTCAAGCAGTGTGGAGACATGCATGCAAACTTTCTCTCCCATTGACCAAAATTGCCATTGAAAGTGTTCTCAAACAAGGTACCACCGTTGATATGTTAAATGCTGATCAATCGGTCATTGGAGACATTTTGGAAACAATTTTAACCAATGCTCCACCACAATGGAATTCTGCTCAGTTTGTCATTAACAAGATTATTGAGCCAATCATGACACAAGAACTTCATATCGATCTTCTTCACAAAGCAACTGTGAAGGAATTGGTCAAATCGAAGGATATTTTGGGAAGACTTCCTGTCTACATGTCCTATTTGTTAGTGTTGTCTTTCCATAGCCAAATCAATTTGATTGACAATTTACCATACTTATTATTTATCATTTCCATGTTCTTGGGTGTTGGTGCTGACACATACATGAGATCGATGGCTTATGGTATTTGCTCCAACTGTGTGCATGGTCTTATTCTAGAATTGCCTTCGACTGAGCAATATGAACCTCTTCGTACCAAGCTCACTAAACTTCACTTGAAGATGTTGAGTAAGGATATTAAATCAAGTTTCATGGGAGGAGATTATGAACCACAACCATTTGCTTCCTATTCTGATTATATTAATAAGGCAGCTTCTGGAAATCCAACTTTGGAACAAACCACCATGTACAAGTATGAAGAGATTATGAGATACTTTAAAGAAATTATGGAATGTTTCAATATTTCTTATGAAATCATTCAACAAAATAGAAAAATTCCACCAACCAAGATTCAACCAACAACTCTCTACGTGTCGGGTGGAATGACCTCTTCAAAGATGACTGAGGAAGTGTCTGATAACTCGAAGGAGAATAACACTGGACTTGAAGATGACGGTACTGAGAATGACATGACAGAGGGAGATATTGATGATGATCACACCACCACTCTCAGTTCTATTTCTGCCATTCCTAGTACAAGTACTTCAGATTTTGTGAAATCAGGATCGGATACCGTTAATAACGTTTGGTTGAAGATTTTCACAAATTTATGTAAGGACACGATGAAGACAGCAAACATTCTTCTCTTCCCCAAGTCACTCATTGCATACAGTATTGTTTCTACCATGGAACAATCCTATGACATGATTCCATTTGTTTTGAACTTTATTGGTAAGAGAGGAGTTGACACATTGGCTGAAGACGATTTGATGTTGTCTGTTGTGTTATCCATCAACCAATTCTGTACTAATTTGGTAGTTGAAAAGGATAGAATTGAAACTATTAGAAAATTAGTTCTCTTTGGATTCTTGTTATTGACTGTTGGTAACACCAAGATTTATTCTGCCGTGACAAAAATGTTGAGTACTGTTTTTGGTATTTTGTTTGAAGCTGGTGACATTCATGATGGTTTCACTTCACTTGGAGATTACTTCCAAGCTGTCTTCTCATCTGAGTTCTCTAAATATAGAAACTTTACCAAAGATTTCGAGGAAACTGTTGGAATATCATTTGGAGAACACTTTTCATTTGCATTTGCTATCTTGATGATGAAAGGTTTGAGCGTTGAGGACTCAACCATCAGAAGAGCTTCTATTTCCTTGTTGAAACAAGTTCTTTCCATTTCATCTAAACTTAAATATGAACCTCAAAAACAACTTGGATTTATTACTGCTCTCATTCCATTTGACAAGCAATATAATTCTGTATTATATAGTGAACAACTTTTCACAGACAAGATGTTCACAAAGGAAACTGTATTCCTCTTCCAAAAGTATCTCTTTACCATTGCTTCCAATGTTGATATTGACAGTTGTGCTTCGATTTACAAGACTTTGGCAAGAGGATTTGAAATTATTCCTGATACCTTTGCAGATGTCTTCCAAGACCACCACAGCATGTCACAAGTCATTAAGGTTTATACTTCATCACAAGATGACAGTATTATTGAACATAGTCTTAACTTGTTCAAGATTATGAGTAACAATGCCAAGTCGAAGAAGTTACAAGTCAAGGAACCATTTGCTGAATATGGATTTAAGGGTTTCAAAGATCAATGCACTTTCTCTGGCGTCAAAGATGAAATGAAGAAGAAATGTCAAAAGAAAACAATTTCCTTCCTTGTGGACAACTTCAATGAAAAAGAATATCCATCCATGGACTCTGTTATCATTTCCAAGACAGGAATGAAGAAGAACGTTGTGAGAAACAATTCCACCCATTCACCAGTCACAAGACAAAACTCTAGCGGATTGATCAATAAGAAGTAAGATTATTGTTCATCACAAATTGTAAAATTATTAAACTTTTTAATTCTTCAAAAACGAAGACAAAAATGTGAACAAAAACAGCCCAATAACAATACCAATCACGCTGAAAAAGATAATGAAATAGGCATTTTCTTGCTTTTGAGCAAGCATTCCAAACATTTCTTGGTGTTTTTCTTTCGTTTTCTTGATGGCTTCTTCATAGCCGACATGTTTGATAAATATTTCTGCCTTCTTTTCTGTCTCATTTTGGGTTCCATCCTTCTTTTTCTTCTTCAAGAGATTCTTGAGTGACATGAAGACACTTGGTTTCTTTGTAGTTGGAGGTTGTGCTTTCTTTGAAGATGATCCTTGGCCAGCATCTTGCTCCAAGGGTGCATTTTCAACATCCATTCCATCGTAAATACATGGAATGACATCATAGCTCATTTCTATCCATTTACAAAATATTTTGTTTTCGTTCTTGATCAAGGCGTTTTCAACAAAATCTGTCACTGCCCAAATTTCCTTCTTGAACTCTGCTTTCATTTCAATTGTTAAATCAACACTCTGGAAATTATTTTCCTTTTTTTGATCAAACTTAAATATACAAGATATTGAAAAGGCTTCTTTCATTGGAGATTCTCCCACCAATGCTATATCACATTCGACATGACATTCTGTTTTGCTCTTCATTGTTAATGATTCAGTTACTAACAAGTCCACTCGTTTAATTCCTAAAATTGAAGGAGCATTAATTTTATCTACAACGGCACTTGTTTTTCTCTTGAATATGGTTCCGATCGCAAGAGAGTTTTTATTGAATGATGATGAGCCTTTCCAATCACTTGAAATATTTACAGTAGAAACCTCTTGTTTATGTTTCAGAAATCGTATTTGAAAATCTTCATTTAAAAACGTATGTCTGAGAATGGTTTCAATATCAGTGTCCGGAAATGTGTGTTTAATAATATCTGTTTTGACCATAGTAATCAATGGATGATGATGATGGGCAGAGTGTAGTGGTTATCAAAAAGTGTCAATTATTGTAGGATGTTCTTCTGACTTGATGTATTTTTTTTAAATTTGGTGATTGGATGAACATGGAACTGCTGAGACCCAAATCAGAATGTTGTTCATCACACTGGGATGAGGCTTATCATCTCTTTCAAGAGGACCTTTCTTATTCAGAAATATGTATCCTTCAAAATCAAATCTTTTAAACTTTTTATAAATTATATAAAAACAAAAATATTAAATTTTATATAAATTTCACAAAAAGTAAATACTGACTTGGTCACCCAAAAGGGAGAAAGAATTTGAATAAAATTTTAAAAAATATTTTTTAGCAAAAAATCTGCAAAAAAAAAATTACCACAACACATCATCATCTCCCTATAAAAATGATGTCTGACGATGAATCTGTTTTCCCATTGGGTGATATCTTATCCGTCTCTGGTCCAGTCGTTGTTGCTGAGAAGATGGAAGGTGCTGCCATGTACGAACTCGTCCGTGTCGGTACTCAAAAACTAGTCGGTGAAATTATTCGTTTGGAGGCTGATACTGCCACGATTCAAGTCTACGAGGAAACATCAGGCTTGACTGTGGGTGATCCAGTCCAACGAACGGGTAAACCTCTTTCAGTACACTTGGGTCCAGGTATCATGGGTTCCATTTTCGATGGTATTCAACGTCCTCTTGAAGTCATTTATAATATGAACAAGGATATTTACATTCCAAGAGGTATCAGTGTAAATGAATTGGACATTCATAAGAGATGGCATTTCCAACCAACAAACTTTAGCGTTGGTGATAAGATCACTGGAGGTGATATTTTCGGTGAAGTTGAAGAGAATGATTTCATCAATCACAAGATTCTCTTGCCACCAAATGCTATGGGTGAGATTACTTATATTGCTCCTGCCGGTGATTACACAATTGAAGAGACTGTTCTTGAAGTTGAGTTCAATGGTAGACCTTATAAATTCAGTATGGCACACCACTGGCCAGTACGTAAACCACGTCCAGTCATTGAAAAGTTGGCTGGTGATTATCCATTGCTAACTGGACAACGTGTCTTGGATGCTGTCTTCCCATCTGTCCAAGGTGGTACTTGTGCTATTCCAGGTGCCTTCGGTTGTGGTAAAACTGTCATTTCACAAGCCATTTCCAAGTATTCAAACTCGGATGCTATCATTTATGTTGGTTGTGGTGAACGTGGTAACGAAATGGCTGAAGTACTCATGGAATTCCCTCACCTTACTGTTACCAATCAAAAGACTGGAAAGGAAGTCTCCATCATGAACAGAACTTGCCTTGTTGCCAACACATCAAACATGCCTGTTGCTGCCAGAGAAGCTTCCATTTACACTGGTATTACACTTTCCGAATACTTTAGAGATATGGGTATGAACGTTTCCATGTTGGCTGACTCTACCTCTCGTTGGGCTGAGGCTCTCAGAGAAATTTCTGGTCGTCTTGCTGAAATGCCTGCTGACTCGGGTTATCCTGCATATTTGGGTGCTCGTTTGGCTTCCTTCTACGAACGTGCTGGTAAAGTACGTTGTATTGGCAACCCAGGACGTACTGGTTCTATTACAATTGTCGGTGCCGTCTCTCCACCTGGTGGTGACTTTGCTGACCCAGTTACAGCTTCTACATTGGCCATCGTTCAAGTCTTTTGGGGTTTGGATAAGAAATTGGCTCAAAGAAAGCACTTCCCTTCTGTAAATTGGTCTATTTCATATTCTAAGTATATTGAGAGTTTGGAACCTTTCTATGAAAAGGTTGACCCAGAATTTACTCGTTTGCGTACAGTTATGAGAGAAATTCTTCAACAAGAAGAGGATTTGACAGAAATTGTGCAATTGGTCGGTAAGGACTCTCTTCCAGAAAATGACAAGGTTACTATGGAAGTCGCCAGATTGTTGAGAGAAGACTTTTTGCAACAAAACTCTTACACAACTTATGATATGTATTGTCCATTCTTCAAGACAATTCTCATGTTGCGTAACTTTGTTAAATTCTATGAGGAATCTCAAAAGGCTGTTCAAGAATCTGGAGCCGGTAAGATTACTTGGAATACCATCAAGTCAGCAATGGGTGATATTATGTACAAGTTATCAAAACAAAAGTTTATTGAACCTAAAAACGGAGAACAAAAGATCAAACAAGAGCTCAATGAACTCTATCAAGAAATTGGAAATGCTTTCAAGAATCTCGAAGAGGATTAAACCATTTTGAAACGCAATAATTATTAAAACAATTTTGTAAAATGAAGAATCCGATCATCAAATCAAAAGAAACAAAAAATTAAATATTGTTTATTGGCCCTTCGGTGCCTCAATACTTGTCATAAAACAACATTGGACTTCATTTTCGTTTAGATACTACTTCTGAATGTCGAATGTTTTTAACAGGATATATCAAATATTAACAGATTACATGCTTGTGTTGAGCAACTGTTAACATGGGTTGAGTCCATGATTCAAACAGAAGGCAAAAATAAAGCAGTGTTTGGTCTGTTAATGCATATGGTTTCGTTGGTTTGTAAGGTTGAGTCGTCAATTATTGTAAAAAGGTCATGAATAGGTATATATAGTGTTGATGGATATGATATGTTAATAATGATATGTATCGATTACCAGCATTGTCTTCAAAGTTCTAAGTCACAACAATTAATAATGTTGAAGGGCGGAGAGCAGTCTTGGATCCAGTATAAGGTGAGATGCTTCTTTCTTGTTCTTACATTCATTACACGTTTCTTATCGAATTGTTGATAGCACTGATCATCATAATACAAATATAGTATCTTGCCTTTTTGTCCATGATTAGTATGATCGTGAAGTTTGTTCTTTTGCTTTGTTTTTCTTTTTGGCTTGCCTTTGTCGGTGGATGATTGTTTTTTAGCTTGTGTGGTCCTTCTTGTTTTGCGAGGTTTGTTCTTTGGCTTGTATTCTTTTTCTTGTTTTGATGGAGTTGGTTGATTCAATGTTGATAATGTATTCTCATCTTTCTCAACTGGTGGATCGTTAGTTTTCTCAACTGATGGATTTTCTCTAAAGGTGATTGCGTCACATAGATGATGTTGTAAAGATTGTAACAAGTGATGCGAATGATCTAATGGCTTCCGTGCCTTTTCTTCGCAATTTCTGTTCTCTTCATTTCGTATATATTCATTAAGTTTGGCGTTTAATTGTTTGAGGGTAGCTGAAATGTAATTCGCTTGTTGTTCAATTCTTTCCAAACGTCTTTCCAGGCTGTGGAGCATGCAAGAGTCAATTCTGATGTTCATCTTGCGGTATTTTTTAAGGGCTCTCGAAAAGAAACAAAAAATGTCGCATCCACCACTCTATTTGATTCGACAGGAAACTCCTCAAGATCATAAAGCAGTATTTGAACTCATCGAAGAAGCCTTCCGGGAGCTTGTTGTCAGCGACCATCAAGAGCAATTTCTTGTGGAAAGACTTCGACTCTCTCAGACCCACTTTGTCCCTCAACTTTCTTTAGTCGCTCACACATTGGATGGAGAAATTATTGGTCACATCTTGCTCACTAAATGTCATATTTTACAGCCACGAGACAGACTTCACCAACGAATCGAATCATTGGCTCTAGCTCCTCTCTCTGTTAAACCAACTTTTCAAAGAAAAGGTATTGGGGCAGCTCTCGTGCATGAAGCTCATAGCATTGCAACACAATTAGGATTCACTTCTGTTGTGGTTGTGGGACATCCCGACTATTATCCAAAATTTGGTTATCGACCTGCCAAACAATTCGGAATTGCATTTCCCTTTGAGGTTCCTGATGAATGTGGAATGGTCATTGAATTGCAAAGTGGTGCTCTGAAGGAATGTAGAGGTGGTATTGTGGAGTATGCACCTGAATTCCAAATTGGAGAGAATAAAGAATAATCAAAGGTCTCAATCGGCTTTTCAGGATAACCATTCTATTTGTTGAAACGAAATTTTCAAATAAAAAAATGATTTGTTCCGAGAGTACAAACGAATCGAAATGCTTTGACGAATATGGCAGCAACCATCTTTCCTCGATCATGGTGAGTCTTGATCGGAATGATGAGAGCAGTTATGCTCATCCCATGAGGATGATAGAAACCATCTTGAATGAATTTTTACTCAGCAACGGCAGTTGCAGTACATTCCGAACGAAGAAGAAGAAGAAGAAACATGCTGGAGAACAACCACTGTGTGCAGTCATTCTATTATGTATCATTATTGTATATATTATAACAATGGGAACGATATGGGAAAGATTATATTCATCATCATTATTGTACAATAACCCTTCATCATCCATACAGAATGATAACTTTTTCAGATTTGTTCAGGCTTCCGATGAGAGCATCAAATCCGAAAAACTAAATGTGGGATTTAACTTTGCTGCTGAAGAATCGGGAGCAAAGATTTTGACATCAAATCCTGAAGCAAAGGTAAGGATATATCCAAGTGTTGTCATTGAGGAAGTATTATTTCTACAGAAAGTTTCAAGAATTCTCAATGAAGACTCAGACAAATATTGCCTAATTCCTCGAACGGCACCTCAAAAGTGGATCATTGTGGAATTGTCAGAGGAAATTTTGATGAAGAGTATTGCTCTTGCAAATTTTGAATATTACTCTTGCTCTTTTAAACATTTTAAAGTGTATGGATCTGTAAAGTATCCATGCAAAGGACAAAAATGTTGGGAACTTGTTGGATCTTTTCAGGCTTCAAACAGTAGAAAAGTGCAATCATTTATCTTTAAAAAACCATCCATTACAAGGTATATCAAGTTAGAATTTTTGACTCATTATGGAGAGGCTGAATATTATTGCACATTGAGCTTATTGCGAGTTCATGGATCTACCTTATTGGAGGATTTGAAAAAGTCTCTCCAGAAATCATCAAGTAGAAAATCTCATGAATCAAGCACGACCGATTCTGCTCCCCACACAGAAGAGGATGCAAGTCTAAAACTTGAAACTAAACATGAAGCTCACACATCAGACAATTTGGCAACCGCCAAAATTATTGCAGATGCTATCACAACTGGTGTTCATGATATTCAAGCCAATCTTACACATTTCCAACAAGAAAACAAAACAGGAAGTCAAACTGAAAATTTCGAGGAGCAATTTGGAAAGCTTTTACATGACGACATTTCAGATTTTTTGAAACAATCTATTGATTCTTCAACGATAGGTATCACAAACAGATCTAAAAACAATTTTTGGACAGACCAGATGAAAAAGAGATTTAACAAATATAGAATTTGCTTGTTAAAAGCGATGCAAGACAAGAAACTTATGGTGTCTCAAGATGCTCCCAAAACTAGTATCATGACAACTGAACACTATATCAATAGTACGATTTTTGTTAAGAATTATTCGTCACCTTATGTGAGACCTATGGCCCATCAGAAGCAACCCCTCTATGCCAAGAGTATATCCAGAAAACATGAATCTCAGCCAATTTGTCTAGCTCCACTAACATTTTTGTGGTCAAATATTTCATGTCCTTCGCTACTTCGTGCTAATGCCTTGGAAATCACACAAAATAAAGTTTCTCAATCTGTGAATAATTCTTCTGCTAAATCAGCCGCTACCTTAACAAAGATACCGGATGATGATGACGACGACATTGATGATGGAGATGATGACGAAGCGACTCAGGATACTCTTTCACAAATTATTAACGAAAAGGAAAATATTCTCAAATCACTATTCAACGCAAGTAAGTATTGTAACGGTCTACTGCTTGATTAACTATTCGACAGTTAAGGTTCATGGAGAAAACGAAGTGTTTTTAAGAAATCAGATAAAAAGTCTGGAGACTAGATATCTAAAAACAGTTCAATATATTCAACAGGTACTTGAAAAGAATGGAGAAGATCACAAAACATTAGCAAATAGTTTTGTAGCGTTATCTCAAAAGCAAAGAGATTCAATTGTGGCAGAGTTGGTAAGTGGTGAATTAGAATTTTGCTTTTTCTTTTATTAACATTTCTTGCCACAGAGACATGAAATTGATACAAAAGTGAAAACTAAAATTGAAGAGTTTAGTAACTCCATTGACTCAAAAATTGCCAAAATAAGAGAAGAGCAAACTCAACAAATACGAAGTCTAAGGAAAGAATTTTTCGTTTATGGAGGTTGGGCAAGCATATTGATTTTATTTTTCATCTTCATAGCACGTCCAAAGAAGGAGATCATTATTCGTGACAGAAATTCTCCCTTCGTGGATAAGATTGACTCTCCAAAAAGAGATTTCCAAAGTAAGGGGAAGAATCCTGCAAATAGGCTTTCCTCTATGAATCTTCTAAGCATTCTGTATTCTTTCTTCTTTCAAAATTTTGATGAGCATGAGGATGGATCTAATGATGAACACATTGATAGAAGAGAAATCTACTCTCACAATATTTCGTTCGACGAGGATGCTATGCAAGATAGCTTCATTAAGAAAATTAGTCCAAGAGCAAAAAATTCTCACAGGAACAAGAAAAAGTACTCTAAAATTCAGGAATGAATCTAGGAATTTGAACTTCTTCAGTCTTATTTTGGAGTGTTGTATATTCCTCCACCAAGCTTCTTGCATTCTCTAAGGCTTCACTAATGGCTGATTTTTCCATATATTGTGTGTAATGATGCAAATAGAAATTTTTTCTAAATAATTTCTTGCATCGTGCCTCCATCTCATCAAACACTGCACCAATGCAACAATTATTGGCAAGACAGAGCAATGAATATGGTTGATTATGAGGAGCAACATGACAAAGTCCAACTTTGAAACCTTCTTGATTCCAATATATCATATCCATGCTAGATTTCATTTTGGCAATATTTCTATTGATATCAGAAATGTTTGCTTGTTGTCCTCTTAAAATCAAACCACACGACAAATATTTGTGATGAATTGGATCGCACTTTAACAACTGATAATCTCTTGATAGTACATCTTTAAACATCTGGTCCATTCTTCTTGGAGGTAAATGCACATCTTTAGGGACAACAAATGGAGATAAACTGCTGAGAAGAAACTTCAATTTTGGATATGGCACAAGATTCATTGTGATTTCGTTCAAGTCAACGTTCAACGAACCCTCAAACCGCATGGAGCTTGTCAAATTTGTGAGAATACTGGCAGCAATATCGTTCATTTGATCGAATGGCTTTGAGTCCTCTCCAGATATAGATCTTACAACATCCTTCTTTTTCTCTAAAGAGTTTACAAGTTGACACATATCGTACAATGCTTGATTTTCAAGTGGAAGAACGCAATCGGAATGTTGAGTTAATTCATTCAACGACAAAATTGAATTATATGGAGATGTGACAACGTCGTCATCTTTTGATGGAAACACACATGTTGTGAATGTATATATTTCTGGAAATTCATCATGCAAAACTTTGACAATATAGGATCCCAAACCAGATCCTGTGCCTCCTCCAAGAGAATGTAATAAGAAGAAACTCTGCAAAGAATCACATTCTTCTGCTTCTCTTCGTACCTTATCCAACACTTCATCATGATACTGTGGACCATACACTTCATGACCATGAGCCCAATTGTTTCCAGCTCCACTCACATCACTTATAAATTGTTGGTCCTTATTAAAAAGACCTCCAATTTCCGATTTTAACAAACTGTGCAACACTCCTTCCTCCATATCTACAAGAACAGCTCTTGCCCGAATATCAGGTAAATGTGAACTCAAATTTGATTTTACTTTTCCAACATAATCCCATTTGAAAAAAGTCGAAAGTGGATCATCATACAACAAATCAGGACTTTGATTTTTCTTGCTTTGAAAATGAGCAGCATGTTCCCTCAAAATCAAATCCCACATACGACCTCCGATTTGATTACCACATTGTCCAATTTGTAGTGTACTGTTAAGCATAGTATACACATGCCGAATCGTTTCATGATGATTTCAGTATAATGTAGTAGTGGTTGTATGATGACCATTATTATTACATCGTTGTAGGACAACAGACTCTCTCAGACACTTACATAATCTCTCGAGGCATTTTTTTTAATGTTTCAAACTCTTTTGGTAGATGGAGGAATATTGTTGAATGAAATTGAAACACTTAAAACCATCCATTCATGGAAGGTATGATGAGGAGCGTCTGACCTTAAAAGACTAATTGGTCTGCATTTGAATCTTGTTCAAAATATATTTTAATATACCTCACAGGATGACCAAAATAATTGTATAACCTTACACAGATTAAGGTCGAGTACACCTTGGAACACTGTTAGCGCGATGGAAATATCTCTCCAACTTTCCAATCGATTGCAACTCAACTTTGTGTGAATTTTCAATTGCCATCATTCGCACATCAACAGGTGTCACAGTATCCATGTTGACAGAGAAAACTCTTCGTTGATGAGCGTGTTTTGAATGGTCCGAGAGCACTAGCCTTCTCAGTGATATTGATGTTCAAGAATGATATCATGAATTCGGTTAAAAACTCATGTCGTTACATTGTACTCTCCAGCAACTTTGTCAAACTTGTACCTGCTTGGTGACCATGTGTTTATACAAGTCATGGAATACCAAATATTGAAATGGTTGATGAGAGACAAGTTTAAGAGAAACATTCACAAATTCTTAGTGTGAAAAATTGAACACTATTTGTAGCCTTAGAAACGTCACATCAACACCCTACTATCAACGTCCGTCATTTCCCTTCTTGCATCTCTAAAGTTCGTTTGAGTATGTCACCGTCAAATACTTCACACAGACCTAGGAGAGATAATCGACCTTATTGGCTGAAGAATGGCAGTTGACGCGAGAGTGTGAAAAGCTTTAAACACACTCTTAAAAAACAACTGCACACAAGAAACTAATTGTTGTGGTCACAAACACATACTCGCTTTTGCAACTCCACATAGTTTTAATTAGCAACTAAACAACTCCTCTTCACAACCAAACAAAACCAATAATTATGGGTAATAGACAATCACAAAGACAACATCATGGCCAAGGTGGTCATCGACCTCATCCACACAAACTGGCCAACAAATCAGCGAGTGAAATTCGTCTTGCAAACGTTCATGATAAGAGTTTTTCAAGCTCTCTCTCAGATTCACTTGATTTTACGCACATGTTCTCAATGGGACAAAATGATAAAGGTCAACTCGGAAGAGGAATCATGAGTAAGGATGACATTGAATCTTATCCATTAGGTCCAGTATTGGAACTTCATAAACCAGAAAGTGCATCTCATAGCGATGAAGAACAACAAGAAATTAACTCTCGTGTTCTCAAAGATATCAAGTTTGTAGCAACAGGACGTTCACATTTAATCATGGTGACACATTGCAACAAAATCTATGGTATGGGGTTCAACAATTATTCCCAATTAGGTAAGTAAAATTGATGAAAGAGATGATCATCTCACTAATCCAAATTAGGTTTCCCTCAAGATGAAGAAAATATTCCTAGACTGAGAGAGATTATACTTCCTGAAAGTGTGACAACCATTGATGCTGTCGCTGCAGGTTGGTTCCACTCCATTGTTGTGTGTGATCAAAATAAGATATTTGCTGCTGGTCACTCATTCTTTGATCAAACTTTTGATGTCAAAATGGAGTCACATTTCCAGAGATCCATTCGAATGGATTTCTTACAGAGAGATAAATCCAAAGTCACAACTGTCAGTGCATCCACCTTCTCGTCAAGTTTAGTAGTTGATAATTGGAAAATCTATGCTTGTGGTGAAATGAATGCGAATTCCAACCCAACCAACTATTTAGTGCCAGGTTGTGAAGTATTCAAACGAGAAGCCATCAAAAAGTTCAAACATGCAGATAAGGGACTTGTTGCATTGTGTGAAAATGGACGAGTTTATTTTGCTACAAAAGAAAGACCATTCCATATACTCATGGAAAATATTCATTCCATCACACCCTCACACATGTATGAAACCACCTACACCTTGGAAGAGAGATCAACAATTTTGAGCGAATGCGATTTGGCACCTTATACGAAGAGAAGTAATATCAACGTTGCTGCATTTATAGAAAAATATGGAATGGATAATGTACAGCTCTATTGTGGATACTGCTTCTATTATTTGGTAGTCAATAAGAAGAGAGTTTATACCATCAATGGAAGTGAATTGAATGAAGTTCTTAATTTGGAAGGAATCTCAACTAGTATTAACATTAAGGAAGTAGTAGCCACATCAGATTGTTCCTACTTTATATTTGAAAGATGTTTATTTACTGCAGCTGAGCTTCTGATGAAATCTAGATTGTTGGAAAACGAAAAGTTTGCTGACATTGAGATTATTGCACCATGTGACAACTTGGAAGAATGTCTTGTATAAAAACCATGATCTAGCCTATGATACAAATGTGAATAAATAACAAAAATACCTTTGATTTATTCATCAGTATTTTCTTCAGGTGAGCCACCTGGTCTATGAAATCCACTGCGAACGAATGGAATGTTGGTTTGTTCCAAAAAGAATTTCTTTTCATCGTTGGATATTAAGGGGCACCTCTCGTACCAAAATAAATCCAACTTGAGGACAGTCTGATCATTGAGTAAAGTCTGTAAACTCTTGAAGGTAATTCTTTTGTTGTCACTAATAAAGAACTTTTTCAATTTTGGATAACATTTCATTATTTTCGCAACTGCTTCGTCTGAAAGATCATTTCCTGTGAGTCTGAGTCCTTCTAAACAATTCGGGCTGATATTTTCTATTCCTTCAAGGAATTCGTACGATAAGTCGCATCTTTCCATAATCAAATATTTTAAATAACCAGAAAATTTTTTCAGGACTTTGTTTGCCTGTTCGTCACCAAGTGGATTGTCACTCAAATTAAGTCGTTGCAAATTGTCGAGAGGAATTTCAATTAACCATTCAATATCTGTGAGGTTATTCTTCTCAATTGTCAAATAATGTAAATTAGATAAATCTTCAATTTCAGACACGTCAATATTTGTGCATGAAATATTATTCATTTCAAGGTCCAATCTTTGTAATTTAGGGCATGATTTCAAAATGGCTACTAGAGCATTTTCATCCAAACTACATTCTCGTAATTTTAACGTCTGAATAGTTTCACTAAATGAATTCATAAACATTAATATTCCACTGCTAGACAAGCTAACACAATGATTCAAATCAAGAGTAGCGAGCTTCTCAAATTTAAATGAATTCAACTTTGAAAATGCAGTATCCTTAATATTTTGATTCTTACTAAGATCAATATAAGTTAATTGGTTTAGGATCTCACCATTAGAGGAGGTGAATACCTTCTTCAAGTTACTGGTGTTGAAGCCACAACTAGAAAGTGTTAGCTTTGATAAATTTGGAAGCTTCACTTTCATTAATTTTTCCATGCCGCTATCTGAAAAATTCAAACACCTCTCAAATACAAATTCTCGTACACTACTTTGTCCAACACTTTGCATGGATTGTTTGGTAATTTTTTGATTTTCCAAAAATAAAACTTCCAATACAGGCAATTTCATCAAGTTGGTAACAGAATATTCATCAGTAAATCCGTCACTTGAGATCAATGACAAATGTTTCAATCGAGATGTTGAGAATTCATTTTTGAGAGTTTTCTTAATGGAACCTTCTTGACCTTCTTCAATATCCACAATAAAATCAAAGTTATATTTCCGAGGTGGAAAATCTCGTAACATCATTCCAGTGTTCAATTTCAAATTGGTCAATGAAGGAAGCTCAAACACTTTGGTAAACTCCCAGTCATAAACTGAATCTAATGTGATCCTTTTCAATTTGTTGCATTCTCTTAACGCTGAGCATAAACCTGGATGATAGTGTTTTCTATTTCCAATAAATGTAAATCTCTCAATTTTCTTATTCTTGCTTAATGACTGACAATAGGCATCAGTCAATGGACAATAATCCACTTTCAAAGTGTGAGCATGTCTGAAAATGAAATTCATTATAAATCCATCTTGTTCGTCTTTTTGATGATCTGAATGCAAAGAAAACGACTCATAGGGTGTTAAATCTCCTTTCACAACAAAATGTCTATATAAAAACATAACATGTGTTTTGTATATATCCCAGTTTTTATATCCAAAAAACAAATGAAAGAGTGAGTGATGATTTTTGTTTTGAGCACTCTGAATAAAATTACAATATTTATGGATCGTTTGTTTAGAGAGAATGAGAAAGGAGAGAATATCTACAATAACATCCATAGGAAGGATGGAATAATTTGCTGTACCTGCTGAGGTTTGAGAAGTATGAATTTCATTCAAATTCTTATTCAAATCCAAATCGGAATCATCATCATGGCCTTGTTTCAGCGAGATGAACGAGCAAGAGGAGTCTTTCTGAGAGGGTGAAAACATTTTTTTTATACGAATAATAATTTGCGTCAAGAGCCTCTGTTTTGAGTTGTTTTTGAAATTTATTTTTCCTCTCAATCATGAAAGACTTTTAAGCATCCTGGAATTGACTTTTGGCAAAATTGGTTCAACCACAACAGTCCGTTAAAATCAGCATCGGAATGAGGAGGAGAAACTTTAGAGCGTGCTCTTCTTCAGACTAATGTTTTCAACTTGTTTTTTGAAGAGTTTTTCAAAGAGAAAAAAATGTCTCAACAACAACCTCATGATTCAAACATCACCAATCAAATGGATGATGATCGAGATGAAGATTATGAAACTGAAGAGGAGGAAGATGCTTTTATTAACGAAGAAGATATAGATCATGTAGCCGGAGAATATGATGAAAATGATAAGCCTCCGAGTGATGATGAAGAAGAAGATGAATGGATGGATGATGATGAAGAAGACGCAAAAAACAGACCTTTAAGAAATGTTCCTGATTATTCAACAAGCTCCTTTAATGAACATACAGATGCAATTTATTCTATTAGTGTTGTTGAGAATGGTCCGAATGAATTTTTGTGTGTCACATCTAGTGGAGATGATAGTGCTTATTTATGGACATTTAATACTCAAACACTCACTACTACACCCATCAAGAGACTCTCTGGACATACAGATACGGTCTTACAATCAAAATTCAACTTTGATAAGAGTTTAATTGCTACAGCTGGTATGGATGGAACTGTGAAGATATGGAATGCTAAAAGCGGTGATTTAATTTCATCATTGGATGGTCCAGCAGAGAGTATTGAATGGATTGACTGGCATCCAAAGGGAAATATTGTCATTGGTGGATCAGCAGATTCAACCACTTGGATGTGGAACACTCAAAAAGAACTTTGTTTGAATGTTTTTTCAGGGCACTCTGATAGTGTCACTTCTGGATGTTTTTCCACAGATGGTAAACTAGTTGTCACTGCTTCTGAAGATTCAACAGTTAAAGTTTGGAACCCGAAAACTGCAGAATGCACAATCACATACTCTGCTCATGAAAAGAATATCAAATCATTCTGTGAAGAGCCAATCACAGTTTTGAAATGTAGCCAAAGCAATCCGTCTATCTTTTTATGTGGATCTTTGGATGGATCTGTTGCATTGTGCCAATTGGAACAACAACGAGTTTTGAGTTACTTGAAAAATAAGCATGCTCATACCAATTCTGTTGAGGATGTTCTATTCCATCCAGATCAACAGCACTTGTTAGTGAGTGCTGGCATGGATGGACAAATTGTGTTATGGGACACACAGTCCTCTACTGCTCGACAAGTTTTGAAAAACTATCCCCTTCAAGAACAGTCTGAATTGTCATCAACCGATGCCAACACTGGTGGTTCTTCCTCTTCTACAACAATGGTTTCAACAGATCTCAACTTTGATACTAGTGCTGCTCTTGTTGGTGTTACACATATTCAATTTGACGCTTCACGGCCTTACATTCTCTACTCGGGTGACATCCAAGGAAATATCTTTAGTTGGGATGTTCGTGTTGGAAAGGTCGTGAAAATGTACCAAGGACATGCCGATGTCATATCCGATTTTACCCAAAGTCATGATTACATTTTCTCCGTATCAGAAGATAAAAGAGCCCTTATTTTCAATAAACAATAAGGTTCGTACGAGTTTTTTATTTACATATTTAGTAATTTTCATAGGGATCTCCACCAAATTCTCTAAGTAATTTGTAGTCATGCACATGCTTCCTCACTCCTTCCAATATTTCCTCTATTTCCGAGTTGGAAAATTTGCTCACCATAGCAGCAAATTTGTTGTAAATTTCAAGATCATTTTTGTCTTCTAAAAACCTTTCTCTTGGTGTGTTAATGACATATTGATCATATTGAGCCCTTCTTTCTGAAGCATTTTGTTGTTCTAATTGATTGGATATGTGAGTGCTTAATTCTTCTATTTCTTGTATTTCCGAAAAACTTAGTGGAGAAGAATTTCTAAGCTCTTCCGACATGGAGGTCATACATCTCTGCCTTAGAGATTGATGAGAAAGAGCAGATTGGGAACGAGGGCCTCGGGATCTACTTGACGAAGCACTAACATTACGCTCCAAGATCAACATGATACGGTCTTGATCAAGCAGTAGTACTTACCGACTCTTTGTGGGCGATGACGGAGAGTTTGCTGCGCTCCGAGGCGAATTTAGAAAACCAGAAAGAGAAGGCGAAGTAAAATTGTACGAGCTATCAGCTCTTGATTCCGTCATATCGCCATTGAGATGTTGATCTGCTTTCGGTTGAATCATTTCATCACGTTGCCCGATGATGATTCATGATTTTTTATTTGAATACATTCATCAAACACTTACTTCTTTTCTTTGGTCGGGCAATCATTGTTCTTGGTGTTTTATTGTCAATCACCGATTTTGAATTTTCAAGTCTTGACCGATGCAAATAGTAGTGTATTGAGAGGGCATCTCTTCCTCCTCGATTTTTAAAGGAATAGGCAAAATAAGGCGACTTCTCGGAGGAAGACATTTGCTCAATTTTTTTTACAGTTATAATGGTGGTTGAATACTTTTTCGTAGTCGTAGATTTTCCTGATGCAGGTCATCAAGCTATCTTGCTTTTCGTAGTCGTAAGCAAGCACACACGCGAGTTGTGTTTTTCCATTCGACACAACACACGAGCCCTCCCATCCCTCTTGCAATGGTCCATTGCTCTCTCCAATAATATATATATATATATTAACCCACATAATGGTGAGGTTACCAATCCCTCTCTGAATATGAATCACATGAATCACCTGTTTGTTGGTTATAGGATGATGACTAGTCAGTTCTCAATGGACTTGAAATAGTATACCTCTGACAACTAGACACCACCTCTAAATGTCTATTATAATATTCGTTACCTCTATTTCTTCTTGGTGGTATAATGTTGTTGCATTTGTTGTTCAAGTTTCACTCGATGAGCATTCAGTAATATTTCTCCCTTATCAATCGTCATGGATTTGTATTGAAAGTAGGGTTGATGATGACTGGTCATGAGAGGACTCAATGAAGAGGACGACGACGACGACGACGAGTCCATCCATGATGATGATGATGAAGATCCTTCAAACGTTTGAGCATGCTTCATCCTCACAGACCTCAAGTGACTCGTCATGGCTTCTTCCTCCTCTGGATTGAAATCAAACACACAAGTACCCACAGTCAAATGATGAATCACTTCTTCATCATCCCTTAAGGGAGCACACAAGTAAATGACCTTCTCGTAGGGACAAATCTTCTTAACGAAACCAATTCCAATGAATTGAGTCTCCAACTCGGCATTCGTCTTGAGAGTCATGAGAGGATATTCAGATTTGGTGTAATGTTGAGAGAGAGTCGAATAGAAACCATTGGAATGGTGTGAGAATTTATACATTCCTACAAATGAAGCATTGAGATGATAGAGACCTTGAGAGAGTTCACTTGGATCCATATTCAATAGAGTAATAATGAGAGAACTCCATTTGATTTTTCGACATGGAGTAAGTTCAGAGAAAAATTGATAAATACTTTGAGAGTGGTTCATGATGGTTGTTGTTGTTCCTGTTGTTGTTGTTGTTGCTGAATTTGAAGATGAATTTCGAGTTGTGGTCAATGAATAATTGTTGTTGTTATTCTCCAATGTCGTTGTGGTGTTCAAAAATGGATTAAATCGACAAAGAAATTCCTCTGTTGAATAATATCTTGAAAAATACCAAAAGTGTTGCATATTAATTTTTGAAAAGTAGTGATTTCTATAGGATTGTTTTGAATCGAGAATAAATAATGTTTCCAAATTTCTCAAATCAAAGATTGGAGTATTTTCTCCATTAAATTGTTGTTCACTATTGTTCTCAACATTCAAATAGTGTTCACTACAATTACTATTATTATTATCACTACTATTATTACTCTTATTATGATCATCACCATTACTATTCTTACTATTCATATTCTTAATATTCTTCAAATTATTACTCTTATTATCATCATAATGAATAAATGTTAAATAATTATTCAAGGCATCATGATGAATGGGTCCAGAAGGAGATGGACTATAAGATGGATTTTTAAAATTACTCAAAATAATCACATCAATCGGTGAAAATAAACGAGCAAGTTCCAACACGATTTGATATCCAGTCGATGGAAGTAAACTCTGAGTATTCACTACGAGAGGAAGATCTTTAAATTTCTTGTAATAGATTTCATATAGTTTCATAGATTGATGAATAAAAGTTTCCATTTGAATATCCGTTGATGCATGTCCATGATAACACCAATCGATTAATTCATTTTCTTCAAAATTTTGTGAATTGTGTAATGGACCAAAAGTGGCACTTTTGTGAATCGATAGAGAGATGGTACCTCTCACACCATGTGAAGGGACATTAATATTTAAATCTAAAAAAGCAACTTTTGGATAATGATTCAATAATACATTCATGAGATAGGAACTAAATACTGATTTTCCTGAAAGACCATGTCCTACAATTAAATATTTTGAATGATGAGTCTTTTTGGAAGATGTCGTACTACTGCTACTACTATGACTACTATTATGAATGGTACTACTTTTGCTGACTCGATTCATCACTCTCTTGATAAAATTGTCTGCAAAAGTAAATTTCAATGCATGTGAAGGAACACTTTCATCACTGGCTGGAAAGATGTAAAGAGATTTTAACTTGCGTTTTGATTTGTCTAATTTTTGATGATTAAAAATTTGCATATTTCTGTGAATGTAAAAACATCTCACAAATTGATCAAATTTCAAAGGTTCATCTTCTGAATTTGGAATGTAAAATTCAATAAGAGCTTGATCTTTACCACAATTTTCAATAGGAATCATTCCAAATTGACATGAAGCATTCAACAAGTAGGATGTTTGAGGATTTAATTTTATCACCTTTCCCATAATTCGAATGGTTCCTTGTAATACTCGGAAATAACAAACACCAATGACATGAATGGTGGTGTGTTCGTTTTTTAATCGTGTGGTAAAAGAGTGTCGAGTGGAGGAAGAAGACTTTGTATCATTTCGGTTGTATGGTTGATCATTTTCTTGCATGTCATCATCGTCTGCCATCATTTCCTCACATTCATGATCGGAGAGTTTGGAGTCCAACTTGTGATGGTCATGTGGAGGAGGAGAACACGAAGGTTCAATGACTTTGTTGAGCATTTTTTTAGTCTAAGAATCTCTTGATGGGTAGAGCTTTTAATCAATACTGGGAAAACGAAAGACCTGAGGCACCGAAGGGCCAATAAATATTTTTTCAATTTTTTTAATCTAAGAATGGAAATTCATCACTTCGTGTGATTCTACATTCTTTACGAAATCATGAAAAATGTCACTAGTGGTTCAAAGGTACCTATCATACGTATTGAATGATTTGTTTATTATTAGTATTATTTTGTGAGAGTGATTATTTGTTAGTGTACAAAATATTTTAACTGAAATTCAAAAATGTATGAATCGTGTGTGAAGAGCACAAAAAAAAAGACGACGAGACATTTTACATGCCATTCATGGAAGCAATTTGTAAGAATTTGATCAGAGTATTGACATCTTCTCGATGCACTGGAGATGGATCCACCACTAGTAAGGTCTGTTGTTGTTGTTGAACATGTTGAACATGTTGAGATAAGGAGGAGGAGGAGGATGATACTGGACCATGAACTCCCCTTAAGATCATGTGAGAGGGTGGACACAATTGAGTACTTGTACTTGTGGTGAAACTTGTGTCAATCTTGAGAGGTTTCTTTGCAATGACCTTCTTTTTCATGGGATACATGGAGGAAGAGGAGGATGGAGAGTGTGTTGTGGATGTCCATTCTTGGTTGGTATTGACATCCACATGGGTATTATTGGTCGTTGTCATTTTGTTGTCCTCATGTTGAGAGTTCGTTGTAGGCATCATCATCATCATGGCGGTGGAAGTCGTTTCGATCTGAGAGAGTGATGATGGTAGTGATGAGGACGAGGAGGATGAAGTGGTGGTCGATGTGTTTGTAATTGCGGTTGTTGTGGCATTGGATTTGGATCGTTTTCGAGAAGCAGCAACACTGTGAACTTGTGGTGCTTTCTTATCTGAGTGATGATTGTTACTACTAGACATCATCATGTTGGTCTTTTTCCATTGATACAAGTCATGGAAATAGCAATAATTACACACATTATTCCAATCAGAGGCAATGAAATCACGTTTGAATTCAGTGGGACACCTCAGGGAGAATCTCAATCGATTGGAGACATCTCTGGAACAACCCTCAATGCAACAAATGGTTTGATGATCATCACTATGGGTCGTCGTGTTCTTGTGGTTGCTGGAAGTGGTGGTTGTGGTAGTATTGGTTGTGGTGGTTGTGGATGGAACAACTTCATGACTTTTAGCTCTCTTTCGAGTCTGAATCGTTGTCATTGAGGAATGGTGAGTGGCGTTTACTTCTGGATTCGTCGATCCTTCACACCTATAGGTGTTCACATTGGACTTTCTCTTTTTGGTATTGTTCTTTGAGGATTGGTGGTCGTCGTCCTTGTTGTTATCATTACAATGATCCTCATCACTAACAACAGAGGACATGGTTGTCATTGTTGGGAGAGGATAGGAGGAGAGAAGAGAGGATGATTCCATGTTCGAAGGCAACAGCATTGGAGGTGGTTGTGGAATGGCTGAATGAGAACTACTATTACCACAACTACTATTACTATTACTACTAATATTAAAGGATTGGGGAGAAGGTCGTCGTTGTGAAAAATCTTCACGAACCTTATCAAGGAGAATCTTTCTCATGTTGTTATGAATCCAAAAAAAGAACAATTGTTGGCAATGACAATGATTGCAGAGAGGGTGAACAACAGGTGTGAGTGTGATATCAAAGAGAGTCTCTTGGTGTCTCAAGTGTGTGTGAGTGGTGTGAGTGGTGGTCGTAGTGTGAGTGTGTTTGTTATTATTATTATTATTTCTTCTTTCTCAACACTATGGTGTGTGTGAAATACAAAATGCAAGAGAGAATGTGAACACAAGCAAGTGAGAACACACACAAAACAAGGTTCAGAGGGTGAATGAATTCACAAAGGGAACACAAAAGGAATCGATGAACTTGAGCTTAAAAATTCACACGATGCAAAAGTATGAACTGTAACTCGTGTGTGAAATGAATAATCGGATGCAAGTGTGTTGTTTGTGGTTGTTATTATTTTTATACAATGTTTTCAACAACAAACACAGATTGTTAACAACAACAACAACAACAACTGCAAGAATGCAATCAGATTCAAGTATGTGTGAATTAAAGGTTTTTTTTAGTTGAGTTTGATCGAAAATAGATAGTTGAGAACAGCTGTTGCGTTGTTGAGTGATTCATACAACGTGCGTGTGAAAAAAGTCCACGTGTGACGCAAGATGCATCAAACGAGATACCTTTCAGGCTGCTTTTGTCACTGAAAAGGTTTATTGTTATAGCTGTCAGTGTCTTGTCTTGTTCTCATACATGGATGTTATTTTGGAAATAATATTACTCGATTGGAGTTTTGGTATCTCTGTTTGAAATGTGTGACGGCGATAGGATGAACCTCAAAAGTAATGATAGGGAATGTGTCTGTTTGGTTCATAAAAGAGACATCCACGTTCAAAACTGTTCCTAGTTCACAAATAGACAAGACATGTGTAATTGCCAAATAAATAGTTTGTGTTGATACAACAATAATAACCTTTTGGAGTCGCGTAGGGTGTGAATGAATCAATAGTTGGCTCCTGTTCTTTCCTGTGAATAGTGTGAATGGTGTGAATTCTCTCGAGAGATGTCTAATAATGTTCATCTTCTGTTACTACTTGGATTGTTTTGTGTGGAAGTACCCACAGTGGAGTTTTTCAAGGACTGGAAGTATTTGGCTTTCTCAAAGTTATATTCTTCAACTCCCTCTTGAGGAGGAATGTCATAACCTTCATGATAAAATCCACATTTTGTTCCATTTTTACAATTTCCTTTAAGGTAAAATAAACATTTTATGGGCTTGAAGGATCTTGGCTCCACAGGTCCTTGTGGTGGTGGTGGAGGATTAAGAGGAGGTCTTGGCTTATTTGATTGTTGTTGATTTCTGTTGGATTGTCGATTGTGAGCATGATGATGGTGATTAGGTTGGCGTGATGGATGATGGGATGGTGGTTGTTGTGGTGGTTGAGGTGGTGGTTGGGAAATATTGGTCATGATTGGAGTAAAGATGGGTTGTTGTTGTGGTGGTGGTGGAACTTGAGCTTGTTGTGGACGGTAGTAAGAAGGTGATTGTTGAAAAACAGTCGTGGCCACAGATGGAGAAATTGATGGGGACACAATGGTCGTGTGATGATGAAGGGTCGACGATGTTGAGAAAGGTGAAGGAGTCGCATAGGAAGTTGGCATTGAACTCGCCGAGTGTCCAGCATTACTAGTTACGGCAACGTTGGTCATCATTGGATTGAGTCGATTAAAGGAACTGAGTAAATTTGAAATCTCTGCAATATTTGGAACGGTGTCAGGAGATTTTGGAGATTCGTGAACGATCTTAGATTGAGATTTTTGCACCTCTGCAGCAATTCTTGAGGCTTCTGTGCTTGATAAATCTGGAATTTGGTCTGACTTGTGTTCCTTAATGATAGGCCTTAGAGGACTCACTCCAGGCACTGTATTTTTCATGTTTGATAAAATTAATTGTTTCAATTGTCTTTGTTGATTGAGTAATGTCCTTTCTCTTGATTTTTCTTCATTCAATAATTCTTGAACGGTCTTGTGAACTCCATTTGAATTTTGTCCTGCATTTTCTTCTATATGGGCAGACCTAGGTTCAATCAGTTTGACCTTTTCTAGTTCAGAAGACCAACTCACTTTTTTCTTTTTCTTTCCAGTGGTAGAAGATGAGGAATACTCCTCCCCTAAGGTTGGAGTGAGAGACTTGTCATCAGTTTTAACTTGAAAAGTCAATAATGCATTTCTATATTTAAATATAAAACCTACCTTTCTTTTTCATGGGTATTGAGGTGTCCATAGTGGGTGACATTGAGGTGGACGTATTCTCTACATTATCTCCTTCAGGTCTTTGTTTTCTCTTCTCACCATTATTTGGCGTGGCGGTTGTCGTGCTTGTTGCTACTTGTGTTGATGATTTTTTCTTTAGTCACTTGTTGTTGATGGGGTCTCTTGCACGAATTTTTGTTTCCAGTCTTGAATCAATTCATCAACACTGGTCTTTATTGGTTTAGAAATAATGGTTGACTTGGACACCGAATTTAAAGCTTTACCAATTTTTGATTTTTTAACATTTGCAACAGTAAGTCCACCACAACTGTTTAACTTTTCCTTTATAGCATTGACCAGTTCCTTTAAGAGACTATTAATAAATTGGTTAGAAATCAAATCATATGATTAAATAATACATACTTTTCGTCAATTTGATCCAAAGCATCCGTAATCCATTCAGATAACAACGACAATCCATCTGCATCTATAAACATTTTGAGAATGTTTTTCTTGATTGTAGCATTCAAGACTTTGGCACACTCTAGCCTTCCGTTTTTGATAGTCTCTTTATGAGAAGTAGGCGTTAACTTCAAATCGCGACATATGTTCATGAAGGTTTCGATGTACTCTTTTTTCGTTATTTTATAATTGTTAGTAATCGCTTTGATTCTTTCGGTTACATCTACCATTGTTGTGATGATGTTGTGGGTGCTCAAATAGCCTAAAAATTATGTGGAGAGGTTTGATGAGTATTGTCCTCTCGTATTTTTAAAATTTTGTTGGATGAGAGTAGAGAAAAAAACCTCTTGATATAATCGAACTTTTGATGTATTTTGTTCGGCAATAATAATTCTTTTCAATCCAACAACAACACTCGTTCTTCTTGATGAGAAGCGAAATATTTTTTTTCGGTTTTCTTTGCTGGTTCAACGGGTTGGCGAAAGCATTACAACGTCTTTCTTTTGGAGCCGCCATGCACACAACGCTTTTTTCAATTCTTCTTCTTTACTGGGCTTTTAGGCTTCAACTTGTTATAACTTCAAACGGATCCTTCGACGTGGCAATAGATGAGAATAGAAGCAATCATTCATCACATGTTCCATTTAAAAAAACAAAGCCAAAATTTACGATACAAAAATACATTGTAAAAAATATCCTTATCGGCATCATCAACGGAATGTCATCGCACGAATATATTTTCAAGTATATTATTATTGGTGATATGGGTGTAGGCAAGAGCTGCCTATTGGTAGGTGTTTTTTTGTTGGTCATGATACGAAGGAATTTGTCTCGTTATATTATACTGTTATTATCATCAACAACAATTATTATAACAACAATAACAACAGCACCAATTTACGGAACAAAAATTCCAATCAGACTGTCCCCATACTATCGGTGTAGAATTCGGTACCCGTGTTATTGAAGTTGAAGGAAAAAGCATTAAATTACAAATATGGGATACAGGTATGTGTTGGTTCAATGATGCCTAGTTTGGGTGCTAATCTGTTGAAATCCATTTGTTAACAAAACGATCATTTGAACAATTGTTCTCATACTAACAATCTTTGGTTTGAATAGCCGGCCAAGAACGATTCAGAGCAGTGACAAGATCATATTACAGGTACGTTAGTTTGAACAAAAGTGAATTTGTGCTTACACATTCATCAGAGGCGCAGCAGGTGCTCTCATGGTCTACGACATTACCCGTCGTAACACTTTTCATCATTTAGCCAGTTGGCTAACAGATGCTCGTAATTTGACGAACCCACACACAATTATTGTTTTAATTGGCAACAAATCGGATTTAGAAGATCAAAGACAAGTCAGTTTTGAAGAGGCTTCTCGTTTTGCTAAAGAAAATGGACTCGTTTACGTCGAAACCAGCGCAAAGACTGGTGAAAATGTCACTAAAGCATTTATGGAAACTGCTAGTAGAATTTATAAGAATATTGTTGACGGAGTTTTGGATCCAAACAGTGTGGAGTCAGGGATACAATACACAAAAACACTCATTGATAATGATACTCAAGGAGGTAATAGCGGTACCAACAGACCATCAGGTGGAGGATGTCCATGTTAATTCTTTCCTTTTGATGTACATTATATTTTTGACATCATTAAATTACTGTAATTATTTAGAGAAACAAACTTTCGTCAGAGATGTCTTTCCTTTTTTGGTAGTCTTTATTGTGATTCATGTAGGTTTTTGTGAATGTCATAGATAAAGGGATCAGCAAATCTCAACGAATGTGTAAGGTGTTCTTTCAACATTTGGTCAATGCATTCTTGTAAATGCTGTCTTTGGATTATGGGCTTTAGTTGCTGGCTGAGAAATTCTTTGTTTGCTCTCATTGTCATGCTCATTAAATTCTCGTTGGAATAATTAAGAAGTAAGGGAGATATTGAAGGAACTGGGAACTGTTCTTCCTCTGTTTTTCTTTTGTGTTGTGCATTCTTAAGTTCCTCCAATTTCAAAATACTAATAACTAGCTGCTCCAATGAGTTGTTCATCAAAAATTGGAGAGTTTGGGAAGCGTTCGCAATGAACTCGTGGTTGAGTCGTTTTTTTATCGTCTGTTTAAGGGAAGAAATGTCCTCTTTTCCTTCAACGTAATTTTGATATATTAAGTGAATTAGGATGGAACAAACTTGCTTCTTTTCTTCTTTCATCTTTTTCTGTCTCTTGGAAAGAAACGTGAGAGTGTCATGATGGAACATGGTATTGTATCTATCCAGTTTAGCTTCCAGCTTTAAATAAATATCATCTACCAATTTGTACAGGCTTCTATACCTAGATGGAGTGGAATACTGTTTCCATTTTGATACGAATTTGTTGAAAGACTCTGTATTGAAAGATTGATGATCTTTTGATTGCATCTTTTGATTATTATTGGGGTCATCCCTTTTCTCATAATTTAAATTGATGTTATACATTAAATTTTTGAGGTTGATAATGTCAACATCTGAATGAAATGTTCGGACGGAGGTTATTTGTTCTGGATGGTACAAATTTCCCATTGTAGCTCTCAAAATAATATCATTTTCTGTATGAATGTTCTTTCTCTGATACTTCCTTAGCAACAATTTTAAGTATTCATTTTGAATAAAGTACGTGCTAATAAAGTATTCCCAAAAGTCCTTGCTATTGAACATATCATTCATGGAAGTGAAAGAGCTTTCGTCGTGTAAATGTGTTTGTGCATAATATGCATTAAGAGCCTGTTGAAGTAGAAGAACATTGTTCTGATCCCGCAACACGTAATCAGTAAGATATTTGAAAAACTGTTTTCTATATCGAGTGGGAATATTATCAAATTTGAAAGCATCGCTACGAGTGGAGGGTTTAGTTTCAGATTTTTGCACTCGAGACATTTTCTCAAGATCAGATCTAAATATGGTTAAATTTTTCTGCAACAAGAACAACATACTTTTCGTGAAGTAATCTTCTCATTCGGTTAATATATACTTTAAATTTTTCAATCTCATTTGATAATATTTTCATTAGGATCGGGTGTTGTCGTATATCATTTCTAATAGTGGTCTCTTTGTCCAACTTGAAAGCAGTATTGTGTTGTGTATTAATAATATTGTTATTGAGTTGCTGATTAAGAATAGATTGAAGGCTTCTATACGTCTTTTGAGCCTTGGATAGGTTTGATTTGATTATTTTGATTTCTTTACGAGCAACTTTAGAATTTGTTTTATCCTCTTTGTTTGTATTGTATTCTGAAAGCATGGCCGATATTTCATCAATTCCTCCCATTTTCAAATATTCTCTAAATGCGCTTTCATAATATTCTTTCATATCATCTTGATGATCGACCTGGATAGACTCTTCCGATGATGGATGGTCTTGGTTTGGCAAGGTAAACATAGCCTTCTCTATCGTTGTGTTGTCTTGAAACATGTCATTTTCTTTAAAGCCAATTCGGTCTTTTAATCGATTGATGGCTTGTATGGCTCGACTTTCATCATTCAAAAGTTCGGATTTAATAAATTCGTAAAAATTATTAGAGATGCCATCCTGTGTTTCAGATGGATGTTTTTCATTCAAATTGGTGTTGTTGATCATTGAGAATTTCTTTGTGTGGACATGATTTAAAGTAGGATGATGTGATGTGAACATTGATGATGCCTCGGAATGAGTCGTTCACGCATTTTTTTCCCTCCTTTTCCATTTACAAAAATTTGTGATTTTAAAATAGAAGAAAAAATGTTACAGCCAACACCAACGACAACTCCATCGGCTTCTCCAGCTCCATCTTCCATTGAGGAGAAGGATGCTAAACCATCATCCAGTGCAGCAGGACTTCCTCCTTCCAACAACATAAAAGTGGCATTTACAGAGAAACAACTAGAAGAATATAAGGAGGCTTTTGATATGTTCGTTAATCAAGATATTGCAAAACAAGAACAAGAAGATTCTAAATTTAGGAGTTTCAAACGAGTGGATTCTTTCATGGAGAGGAAACCATCATCAAGTTTTATATTAAAACAAGCAGAAACGAAAACAGAGTCACGACAAACAGATAATGACAACGAATTCGATGAATATGGAGATTTAGTTTCGAGTGACAGTGATCAGGAGGAAGAAGAAGAAAACGAGCCAAGTATTAACTTGGCAAAATTAGGAAGTATCATGAGAAGCTTATTTCAAAATCCAACAGAAACTGAATTGAAAGATATGATTAAGGAGGTGGATGCGGACGGTAACGGAGAGATTGAATTTGATGTAAGTGCAGTTATTGTAAGAAATCATCTCAATTGTGACCTTGTTCAAACGATTTAGGAATTTCTCTTGCTCATGGCTAGCAAAGCCAATGAACTTGATTCGTTTGAAGAAATGAAAGAAGCATTCAACTTGTTTGACAAAGATAAGGATGGTATCATTACTGTGGGTGAGGTGCAAAAAGTGTTTGCTCACATTGGTTGTGATTTGACTCTGGATGAGTGTGATTTGATGATCAAAGAGGTCGATCAGACAGGAAAAGGAATTGGTATTGAATTTGAAGATTTTGTTAAATTAATGAAGATGAGTAAGGAAGAACTGAACGAATCTGTGAAGCACATTATTGAATATGACAACTGTCTTGAAGATTTACGAGAATTGCAAAAGGTAATTCATGAAGCTAACAGTGACGAGCAAAAACTCATCAATCAGGAGATTCTTCAACTGCAAGATGAGCTCATTCTCAAAAAGCAGTTGAGAGACAAACAAGTGTACAAGGGCAAACATACAAGAAAGATGTTAGCAAGTTGTTTGTATTAAAGAAATTTACTCTTCGTGTCTTTGAATAGTCTCCATGCTTTTTTCACTTGTTTGAATGATTCTTTGAATTCTGTTTTAAAATCTTTACGATCCATTGGCACATATTGTCTTGGTTGACAGAAAGTCTTATTTTCGTCATCCAATTCCCAGAATGCCTTATAACCACCTTCCAACACATAAATGTTAGGGAATGATAGTTTTGGATAATCATGTAAGTGACGAGCTCTGTCGTACTCACGCATTAATTTGTACATTTTTGGTGCTCTACATTGAGAATACTCACAATGGAATACAATAATTTGTCTTGTCGTATCAATAGTTGCATCTTGATTCGATTCAAAGTATTTTTCAATTAACTCTTGTGGTGTTGAAATATTAATGGCACCTCTAATATGTCCACCATTGTATTCATAAGAGAATCGACAATCAATAATGGTTACAGAGAGAGATGGATTATTCATAGCCTTCAGTAGAGTTTTTGAATCAATGCATTGACAAATTCCAATCTTTGGATGAGGAATAATCTCCAATAATAATTCATCCTGAGGATGAGCAGTCAATGGTGATGATAAGGAAGGAGAGGAAGGATCCAACTCACAAGTGCTGTTGCATATATTGGTACCACTTGTGCTATACCATGCATTGTAATCATGGATTGGTCCAGTTGTGGTACTTGGAGTAGTATTGGCAGCATTGATCGAGTGAGCAAATGGTGGTTGATGAATGTTGTTGAGAATGACATCATCTCCAAATCCAGCCATCAATCGTCTCGAAGATTCTGAAAAGGAGGCAAGTCTTGCAGAGTCATTCTCAGAAGCTTCCATACCAAATACATCATCATTTGAATTCATCAAGAGAGGAGAAATGAGTGGTAAATCATTCTCTTCTTCTTCTTCTTCAAAAGAACTCGAAGAAGGTAATACAAGATTAGGCTTTGCGAAGCTCGTCTTCTTTCGAGTGGAAATTTCCTTCTTGGATTTTGTTGAAAGACAACTCTTTGGTGAATGAATTGAACATTGATGAACCAAAGGTGAAAGTAAGGTATGTTGGTATGTTTGTTCAGACAACACAGATGGAGTCTGTTTCTTCTTGTCAATGACTAAGGAAGGTGTAATGGCATCATCATCTTCCCAACATTCATTATTCATCTCAGTAGTGCTTGAGAAGGACACACTTAAATTCTTATTGGAATCGAAGGCATTGAAACCACCACCACCACTACGACTACCATCAGCACTGGTGCATTCATCAAACTTTAAATTTCTACAAACGGAATTGGAGCCAAATGCCTTAAATGTGCGCGCGGTGGACATTGTTCCAAACATGTTCGGAGAGGACAGTAAAAGCGAACGACCATGTGGGGTGGGAATTTTTCTGCTCACACTCGTTTCTTGACCATCAATCTCCTCTTCTTCATTCTTGGTACTCAAACAAGAAGGTGGAGTAAGAATCAATCGTCTCTCAATGCTAGTCGTCATGGTCGTAGTAGTAGTGGTGCTACAAGTAGTATTTGGAAGAGCCTTATTATTTGGAGTCGAGGAGGAGGAGGAGGAACAACTTCTTCTACCTGCTGCTGAAAGAGAGGACATCCTTTCAGAGCATGAGGAATGAGTGTTCAAGTAAGGTGTCGAATGGTCATCATCATTCTCATCATCATCATCACCAAACAGTAATGAAGATGGACTATGAGTGAGGGCACAAGTTTGAGTGAGGGCACAAGTTTGGCCAAAATCCAACACTCGAGTGGGAGTTGTGTTGTGAGCACTCTGGAGAGGTGCTGTTGAGGTAGAGGTATTCGTTTCTAGAAAGGCACAAGAGGTTGGTGAGAGGGGTGGTCTTGGGGATGATGCATCATCGATCTTGTTCTTGCTGTTTTTCGAACAAGTAGGGGAGCTTGCTGAGGAGGGTGATGGAAGAGAGGAACCTTGTACTCTTTCATCCTTTTGGAATTTTTCATCAAGTTCCGAACAAGTCTTGTTGTTGTGGCGATGGATAGTGATGGACATCCATGATGATGATGATTCACCGTTATCAGTCGTAGTACTAGTATTACCATTGTTACTCTCCTTCTCAGAACGGAGAATGCTTTTGGGTGGAGAATTCAACAAGAGTGGAGGGAATGAACCTCCTCTCATCGTCTCTGTGCATGATAATGTATGACTTCGGGAGTGATGATTGCAATGATGAGATACTTTGACCTTCTTCTCTAAAGGAGAATATGAACTAGGTGTTGTTTGGAAAGCAATTACAGAGAGGGTTGAAGAATTCTTGGTTGGAAATATATTTTCCTTGTTCTCGGACAAGTAAGCCGATGTTGTTGGACTCAATGTATTTCTCTTCTGAAAGAATTTGGTGCAGAGTAAAGGCTTGGATCCATCAGAAACTTGTCGACGATCATGAACAGATTTACTGAGAGATGAAGACGACGAGGAGAATATTTCATCTGAATATTCTGATGATGATGATGTTGTTATTGTTCGATGAGTAGATTCATTTCGAACAAGAGGTATCCTTTGTTTTATTGAATGAGTATGCGATGATGAAAAGATAACATCATCCTCGTTATCATTGGATGGAGCAGAAAGATTTCCATCGTGGTGGCGTTGCCTCTTCATGTATTGTGTTGGTTTTTTGTTTTTGAGAGTGATAAGAACAACTTGAGAAACATTGGCGATGTGTGAAAAATCACTTCCCGCCAACAAGAATATTTAAAAATCTAACCGTTAACTGTTACCAATTTTAAATAAAGGCGCGTAATTAAGGGGAGGGCCTTAATATTAATTGGTCGAAACTTTCAAATGTCCCCGAAGAGAGTGACTGTTTGTAATTCTCAGATGCCAGAATTGGAGATCATTTTGGCTGTCCATCCTACCATGGCAAATTCTGAAGAGCATGACATTAAATAATTGGTGTTGCCTACCAGTTAAAAGACTGCTTTTGCCTGATCTCAAACCCAAAAATTTTCACGTTTTTATCAAACATAAAATACATCTATTGCTCAGGCAATGTCATGCCAACTCATTTAGCATCTTTTGCTTGTTCTCAATCGATTGAGCAATTGTTTTTTGCAAATTGGCTGATATCTCCTCTGCTTTCTGCTGGATCTCATCTTTCTGGGCTTGTATTGTTTTGGAAATTTCTTCATACTCTGAACTTGTAATGGTCATGTACTCGGAGCTTGGTGTGCTTGGTCGAATGAATGGAGTGTCGTCATGAGCTTTGAGTTTCTCCTGTGTGAGAAGCATTTCTTGTTGGTATTTCTCAATTTCTGGAGTTTCAACCTTCATGTGAGTGTTTTGTGGCAAATTGTGTCTTCGAGGTTCGTTGGAGCTTAAAGTTGTTGCAAGTAACTGCCAGTCTTCGGTATATTTGTAAAAATCTAAATCATCGCACCATTGGAGTAAATCATCCATTTCATCATCGACGTGTGCCACATCTCCAAACAACTCAATCTCTTCAAGTTCTGCAAGTAAGTCCTTTTCTTTCATGGTCAACGCAAGTATTCGCAAGTCTGATTGAGCGCTTCGTACATTGCTGTCCTCTGATATTGGAGTATCATCATCGAAAGCAGTGAATTCATCGTTTGGAGCGCTGTTCATAGTGGCCTGTGTTTTGATCATGTCCACCTTTTTCAGTTTAATGAGCCATTCCAATCTCTTTTTCCGCTTCTTTTTTAAAAGATTTTCTTTTCGTTTTGAAGGCATAAAGTGATAGGGTAAAAGTTTGTCAATGGCTTCTTGTTCACTTTTTACCGCTTGCAGAACCTTATAAGTTGTGCTTGGAAAAAGGCTGAACCGATTTTTCGTTTGACGAACTTCTTTTTTCACTCTGTCCAACAGGAAATTGGAACAAACATGAAACTGTTGGTCCAATAATATTTCTTCATGAACCAAAAGAGAGGTGGCGACAGGTCGCCATGAATTACGCTCCTCTCTTTGATACCAATCCTCAAAATCCCATTGCTTTGTAAGTAAATCTCTGTGATTTCCAAAATATACAGGTTGAATGGATATATTATTTACATCTCTACTGGCATAATTTCTGGGTGCAAATGCGTTAATATCAATCACAGGTTGTTTCATGAAAATTTTGTAATAAATTACAGGTGGAAATTGTGAACCTCCTAAACGAAATCGAATAAAAGCACCAATGGCAGGATCCAAAAGAGGAGCTTCTGATGGATTGATGGCTTTTAAAATATCATAAGGATGAGACCTTTCCTTAAACACGATTAATTGCTTGTAGAATTGAAATATTTGCTTATTGATACAATTTCTCCACCATTTTTGAATAATAAAAGCAGCATGACTTTTTCTGTCATAGAAATACATTTTGTACTTTCTAAAAAACACTTGTGTACTTCCAGTTTTCTCGAATAGTCTTCTTCTGTAGAGTCGATATCTCGATTGAATGACAGTGGCAGCAATGTGTGTTAATCTATTTCGTAATGCTTCATTATTACTATATTTCCACACCGCAATGATTTGATGAAACTTTGCTTGAAGAATTGGAATGTAAGTGGACATAAAATTTCTTAGATTGTCTTCGTTTTTTCGAGAGTTTGATGATATAAGAGCTTTTGTTGCATTTTCGAAGGCCTTATCGTATTCTCTTCGCTGCTCTTCTAATTCTAACTTTTTAGCAAGTCTCAATTCATGAATCCTTTTTGAATAAAATCCTCTTCTACTCAAAAAACCTTTCACGACTCGTTGGATCTCTACGGCAGCGCTGATGAATGCCATCAGTGGATGAAATTCAATATTTCTAATAAAATATTTTCGTTTGCTTTTGCTTGACCTTAGATTATATTTGAGGAAGACATTTTTGGGTTTTTTAGGCCTCTTTTGTTTTGCTTCAATGATAGAAGCGGAGATATTGATTGGTGATTTTTGTGGTGATGAAGGATTTTTCATGGGCTTGGAGAGAGTTGTAGTGTTATGGTTGTTTTGAGAAGATCCTGTCAATTCATTTCCGATCGTGTTGGATAAAGATGGAATGTTTGAACTCGACGATGAAACGAAGGAAGAAATAAGACCTTGGTTATTTGATGGATTTTCATTTTCTGAATTCGGGATTGGTGGTCGAGTTTGAGTTGGTGATAGAGAATCCATTGCTGCTCTTCCAGCAAGGGTGTTATAATTTACAACTAATCCTGTTGGCTCGGAGGTTGTAACTTCCATGGAGTCATTCAAACGAGAACAACAATAAATAATATTCGATTTTTTGTACAAATGAAATGGCAAACAAAAAGAGGAGCTCGCTCCGAAGAGAGTTGTAAATTATTTTTTGAGGCGCCATTTCGTGCAGGTGTCAAAACCTATCGAAAGTGGTATTCAAGTGCTGAACATATTTCATGCCCATGTTCGATAGTCGATGCATGTCTTATTCACAACTATCAAGATGTTTACGTGAAATGTGTCACACATCGAAGAATAGTTAATCCTTTTTATCGACCAACCGATCGCAACGCGGAATATCCTCACCACCTGTTGGGCATCACTGTTGGACGCTGTATTAAACATGTTGAGTTTATTGATAGAGAGATGTGACAGTAATTCTTCAGGATGATGATCCCGAGCGGATAAAGTGCTTGGATGACATGAAAACAACAACCTTAATATATCGAATTTATATTCTATACCTCCCAAACAAATAGGGAACAAAGTAAAGTCTGTCCAAGTCATCCGATGTTGTCCATTAGCTTAATCGTTGATTAAAAGAAAAATTTGAAAAGTTTAAATCAGTGACAGCAATATCGTGAATGGGGTTATATTTTGTCATTTCCACTAATATAAAAAGTAAGTTTGAACTCTTTAGACACTGATTTTCCATTCTCCACCAAACAAATCCTAAGTAAACAAATCCCGCAACAAGGAGCCGAAAATTGTTTTGAAATGTTGAGGAGCCAAAAAAAACCAAAGACAATCAAACCACCAACATTGACCCATGCAATGATTGCTACAGAAACAACGGTAAAAAGAAGGTATTCGAAAAAGCATGAGAAGCCAGTTCAAGACGAGCATTCATGGGCAAGGTTAAATTGAAGTTTTGAACGAACTGTGTGAACGTATTGACTGACCAAAAGAACTGACTTGGAATAGAGAGAAGTAAGCACCAGATCATCGCGACACAGCAAACGGAAACAGAAAAAGCTCTTTTATATCGAGAGAAAATACGATTATTTTCTAAACAGATAGAGAGGAAATGCAACTGCAATATCGCCGAAGATGAAATGTATGTCCTTTTAGTCCAGAATTGATACTGTCTCAATTATTGAAGAAACATCTTTACCGTGAAAATGTTTTCCAAGTATCCATCTCACAAGTGGAGAAAGGTCCACAATTACAATAGGAAGTCAAACAAGGTCTAAATAACTAAGGATGAAATTGTGAATGAGGTGTCCAGACTGTTGAGCGAAGATTCTTTTTGAAAACAAGAGAAGCTTTTTTGTCTTCACGATAAAAAATCTTAAAAGCAAAAAAAATATTTTCTCGAGGCGAATAATTCCTCTCCGCTGATATTTCATCACGAAAAGGTTTCAATTTTGTGTGAGAGTCGTGTGTGAATATCAGCCACATCATCATTATCATCATTGTCGTTTTATTATTTGCTCTTTCAAAGATCTTCAATTCTCTGCTCTTTTATCATTCCGTACGTGTGTGTTGCGAGTAACAACGTTCCCAATCTCTCTCACCCAAATTGTTTCTTCTTGATAACAGACTTGATTCAAATGTCCTCAACCATAAACTTTCTCTCCGAAACCAATCATTGTGGGCAAACACTGCTTCAACTTGTTGCTCACGGTAACGCCATCATTGCAGAGCTATTGAGATTGAGTCATTACATTCCACCCGTGTTTTTCCTCGATGATAAGAAATATCAATATATTATATTTGATTTTAAATATTTAAAAAATCAAGATGCTTATGATAATAGAATTACATCGAGCTCCGATTTACTTGACTTGGATGAAAGTTTTAAAGAGAGTCATATGCCTATATTAGAAAGATTTTACACTCTATTCAAGGCAATTTACAATTACTATAAGGATTTTATTAAATTTATGAACGATCTTGATCAAGGCTATTATATTCAACAAACGTTGGAATCTATTTTGGTGAATCAAGATGGCAAACAATTGTTAGCTGAATCTCTGTATTTATACGGAGTCATGCTCATGTTACTTGATTTGAAAATTCCAGGTATTGTGAGAGAACGAATGCTCATGTCTTATTTCAGATATAAGGGTGCGGGTGAAATTCCGAATATTGATGATGTTTGCAAATTGTGTCGAAGCACAGGCTTTGATTCGACCTATTATTTACATCGGGAATATTTTTATCAACATGGCGGAGGCGTAGGTTCGAATTCCGGTGCATTTTTTGATTATTCTTCTGAGAGTGGTAGCAGCAGTGGAATGCCTACTTCGTCCTCAACATCACCCAACTCTCCAAATGTTGTTGGTGGGTCCAACATGCAATTACATGGTGCCCCACCTTCATTTCCTGAAGCATATCCAACCGATTATTTCAATAGATTTCCACTTCCTGATCAAGTCGTAAGCATGATCATTGGTCGACTACGTTCCGATGACATTTATTTACAAACCTCTTATTATCCACTTCCAGAACATCGAAGTGTTGCTCTCTCTACACAAGCAGCCATGCTCTATATCATTTTATACTTTAAGCCCAACATGTTGAATAATGAAATGGCCATTATGAGAGAGATTGTGGATAAACACTTTCCTGATAATTGGGTCATTTCGTATTATATGGGATTCACTGTAGATTTAACAGTGGTTTGGAAAGATTTTAAGGCGGCAAATTTGGCGATTCAAAATATTGTCACTTTGAATCATGTGAAGAATTTAACCGAGTCCTTCCACAACATCTCTCTTCCAAAATTAATTGATCAATTGAATCAATACCTTGTGGAGGGTGTTCTTGTTGAAGAATATGTTCTCGACAATATTAACAAATTAGTTGCATGTTTGAGAGATTGTAATGTTACTCTCCGATGGTTATTGCTACATCGTACTTCACAAAATAAGAAGGTGAATGAGTTGATCAGTTCCATGACCAATCCAGAAGAAATTCTACTTCTTTTATTGAATACTGCTCAATTTGAATTTTTATTGAAACAAATGTTTCAAGAAATGTTAGACTCTAAAGAAGCCAAATGGACCCAATGCAAAGATCAAGCTCAAAATCGAATGATTGAACTCTCTCAATATTTTTCAGGTGAAAAAGCACTCACACCCATCAAAGATGAACAATTACAAAAATGGTTCTCCGACATGAGTAGCCGAATTAGTGAATTGGATTATCATGATTCCACACTGGCTGGACGAAGAATTCAACAAGTCATTTCTGCATTGGAAGATGTTGAACAATTTCATCAAATTGAACAATCTCTTCAAGTGAAACAATATCTCTCTGATACTCGATTGCTATTGAAAAAGATGATTCGTTATGTGAATATTCGAGAAAGTGTATTGGTTGGTATTGCCATTGTGAGTGATATTTCCTATGCTTGGGAAATTGTTGGAGATTATGTCAAATCCATGCAAAGAAGAATCAAAAAGGATCCATCTTTGATCATCAAGATGAGATCTACCTTTTTAAAATTGAGTACCATGCTTGAACTACCTCTTGTGAGAATTTCTCAAGCAAAATCTCAAGACATTGTGAGTGTTTCACAATATTATAGTGGTGAATTGGTGAAATTTGTGAGACATACTTTGGAAATTATTCCAATGAGTATGTTCAGTATTTTGAACAAGATTATTGATGTTCAGACGAATCGATTGGAAGAATTACCAACCAAATTACCAAGAAGTGAATTGAAGAGATTTTCACAACTCGATGAAAGATATGATTTATCTCGTGCCACTTATGAAGTGAGTAAATACACAGAAGGAATATTAGCCATGGAGAGAACATTGATGGGTATTGTTGAAATTGATCCAAAACAATTACTTGAAGATGGTATTCGAAAGGAATTGGTTCGACAAATTGCATTGGCTCTTCATTCGAATTTAATTTTCACTTCTTCACAATATGGTTTTGATTTGTTGAGACTTTCACCACAACAACATCAGGATGAGAGTGGTGGTGCTAGTGGTAGTAGTATCACTAGTGGAGGTGGAAATGTCTCTCAGAGAGGTGGTGGTGGGGCTAATAATAGCAATTATCGTATTGATCAACTCATTGATCAACTGGTTTCCAATTCTTCACTCAACAACAAAAAGATGGAATCTGTATTATTGATTGAATCTGCTAAACAATTTGAAGAGAAACTTACCAAATTATATTCTCAATTGGATGGTATGCTAAGATCTTTTGAATACATTCAAGACTATGTACATGTCTATGGTTTGAAATTATGGCAAGAGGAATTCTCTCGTATCATCATGTACAATGTGGAACAAGAATGTAACACTTATTTGAAGAGAAAAGTATTTGATTTCCAATCTCTCTATCAATCAGAAGTTATTCCAATTCCAAGATTTAGACCAACTCTCTCTCAACAAATGAGTGACAAACAATCCATTACGATTTTAAATTTTATGGGAAGATTAATGGTTGAAATGTTAGTTCATACAGATACTCGTAGAACAGTCTATATTGAACAACTCTCAGGATGGTATGATTACGATAGTTGTGTTGTTCCAGAAACGAAACAACAATCGGATCAATCAGTGAAACAAGAAATTATTGGTTTGACTTGTTTCTCATTGTTACAACAAACCATTTCAAGTTATGGACTCGTTGGATTGGATTTGTTGTTGAGTTATCGAATTGTTACTTTATTGAATCAATATGTGAAACAATATTTGAGACATTTGAATGATCATGTGAAAAAACATATCAAATTATTTGAAGATTATTTAACACCACCCAATACATTGCCTGAAGGATTATGTAAAACCTATGAACAGATTTTGGGTGCTCTTCCAAATACTTTCTTCACACATGTATTCTTGTATTATGTCATGCAAGTAGGAACATGTCAGTTATTGAGAAAACACATTGCATCTCAATTATTATTTACATGTAAATTGAATGCCATGCCATTATATAACACTCTGACCAATCTCAATCAAGGAATTTTGAAGGATGTTGAAAGATATTTTGATATTCACTATAAGAATCAATTGAATCAAAAGTTATCAACACCTTCTTTGAAAGCTTCTCCAAAGACCTCAATATTACCTCTCGCTCAAACAGGATCAGCTGCTTCATCTAGTACGACAAATCCTCCTCAACATGGCATTCATCTTTCAATTGCTAGTACCAAACAATTACCAAATTCAATGATTGGATATCCAAGTGAAAATAATCCCATCTTTTCTGAACTCACTCAATATCTTCAGACAAGTGGTATGCATCAACCTTTTGAAAAGGTTTATATTACTCCTCAATACAATACTTCGAGTACCATGACCACAAGTTCAGGAGTATCAAGCACTTACAACAATATTCAGCATGTGGCAGTAACCATGTTTTTATTTGTGTTGTACTGTATTGAAAGATTTACATACATTTCTAGCATTGATTGTTTAGTGAGTAAGAAGAAGGGTGATATTTTGGATGGCACACCTTTTATTATTGGAATTTACACCATTTTAAGACAATTCCATTCAAGTGAGACTCATTTGTTTTTGGCATACATTGGTCAATATATTAGAGCGAACACAGACCAAATCAATATTGAAAAGAAGGGAGCATCTATTCCTGATAATGTTATTTTCATGTTGAGATTTGTCCAAAGATTTTGTAAATACGGAAATATTAGCCAGAAAGTGTTGGATTGTCATGTTCCAGCCTTTTTATTCACCAAGCTTGTTGATTAATGGAGTGTGTGGACTATTTGTTGCAATAAAAGATCTTTGTTCTTTTGCCTCAAAGAATGAATTGGAACATTTTTTATCTACCTCAAAGAAGAATTTCATTTTGACAAAGAGTTATGTGAATTCGTTTTGTACTTAGATCATATCTGGAAGTATCTCATCATCAAGAATAAAATCGTCATCAAGTAAGGGCGCTTCTTGACGGGTGTGAGATTCCGTTTTGATCTTCTTTGTTTCAGGTTCTAATTGATTTTCCTGATTCGTACGGGATGATTCTGGAGCACTGCTGCTTAGGGAGTGGATGGTCGTGCGAGGTGAAGTTAAGTTCGTTATCTTATTGGGAGTGGTGTGTGTTCTGATGGGAGGTGTAACCACCAGTGGCACTTGTTGTTTGGTTTGTTGTGAGGAAGTGCTTGTTCTCATGTTGTTGACTTGAAGAGACATTGGTGCCTTGCTGGGTGTCGAGTGAGAGTAGGACGCACCAGTTGTTGTTGTTACTTCTCTCTTGAATGAATACTTTTCAAACAGTTGTGCCAAGTTTGAGGAAGCACTGGGTGATGATTTTGTAGAGCTATTTCCAACTGGACTTGGTATGGAAGGAATGGAAGAGGTTGTTGTTGTTGAATGTGCAACAACACATTGTGGAAGAGGAGGAGGTGGTGGTGTGAATGTTTTAGAGTTTGGTGTGGTTGTTGTTGTTGTGGGAGGACTATTCATTAACAAACGAGGTGATGGCCGACTCTGAGGAGGAGTTGTTGTTGAGAGGTGATTGGTATTTGATGTTTCTCTTTTCGAAAATGTGGTCATCATCAACATGGATGGATCAGAAGTAGTAGTAGTACTACAACTACTAGTAGTAGTAGAAATAGAGGTTGTTCTCTTGAAAGCATTTGTGAATTTCGAGAGAGATGAGTCATTCAGAATGTGTGATGGTGTCGATGATGGTGTGGATTTGTGGTTCTTGCATACATTCTCTTCTGTTTTTTGGATCATCTTATCAGGATTGACTAAATCATCATGACTTTCCTCATCACTTGGTTGAGTGACCACATGTTGAGAGCTTGTTGGATTCTTAAAGAATGGACTTGTTTTCATGATTGGTGATTGTTTCTTGGTTGGAGTTTGTGGTAATAAGGAAGAACGGTGTTGTGTGAATGTTGTTGTTGTTGTTGTTGTTGTTGTTGTTGTTTGAGAAGACACTTCCTCCTCTGTCGAATCACTCGACAAGAGAGATCGATTTCGTTTTTTCAACAACATGATGGATTTCTTTTCGAGAGACAAGTCATCCTTCTCCTCTTCTTCTTCTTTCTCATCATCATCTCGAAAGGAACGATTAAACGTTTTACAAGTTTTGGTCTCAACTGAGCTCAGTGAGGAGAGTGTTTTGAGAAGAGCTGTTTTTCCATCTTCACGTGAATGGTGTTCTTCTGTTAATTCCTCTAACTTCATGGCATCTCGAACATTGGGAGGTAACGATTCACCATTCTTTGGAAGATGCATCAATTGTCGAAGAATGTCAAGACCACATTTGCGTTCCTTGTTGTTGATTGTCATCATGTCCATACACATACTCGTATTATTGTTATTATTATTACTACTACTAGCAATATTACTACTACTACTACTACTACTATTACTGCTGCTACTACTACTATTCGTCGTAGGGTTATTATTACTACTCCTAGTAGTACGACGAATAGCAATATTACTACTACTACTACTACTACTACTACTCGTGAGATCATTATTCATGGTGGTGTTCTTGTTGTTGGTTTCATTGTGGATCGTAGGATTAAGGTTTTTACGAGTCGTTCGTATAAGACCCTCTTTTTGAAGAGAATTGTTTTTTGAAGAGTTATTCTTGTGGTGGTGGTACGAGTGGTGGTGGTGGTGGTGGTCAATGAATTCCAAGTCGCCCTTCTCTTCATCCATTGATGTGGTTAATGGATCCTTCTCTTCATCATCCTCTTCATTGTCATCACGAATCATGACTTTTGACCTTCGAGATGACTTGGATTTTCCTTCTTCTTCAAAATGTTCATACATTTCTGCCAAGTGTTCTTCTTCTTCATACATGTTGTCCTCTTCGTCATTCTCTTCATCATCATTCTCTTCATCCATCATGATTGAATCATTACGAGTACAACATCGTGGTAGTGTTCTTCTTCTTTCAAATTCCACTTGTTGTACATTTTCATCGACATGTGATTCTCCATCCACGGACTTTCCAACCACATCTAACTTTCTTTGAAGCATGGGCCACATGTATTCATCAAAAGTACCCTTTCCTAATAAATACTTGATATGAACAGAATCTTTTTGACCAATACGATGCACACGATCTTCTGCTTGTCTCAAATCACTTGGAGTCCAATATAATTCTGCAAATAAAACAGTACTGCATGGAGTCATGGTATAACCAACACCAGCAGCTTTAATCGAGAGAATGGCCACCCGACAATGTCCATTTTGTTTGAAATTGGTGACTAGAGATTGTCTTCGATTGGAATCTGTAGAACCATCAATTCGAATGTAATAATCACCTGAATGTGTGTGTGTGTACATGTGTGTGTGTGTACATGTGTGTGTGTGTACATGTGTGTGTGTGTACATGTGTGTGTGTGTACATGTGTGTGTGTGTACATGTGTGTGTGTACATGTGTACAATCATATCAATTTGTGAAGGTCATAAAGATGGGTGTTTTTAGATTCAAATTTCATGAATCATCATCATCATCATTGAATAAGATCACCATTTCGAAATCATCATCATTGAATATTGTACAATCAATATGAATCATCATCATTGATTCATTGAATATAAATCATAGGAATGATTGAATACAATCCCATTATCATCGACGACATTTCTTCTCAACTTACCTCTCATCTTCTTTTCAAGTTCTGATTCTTTAAATTTCAATTGATAAAACTTGGCAAGTTCCTTTGCCACACATTCTTCAACACCATCCAATACTTCAGTATGATAAGCAAATACAAGAAATTTCAAATCTCCAGTATTTTCAATCATATCTGCAATATATTCCTTAACAGCTGGTAATTTAGCAACTCCAGTCATGTTATACATTCGAAATATTTCAGAATTCTTATCAAAATTATGTTGAAAATGATCTTGTTTGGTCATGGCATGTTTCATCTTTTCAATGGCATTCTTCATCTTTTCAGCTGAGTATTTAATTCGTTTCAAGTCATTGGGTGAAATGGTTAATAGAACTTGTTGTCTTTGTTTTGGTGGTAATTCAGAGAGAACGGTTTCTTTTCTTCTTCGAATCATGACCGTTCGACTCAATAAATAATTTAATTCCATCACATTGGAACTTCCATTATCATCGACATAATGAAGAGTTTCTTTGGCATCACAATATCGAGTGGTGAAGGCTGTTTTTGTAAATCTAAATTCTCGATCCAATAAGAGAGAGAGTTGAGGAAAGAGTTCTTTTGGTCGACTCAATGCAGGTGTACCAGTGATCATGACAAGACGTTCGACTTTCTGTAAAAAAGGAACTATTTTTTGACTTCTTTTGGTGCTGGTGTTTTTAAGAGAATGACTTTCATCACAAATCACACATTTGAATTTCACTCCATTCAAAATGGCACCATCTGCATGTTCATCTTGTGGATTCTCTGCTAACATATTGGTAGCTATTGTATAGGAAATAATATTAATATATCCATCTGGTATTTGTTTTCCATTTTCAATAATTTTGATATTTTCAGTTGTAATATCTGAATGACCCTTTTCACCTGTAATAAACCAATCTTCAATTTCTTTTCCCCAATTGTGTTTCAATGATGAAGGACAAATGATTAAAAGTGGCCAATCTTGTTTAAAGTAATACATGGTTGAGAATCCTTGCAGAGTCTTTCCTACTCCCATTTCATCACCAAAGAGTACTTTACCATCTCGTTTCACTGCAAATGCAATTCCTTGTTTTTGAAATGGTCTTAATTTTGAATAGACATATTTTGGAAACTTGTCTTTAAAATTTAATTCTTCACAAAGTGCATCGACATTGGATAAATCAATGGCTGGATAATGATTCAAAATTATTTTTGTACCTTCAGGAAAATCAGAAATAATTATATGAGCACCTTCTACTCGAGTTTCTAACAAGAATTTCTTTAGAGTTGCATGTTCAGTGAGTGGAATGATAAATTCCAAATCATTAAATTTTGTAATTTTCTTATCAAACAAGTCATTGAGAGATTTTATCAATTTGTTGGTAATTGTTCCTATTCTAGGAAAGGTCAATAAAATGCAATCGTAATTGTCTTTTTGAATAGAAAGTGTTTCATGTCGATCTTTGAGTTGTTTGTTTGCTTGTTGTAAAATATTACTTCCAACGAGTTGAAAATTGATCAAATAGGGAGGACCTAACTTGATGTTAGATTCTATCATTGTTGAAGTAAAAGCACCACCACCACCACCACCACCACCTCTCCACGATGATGATGGATTGTCCAAATATAAAGCTGGTTTTGTTCCTTCACGGCACCATTCAAAATGACAATTTTGTGCTGCTGTACATGTCCAAAACAATCGACCTTTGGTTGGTCCTTCCTTGACCACTCTTCTTTGTATGCATGCAATTTGATGTTTGGGACATAACGGAGCACTGATGACATCGTCACCAACAATTTGGACGTCGTTGGATGAATTGGATGAAGAGTTTGAAGGATTTTTGGTTGAAAGACGATCGGAAGTCGTAGTAATAGTGAAGGCTTTGCTTGTTTGAAAGGTATTAGAGTTTGAAGAATGATTCATTGATGAAGAGGATCGAAGTGAAAAGGAAGAGTTGTTGTTGTTGTTAGGATTCCACATGAAGAATTTACATCGTTGTGGATCCTTGAAATCTCGAGCACAACTCCAATATTCTTTTCCTGCATTGACTCCGTTCTTGGTGGTTCGGAGTTGTGCCAAAGACCCACACGAACAGTAAATAAATTCACCCTTCGAAGAAGAATCCGATGATATCATTGTTATATATATTGTTCGTTTGGATATAATTAAAAGATTGTGATTCTTTAAAAATGAATGTCTGAATGTGGAAGGGCAATAAAAACGAGGGTCAACAAAAAGTCAGTGATGAATATTTTTTTTGTCTAATTTTTTCCATCAAGTGTTGGAAATGTGCTAAACAACAGATGGTTGTGAACATTTAGGATCTTTTTGACGATGTCAATATAAAACACACGTGATGTATACCTGCCCACCTTCATCAATGATTGATCAGTGGAGGAAGGATATGTCAGTTTCATGATGCAGTTGAGAGAAGGTCAGAATTTACTTTAATTAAAAAAAAATGTCCAATACCACCAAAACCATCCTCATTCTTTATGCTTCTCAATCTGGCACATCGGAATATCTTTCCAGTCAATTGTATGAAAATTTGAAATTGAAATTATCGGATATTGTTCATAATATTCAATGTGATTCTATTGAGAATTTTGAACAATACTTTTTCAATCCACTTCAACAACCAACTTTATATTTATTTGTGATTAGTACTTCCATGGAGGGATCTCCACCTTCATCGATGAGTGATTTTTCTGATTACATTTCCACTCAAAAGGCAATGACTGTATTTTCAAATCCTAATTTTGAATATTCAATTTTCGGAAATGGAAATTCAAATTATGAAGAAACCTATCAACAAGCATCAAGACAATTTAAAGAAGTATTAATATCTAAATTCAATAGAAACCCACTCATTGAATGTAGAGAAGGAGATCAGTCTGAAGGAAATGCAGAATCTGAATTTGAAGAATGGGAATCTTCAATCATTCATTATTTCAAAAGGGATGATTGATTCAATCCATTGAAATAATAAAAATCATGAAGAGAGAGTGATCGATGTGATTGAAACAATTCGAGAGATGATTCTTATATCATCATTCAACCTTTTTTAACATCATTCAACAAATGAAAAAGTGAATATCGACAATTATAACCATTTTCAAAGGATAAGATTCCTTGACATTCATATGTAATGGAGCAGACATCAAGTTGCTTTTATTTTGGGAATGTCAATTTATTTCAAAGTTTGAGTCATGGAGCTCTCACACTCAAAGTGATGATTCAATGATTGGATCCTTGCACTACTACGGTACTACTACTTGGATTGAGTGGGTGCAAAAGTCTCATTCGCCTTCACTGAGTCAACTTTTGGTGTTGGGAGTGGCAATTTGAACGGTACTTGATGCAACATGTATTGAATCATGAATTTGCCTTCATCAATATCTTCATCAGTAATCATGTCACTCACCACTTGTTTCAATAATGAAGAGTTTTCATCCGATTGAGTCATACTACTATTCATGGTGACAATCATACTTTGAAGTAAACATGAACATGCCATCACATAGACTCCACTCATACCCGATTTGAGTAATTTAGATTTCAAATCATCTCCACCACTAACACCACCACTAACACTGGAGAGGAATAATTCTTGAATTTGTAAACTCCACTTTTCATTTCGAGTGACCATGAGAATGACTTGAAGTAATCTCCAATACCATGCGAGTAAGACTTGTTCTTCACTGTCTTGTACCTTGTCGAATAAATAATTTTCAACCAAATCAGAGAACATGGAACTTGTATGATCATACTTGGTCTGACACAAATATTCATATAAAATAAAAGAATACATTTCAATACATTCAGTAGCATCTTCCTCAATAGATTCAATGAGATGTGAAATGAGAGTTTTCAAATTCTTTTCATTCAATTCCTTTTCATTCTTCAATGCATGAATGATTAAATTTTCTGAATAGAATGCACTGGTAATACCATCACGATATTCACCTAATGAAAACCCATAATCATTGAAATGATCCACATTGTAAAGAGTATCTGGATGATCAGATTCTAATTCACTTCTATCTTTGAGAGTAAATAATTCTTGTAATTGAACATCTTCTGAAAAGAGAGATCCTTGATGAATGATCAATTCTTCTAATAATGGATTGTTTGATGGTTGTGAATCATGTTTGATTTCTTTCAATAGTAATTCCTTAAGAGAACAAGATGTTGGTAAAGATTGAATGATAAATGAAAGGTTGGCATCATTCTGTGGTGATTGGAATTGTGTGAATATATTCTTGATTCTATTCTCTACCAAGGTCATTTTCTTTTTTGTAAGAATATTCAAAGACAACAAGGATGCAAGAATATCCATAATAATTTTGGAACGATGAGCATTGAATTTGGATGATTTTTGAGGAAGTTTGAATGAATCTTCAATCTCTTCTTCTTCTTCAGAATCTTCTTCTTCTTCTTCATCATCATTCTCCTCAAATAGTCCTTCTTCATCTTCCAATTCAAAATTCTTGACATTATTTGCTAATAAATATTCCAAATATTGAACAAGTGTTTGTAAAATTCTTGTACTTGTCTGATCTAACAAAAATATATTCTTGATTCTATTCTCTAACAAAAAATTGTCTTGAGAGCAAAGGACCAAGGCTTCGCTCAATACTCTCAAAAAGAGTAAACAATTGGCTTGAATCGTTGGTGATTCACGATTCACTTCTAATAATAGACCATGTCCAATCATTTTCACAAACTTTTTCAAAATGGTATTACTATTATTACTACTTAAAATTCCTTGAATGAATAGCTCAGAAAAACTCACTAAAAATCTCAACACATAACTTGCTGCTTCTCTCTTCTCTTCTTCATCGACAAGACTTGGATTCAATACATTTTCATTCAAAGTAGAACATATTGTGAGAATCTTTTCTGGATTCACATGTCCAATCAATGAAGTTCTCAATGGAAGTGCTGAATATTTAATTTCATCATCACTGTGATAAGAGAGAATCATAATCACACCATAAAGAGATTGAAGTGATGGAATGGAAGAATCAATAGTAGTATTCGTAGTAGTATGATCAACATTGTAATACAAATCAATCACTCTTGCCAATTTCAATGTTGCAATAATAATGACCATTTCTTGATTAGGAGAAGTCAATAACTTTTCAACTAATTGAATGACTTTGAGACACGAGGATGAGAAGGAGTGTTGTTTCAAATAGATTAAAAATGATGAAAGAGCATGAATTGCTGCACATCTAGGATAATCTGAATTGTTTGAACCATTCATTGTATCTGTAGCACCAAAGAGTAAGACTTGAAATATTTTTTGATTCAATTCCATATTTGTACATGGTTCAGTATTTTTAGTTTTCATAAATAAATCTTCAAAGGCTTTGAATACAGATTCTCTCACTTCATAATTTGTGCTTTTAGATTCTTCAATTAATACTGAAATGACATGTACAGTCAATTGAGTAATTAAATCTTCAAGAGAGGTGTTCAAAGTGGTAGTAGTAGCAGTGGTGGTGGTCGTATCCAAAGTAGGAATAATAGTTTTCATAAAGATTTGCACAGCTGCTCGATTCAAACACAACATGGCTCCCGATTTGATCGGATACGAAGCATGGAATGTATTCTTATAGACCAATGATAATAAATCATTTAAAAATGAATGTTGAATCATTTGAATGAGAAGAGATCCATTCGAGATTAATTGAATCACACTATAATTACCAGCATCTAATAAGAGAGGATCATCACTCTTCAACATGAATATAACACTATCCTTAATAAAATTAAAATAGGAAGGAATAATTCCTTCATTAGAATTCAAATGACAATAGGGAGAGAGTATTTGTTCAGCATTGTTGCAATCCATATTGGTGGTATTCATGACGAATATGGTAATAAATAAATTGCAAAGAGTTTTACCAGCTATAGCATTTGGATTTGAAGCTGATTTGTCATGTTTGGATGTCTCCGGAATGCATGTCAATACTTTGAAAAGACATGAATTAATGGATGACACAAGTTGAGAGGAAAGTGTTTTCAAAACATTCACTGATTTTGAAATACTTTCAAATGCAAGACAAACACCATGTTTGAATTGCCATTTCATTGGAGAAGAGCAGTTATTCAATAGAGAAATCAATTCCTCTAAAATACTGGAAATTGTAATAGTACTTGTAGATGCAGTAATTGATACAGCACCAGAGGAGGAAGATGTTTCTTCTTGATTTTCTAAACAACGTTTTGAAAGGTCTTCATATGCGATTAACATGTTCAAGAAATTCAAAAATAACAATCCATTTGCTCTTCTTACATCAATGTCTTGGTCATGGAATCTTTCGAATATTACCTTTTTGAATTGGCTTAATAAGGAAGGAATATTCGCACACATGTCATGAATCACTGGTGATTCCAAGGCTTTGGTTAAACTTCTAACAGCATATCTTCTCACATAGGATGAATAACTTTCAAATTTCTGATCACTCGTGTTCTCGAAAAGTATATTAATGATAAATTCAAAATCATCACGAGAAATCATGGAACAATTCTTTAGGATATATCCCAATGTATTCATCAATCCTTCAACAGCCTTGTAAGGCTCATCAGGTTGTTTCTTTTTTGGGTGTTGTAAAATATCTAAAATAAATTCTCTTGAAAGAAACGACTCGACACCAATGACTTTGGAAAGACCACCCAAAGATTGAGCAGTAGCATCTCTGACTTCTCTTTTGGAGTCGGTAATATTATCAAGTAAATGTTGCAAGACTTGATGATGTTCCGAGCCTTGTTGTTGCTCAGAAGATTTTAATAATTTGAGTAAATCATCCTTTGAAAAAGTAAAGTAAAAGTGGATGAGAGCAAATGAAATGGTTTGCTTGAAGGACCAATCATCAAAATGAGAGAGAATATCTTCAAAAATAGAGAATAATGATGGAGCATGTTGTTGAAGAGTAGTACTAGGATGATTGTACTCTCCCGATTTAATTTCATCAAATACTCTATCTAGAGCATCAATGAGAAGTTGTTTCTTTGCTCTATTGGGTCTGCCAAGTTGAAAAAGTTGCAAGTTAATATTTGAAGGAGAACAATATAAGAGACATTGAATATATAAAAGACATTTTGTTTCAATCAAAATATATCTACTAGTTCTTTGAGCAAATACATACTTGTCGTGTTTCGAAATTTCAATCTTTTCTCTCAAATCATTGAGAAGAGTGGGCCAAACATCAGCTGTGGTGGCACTGCTCATTTTGTTTTCGGAAGTCAAACGCAACACAATTTCTGAACGGAAATTTTATTCGAGAACATTCCTTCTCGGCAAGATTGAATTCTTGTGCTTGGAATTCCACGCACATGCCACGGTTGTCAATTCTTTGAACCAACTGCCACCATGGTGCATTAATGTCTGAGATGGGCATAGGGATCTACGGGATGAGTGAGAATATCTTTGGAAGTAAAATATGGGTCAGCAGCATAATCAATGTTATATCCACTGTCATAAAATTGTGTTTGCCAACTTGGATCATTCACTTCATCTCCATAGCCATCTCTACCCTCTCTATCAACCTTTCTCTTGCCATTTGATAATTCTTCAATTAATTGATCAAAATATTTCAAATCTTGACTTCTTCGTAGTGTTGGTAACCAAAATTTGATACATGAATCACGTGCATTGGTCAAATTGTTGTATTTAAACATTTCAATGACCATATGATTCAAAAAGTGTGGTTTATAATGTTCAAATCCAGTCACTCCTAAACACTTCAAAATTCTTGTGATTCTCAAATAATTGTGGAAGGAATGATTCAAATGACTATATCTTTTCTTATAGGTCACTGGATTTCGACTAATCTTTCCACTCACTTCATCTTCCAGAACTAGACCATAAAAATCAAGCATCAATCGATAGGATTTGATGATTCGAGCCTTGATGGTTGGATCACCACGCATGAGAGTAGCCTCGTTTTTAGTGAGAGGTTGAGAAGAGCTATTCAAGCCTTGCAATCGAATAGGAAACAAGTATTGAATATAGCCATGGTGTTCTTCCAATAAATCGAAATCTCCAAACCAATTCGCATGAATATTATCAATATAATCTCCTTGAGGACGAGAACGAAGTGCATTGGTATAAAATTTGAAATTATCGAGACTGTTGGTGTCGTTGTCATCCAACGAAGAAGAGCCTCCTCCGAAAAAGAAACTTCTCATGTTTTGTTGTTGAACGCTGTTTGTTTTCAATAATAAAAATCCCTCCTTCTTGTTCGTGCGGGAGGTGAAAAGAGGAGGCACTGTTTTTGAGAGTCGCAAGGCCGTGATGATGATGGCAAGAGCAAGGATAATGACACCCAAGTAGTGAAAGGTGTTGTTGATGCTCGTTTTTTTTTAGAATTTTTTTGTAACCCTGTTCCATTTGAATGGTGAACGAATTCAAGTTCGGAATACGAGAAAACGATGATCATGGTTTATTCTTGTTACGTATGAATGAGGACGATTCCTTCAGAAGACACTGTTGCTTATGCCAACAACGATACACGCTCTTCTTTGGTAGAATGTTTGTCTGATCGATACAATTGTGCTGATTTCTTGAACAGGACACCAGTACTGGTGTAACTTGGTTTCTCTTCATGACTCGAAGATGGTGTTTGGTGGTTGTTCAACTCGAATATTCGTTCTCTCACTTTTGGAATGCCAAGATTTTGTCTCAACTGTTTGTAGGCTTTCCATTTTCTCTGTTCTCGTCTCATCATTGAAACAAGAATACGAGTGAACCAATTACTGACAAGAGTTGGACAACAACAAAACACTACAATCGCATGGACTAATCTCAACATGTTATAGACGGTGAAAGATTTCAATAGTTTCTTGAATGGATATTTCCATATCAGTAACATTTCCCATAAATAGGTAATTAATAAATGTGCCAATCCATAGCCCAATATTCTCAATTTGAAATCCATTGGAAATCCAATAAATTGAAATTCTTTCTTTAAAAAAGAACATGGTTCAAATAAGATATAACTTGTAAATAAATACAACACCACTAATAGCAAAACATAAATAAAATTATCCGTTAAAAGATTCCTCTTAAATGGTTTGCTAATACTTTGTGTAATGGCTGCATTAATCACAGAAAAACAACATGCCAAATAAGTAATTGTTGTTTCATAACTCACAATATTATCTTTTGGATCTTTTCGAATTGGATCTGGTTTGTAAAATGGAGCATCAAACATAATTTCAAAGAATACTCCCAACATGAATGAAAAACCCCAAAATATTTGACCTAATAAACTCACGAGAATAAATCGAGAGAAGAGAGATTCAGGTGGTTTTTCTTTTTTCAATCTTGTCGAAGCTCTTGAATTGGGTTGTAATAAAACAATTGGTAAAATTATAAATAGATCAATATAGAGATATTGAAAATCACCAATGGTTGCATTTTGACGATAAATGAGAACTGCAGCAAAGACTGTTAAAAGAGTTGGAGGTGGTGATGGTGTAAGTACATGTAGATTCATAAAGATGTAGAGTCAATTGAAAGATGGTTCAAGAGAAGAGATGGTTACAAAACAAAGATCATCATCATCACTTACATTCAAATAAAGAATAGAGTGCCATAAATTTGAATACTTGAAAACTAGTAGAGAGTGATGCTCTTCCTTCTTTCATCACTTCAACCACCGATCGAATTGAATTTTGAACACTCGTGAAGGGAGCTGCAATGGATGCTTCAGCCTCACTCAATGAGACACCAACATGAGCAGATTTGAGAGCTTCGACTGTATATTATAATTGAAATGTTGAAATATAATGAGAGTAGATCATATTATGACTTACCATCATTCGATCCATCTCCACACATGATACACATGTAATCCATTTTTGTCATTTCTTCAATGACTTTCATTTTACCTGATGGTGAAACTCTTGCATAGATTTGACAGGATGCTAAAATTCTATGAAGTAGAGATGGATTCTCTGTATCAATGTACATTGGTAAAGTGATCTTTTTTGAATCATTGTTTGTCCATTGTGAGAGAGGATGATTTCTACTAGTACTAGTACTAGTATTACTAATACTACTTCCATCCATACTATTTATAGTACCCTCACTAGCCTCATGACCACTATGACCACCACTAGCACTTCTATGACCACTACTTGCCTTATTCCACTGATCCACATATTCCTTATGTGCCAATACAATACTATCAAATACTTCACCAATGACTGCTAATTCATAATTTTCATCTTTAAAACTCCTTGTCATAATTTCACGACTTGTTAATACTGGTGCATGATGATCATCGACATTTCTCCAAACAATTCGATCATATAGTGGAAGATAATGTTTCAATGGATTTCCTAAAATATTCATTGATGATGAAGATGATGAAAAGAATGGTTCCATCGTTGTTGTATCATCATGATTGATGGATTGGTATTGTTGTTGTTGTAATTGGTTCATGTTGTTGAGAGGAGTGTTCCTGTTGATAGTAGTAGTAGTCGTATTCATATTCCTACTACTCGAGATAGGAGGGTGGTGCTTGATGGCATGTTCATCATTCTCCATTTCTCTAAATTCAGACAAATAAATAGTCTTTCCTTTTGGTAAAATTCCACATTTACGAGCCACACAAATCGTAGTGAATGGATTATCACCTGTAATGACTACTGATCTTACATTACATTCAGAAGTGAGTGTTCGAATCACAGATGGTGTCTCTGGTTTCAATTTGTTTTCCATACAAATCAATCCAAGAAAAGAAAGATTAGATTCTACTTCTTCTCTTGTTAATTTATCAGCATATTGTGCAATTAAGAGATCAATTCCTTTTCTATTGTTAGGAATTCTAACAGGATCATCATCATCATCACTCCTAGTAGTATTAATAGTAGTATTAATAGTAGTATTACTATGATTCACATTCAATAGGAATAATAAATCTCTAAAACTCACTCTTCGAGTGGCACATCCCAACACTCGATATCCCTTATGAGAGTATTTATACAATACTTGAGAAAAGTCATTAGGAATGGTATCTGGATGTGAAAGTGTTTTTAACATTTCTGCTGAACCTTTCACAAAGAAGTGTAAATCTCCAGTGTGTGTGTTTTGTGCAATGACAGACATTCTTTGAAGACTTGATTTGAAATCAAATACTTTGAGAATGGAATAGTGAACCAAATCACTGGGAGATGAGATGGTAGTATGATTGTTGTTATTATTAAAAGTAGGAGTGAAGGTAGAAAGTGTTGGTTCCAATAATTTCCATCGTGTGGCTTCAAATAATTTCACATCTAATGGATCACCCACTAACTTTCCAAACACATACGACAAGTTATGACAAGTGGCCATACAATGCAATAAAGAAGAATTAGACTCTGAGAGATGATTATTTAAATCCTTATCTTTGATGAGAGATGAAAATTGTGTGCTTGTTGAGAGGTAAGGAGATGATTGATCCTTATTGGTAGTAGTAGGAATGGTAGTATCAGCAATAGTAGCATGAGTAGTATCAGTAGTAGTAGTAGTAGTAGTAGTAGTGGTAGTTATTACTACTCCATGTAAATCTAATCCATCTCTCGTCAATGTATTTGTCTTATCAAAACATGCCAAATTCACTCTTCCACTCACATTAATTCTTGGAGGACTAATACAAAATATTCCCTAAATAAAATGAACGATGTGAAATACAGAGATAGGGACATGTGAGTAAGTGTATAATGTGCATGTCAATGTATATCAATATGATTAATGTGTGTATATCAATATGTATGATCCATGTGTGTGTATATCAATATGATTAATGTGTGTGAATATTATAAATACTTCAACTTACCTTTTTCTTTAATCTTGAAATTGCCAATGATACTGTAGTGGTCATGGCAATAGGTAATGCAGGTGGTACAATGGTCGTAATGAGATCAAAACAACCTGTAATCATTTCTCGAATAGGAGCATTTTTAATGGCCTATGAAAGAGTATTCAATGACAAGTGGTGAATAGGATACCATGAAAAGATGAATTCATTCGTGTGGTTATGATTATGGTTATGGTGGTGATTATGGTGGTTGTGGTTACAGTTGTTTCAATGAACACACTTACCTGATTGTATAAACTATAACTAATTCCAGCCAATCCAAATAAAAACATGAATAATAAAAATTTCATCGAATCACTGTAAAATGAAAATTGATTTGGTTTTGGATGTAAAATCGATAAAACTAATTTTCCTTTTGCAGTTTGAAATCCAGTTTGAGTGACCATTGCAATGACCATTTCTTTTTGACATGTCGAATTTTCATCCATCACATTCAATGTGTTTGGTTTGGTCATGATGACTTGAGTACCAGAAAATAGAGTATGACTTTTATCACGTTTGGAATTGTAGAGATCTGTTTTTGAATGTGATTTTGGAATGGGTACTTTCTATATATGTGTTCATTCAAAATGGAATAATCCATCATTATATGGATTCATTCAAAATGGAATATTATTGTTCACAAACATTTAAAATTTGATTCATTTTCATAGATTCATTTTCATATTAGTAATGGATTCATAAATTCATTTTCATTATGAATTAAATTATTCATACCTTTGTAGGTGTGGATTCACCAGTGAGCATACTCTCATTCATAATGACACTTCCAAAAAGTAAAACACAATCACATGGTAAAATCATTTCATTTTCAATTTCAATTAAATCACCTGGTAATAACTGTGTGGAATCAATACGATGTTTCATCATGATATGAGTGGTGGTAGTGGTGGTGGTGTTTGTGTTCATTGTGTGAGTAGTAGTAGTGGTAATATTCGTGTAATTGGTAGTAGTCCTATTCGTAGTCCCATTCCTAGTATTCACATCTCTATCACCATGAACAAGATTCAACAATCGATTCACACCACAATGAAAACTTGTCATTTCTTTCAACTTGATCATGTTACTTCTTGTTTCCCACATACTCAATAGTGAACTTATCGAAGAAATGACTGCAATAGCCACTGCATACACATAATAATTTTCACTCAACCAAACACAAACACTTGCTACTTGAAATAAATAGAATGGATGTAATACTTCATCAAGAAGAAGAGAAATGACATTTCGAACAGGTGTTTCAATAGTATTCACTCCAAAAAGAGATTTCTTTAAATGTCTACTCGTGTCATGTGTGAGGAAAGAATCATTAGTATTACTATTATTATTATAGGTATCCTTAGTATTGTTATTATTATTATAGATATCCTTAGTATTATTATTATTATGGGTATTATTAATATCCTTCTTATGATTAGAATTCATTCGATCATGTAAAGATGAAAATGGTACTAGAGTGTTGTGATGAACTCTTTGAAATTGATCAGTCTCATCATTGTAAATGTAATTTAAATTTCTATATTTGAATAGACGAATCGATACTTGATGATTCTCATCATCCACTTGCACTTGTTCAATTTTACAAATGGTGATTTGTTTGGTTTCTTTTGACTTGATGAGAACAGCATCTGCATTCTTAAAGGAAGTATTGTGAAAGATGTTATTGTTTGGGTTGTTATTTGGGTTGTTATTTAGATTCACATCATCACCACTTGTTGTTGAACTACTACTACCATTCTCCTTCTTCTTCTTGTAAATTCGATTATATTGAATTCGATCTTTCAACCAATCAAACCAAAAACACAATAACAACAATGTTCCTAAACTCAACACCACACCCAACCAAAAAAGCACAAACCATAGCCATGAGAATTTCAATCCAATGCAGCACTCCATTTCATGAACTTCTTCATCTCCTTTAGATACATCTGGAAGTGATGTAAATTCATGGAGAGGAATGGAATAGGTTGAGAGAATCGATTGTCGATGATGATGGAGAGTCTTTACTCCATTAGCATCATCATCATTACTACTACTACATCCATCACTACCACTCCTACGAGTTGAAGAACTAAAAGGAAGTGTTGTTGTTGTTGTTGTTGTTTGGTGAGGCTCATCAATGTTGTTTCTCATCACCAACGTTGGTGTCGAGGAGGAGGTCTGATAATGTTGGATCATCATTTTTCATTCTTATTTCAATAATAATAATAATGAAATTTGGTCAAGTTTCTTGTTGATAGGAATTTTCCGAAATTCTTGTTGATGATGATGATTTCAGTAATGAAGCACACAGGCTTGGTGGGTTGAAACTTGTTGAATTTGATGATGAAGAAGAAGGTCTTAGTTTTTTTTGAACCCAATCAATAGGATGTTCTAAACGGTGAGTGTTGTTTCCACCGTTCTTGCTCAAAAAAAATTGGTCTTTTCCAGAGAGAGAGAGAGCTCTCTCCTAATATTACAACACCAACCACCAATACCATTATCACCACCATTACCAATACCATTATCATCCCATTATCATCCCATTATCACCACCAACAGTACCATCACCAACAGTACCATCACCAACAGTACCATCACCAACAGTACCATCACCAACAGTACCATCACCAACAGTACCATCACTACTCGATGATGAAACCCATCACTGAAATTATTACTTGTTCACTTCAATCATCTCCTGTTGTCAACAATTCATGTTCGTCATCATTCACTTTTATTCCATATCCCATCACGAAATCATCTCAAACTCTCTATTATTCTCTTCAGAGTTTATCAATATTAGATTGTTCACATAATTCAATTTTAAATAATTTATTAGAAAATCATCAAATTAATATTAAATTATTTATTAAATTATTATTAGATCATGAACAAGCAAAACATCATGGAGATGATCATTATTTAGTTTATCATTTAAATGGAATGCAATTTGAAATACAACAATATTTTACATCAAGTATTGAATTGATATTAGAAATTAATCAAATGAATGGTTTTGATTATAATATTTCACAAATGATTATGAATCATTGTAAAGATATTAAATTGTATTGTAGTGCTCTTTCATATATGGTTTCAAATAGAATATCATCACTATCCACGGAAAGATCATCCTGGAGTACGGACATGTCTAGATATTCCTTACAACCATCATCACCATCATCATCACTTGATCACATCATGGATACAACACCTTCTCCAACCATTAATATTGATAAATATATGAAACAACGACATAAATTATTTTCTAAATTTGATGAAGGTATTCAATTAGATACAACTTCATGGTATGAAGTGACACCAGAGACTATTGCAAAATATATTGCAGAAAAAATTAATTCTATAGGCCATGAGACACATTCCACTACTGGACATTCTACTACAGCACATTCTCATTCTCCTAATCTTCATTCTCGTCACAAGATTATTGTCATTGATGCATTTACAGGATGTGGTGGTAACATGATACAATTTCTATTACAACCAAATATAGATCTAGTGATTGGATGTGATATCTCTGATACTAAATTAGAATATTGTAGACATAATATCACTGTGTATGGATGTAATGAAAGTAAAATGAAATTGGTTCATGGAGATTATATGGAACATTTGAAAAGAGGAACATTTTTAAAGATGATTCAAGACTATGTTAATGATCATTTCTCAATGCAAGAAAATATTAATGATCATTTCTCAATGCAAGAACATTCCACAATGAAGAGAGAGAATGAATTGAAGAATTCCAACATGATCATTATTGCATTTCTAGCTCCACCTTATGGTACCATGAATTATCTCTCTACTATTTATAATTTAAAAACAGATCTATTAATTAATAATAATACTCATAATGGTATTGATATCTATAGATATACGAGAGATTATTTAACAAGAAATATCATTTATTTGTTACCAAAGAATGTAAATATCAAGCAAGTGAGTTATCAAATTGAGAGAAGTTGTAATAGTTGTGGTAGTGGTGGTAGTAGTACAATACAACAAGTGAGTGAAAGTTTTGATCAAATTGAGAAAAGAACAACTAGTAGTAGTGAGGAGGATAGTAGTGATCAAACAAAAGAATCCACGTATCTAGATTTTGAATATATTTACATGGATGATGTCTATTTAAAGTTAATATTCATGTATACGAGTGAATTGATGGAACATGTCAATCCATCATCTCAATAGAATTCCATACACACCAATTTGATCCAATTGAAGATTTCAATTTCCACTCTCAGAATTCTGGCATCAGTACTAGAGCAACACTAGACTTGTGAATCACAAGCTGTTGTTGACCATTCGAGTATTGCTGTTGGTGTTGATGGTAATATATTACCCAAATTTGTCATGCTGGATCATGAGACTTCATCATTCATCCTTTTTTGAATCATCCAAAAGGATAATCACGAGACACACACTCGTGTCAGCTCAGCCGCACCTCAATCGATCAACCACTACTGCTTCTTCCAAATTGAACTGAATCGCGGGACTAAAAAATGGTTCGACACTTTCTGTATCGATATTTGAGTCTTCCTCATTATTATGACATCAACACCAGTAGTAGCAGTAGCAATAGCAGTAGTAGTAGTAGTAGTAGCAGCAGTAGTAGTAGTAGTAGTAGTAGTATGGATGACTCACCCACTCAGAGTGATCACTCCGAACAAGAAGAATTATCTCAACAATTAAAACAACAACATTTGGAAGAAAAGTCACCATTTAATCATACTCCATCAACACCATCAACACCATTGAATCATACTCCATCCATCCTTCATCATCATCACCCTCCACACACCAAACATGTACTCCACTATTCACACATTACAACACTCCTTCAAACAAGTTCCAACAAGTACATTCTTATCAATGTTGGAGAAGGAACTCAACACATTTTATTGAAACACAAATTACCACCCAATCGAATTGAAGTGATTATTATTACACAAATGAAAAATACTCATGTGAATGGACTTTGTGGATTAATTTCATATATTTTAATGAAAAAGACTAAATTAGATGATCAACATCGAAAGATACCATTTTTAACCATCATTGGACCTACTGGTTTGATTAAATACATTACAAACCTGTTTAAAATTACTCAAACATTTTATGAAAAGATTCCAATGTTATTTATAGAAATTGATAAAGATGGAAATAGACAATACTTTGAAACTAGTACAATTCCTCTCAAATCTCTCTATATTGAACCTTATTTACAAAACAAAGATAACAAATTAATTGAGAATTCTATATTGAAATATCCTATTAATAACAAGTATCATTTGTATCTATTTGTGTATCCAAAAATATTTGCAAGAAATCTCAAGACCAATACTATTACACTACCATCACTACCATCACTACCATCACAATTATCAAACTCAACGAATGATTCTTCACCATTTGTTTTGGATGTATGCATACGAGAAGTTAATTCCAGTGGATTTGATAAACAAAAATTAGCTCAATATGGAATTTCAAATACTCAAATTAAAGAATTAAATGAAAATGGACAAGTCCTATTGGAGGATGGAAGAGTCATTTCAATGGATATGGTCTCAACCAATGGTATGGTCACCAAACAATTTGTGTACAAGAGTACAATGGTCACGAGGAGCATCAACACATGTCCTAATAAGAATGAATATGACCAATTATTATTGAATATTCACCAAGAAGAGGAGGAGAGGAATTGTCAACAAATCATGTCACCACCAATAAGTAGCAAAACGAATTTGTGTTTTGTTGAAAAATTTGAAACACAAAACGAGGAAAATGATCATTCAACAGAGAGTTTGTCTGTTGTGTTTCCCCTTCAGTATTATTTAGCCCAAACCAGTAACATCGATGCTATGGCCTACGAACAAAAAATCAATTTTTAAATGAAATAAATCTCTTCACATTGACAAAGACCTTCTAAGATGAACTCAAATTGCTGGTCGAGCAGTGATACGTTAAGGCGAATTGAAAAAAAGTAGGGATACTTTCTCGATCAGTAGTGTCATCCTTAGTCCAGGGACCATGCTAATCTTCTCTGTATCGTTGCCAATTTTGATATAGCGTCTCTCGAGGAGACTTGGTGACTGACGTTGATACCAGTACCTATCTAATAAAATTTACTATAAAATAGTGAGCATTATGGTTTTCAATAAAAATTCATTTTCCAATTGAAGTTCTTTTGAACAGGACTCTGAAGATAGTAGTACAGAAATCCTCAAGTTGTTTTGTGACATAAGGTTAACACCCTTTTCATGACTTAAATTAGTTGGTTATAATTTTATGGCCAAATAGTCAAGACAAGCCATACTTGATTTATTTGATTGAAGTTTCCGGAACTTATTTTTAAACCATCCTTATATTGTTGAGGATTTCTGTACTACTAGACAAGAGAGGACAGAGCAACAAATATATTTGTATTAACCATAAATTATTTTTGTTTAACAATATATCAGTATATCAGAGACAAGGAATGTTTGAAGAGTACAAGCGATAAGCACATATTCAGCTATAATTCATTATATTTCGACCTATATTTAACAATAGCTTCTTTTAAAATTAATAGATAATATAATATATATTAGAATTATATCTTATAAAATTTATTATATAAACAATATAAAAGTTTTATCATTAATTATCATTATTTCAATATTATTTAAAATTTTATCATGAATACTTTGATACAGAATGAATATATTCTTTATTCGCACCTTGACTTAAAGGTATTAAATAAAGTATTACATTATTGTATTTGTAGAGAAAATATATCTTGTAATTATATATTATTTCTATTTATTAATCATTAATACCCATAATTATTATTCTTTATCTAGTACCAAAGTATCATCATCAATTATTGAGTCCCATAATTTTCTTGCAAGAATGATGCATCCGAATGGAGTTTTGTTCTATCGAATCTGTTATGATCAAGGATGAATTTACATTTGAAAAATTGAAGGTTTCTCAAATCAATCCTTTGATCCAAAGAATTCGGATAATTCTTCTTTTCATATCAATTCTAATCGGTCATACCCCTACATCCAAAATTAAATTGTGATTCTTTTGTTGTTTGAGGCTTCTGAAGGATAACAAAAGACAATAAATTTATTGATGATATGTCACTGCAGCTTAGTATTGATGAATTCATTGCAAAAGGCCTTCTGTCTAGGTCATCCTGTTGTTTTAGAATGTTCTTATGTCGTGAACCAGCCTTATCTTATTCCCTCCATTTGAAAAGGTCTCACTCTCGAGAGAAAAAAATTTATTGGGGTATATGTACACCGAATCCAGAGTAATAGTATTTGTGGCATTTGCCAACGAAAAGGGCTAACAGTACTTGGATTTCAGGCCAATTCCTTTCAATAGCTGGGACGTGCCTTATCGAATCACTATCTGGGGATAGGAAAACGGAGTGATGGATGTAGAAAATGGGAAGATGTGGATTAAATCACGAATTCGAATCAGTGATTGTATATGGTTGGGAGATTAAAGAGGAGATCTTCATTTCACAGAAATATCTCGCAGGGTCAAGCTTTGGACATTCATATATGTAGTGGTGGAGATTGGACTCGACTTCACAGTCAGGGCAATAGGAGCCTGTGAAGTGTCTAATATGAGAGTCAATAATATTTATCCAGAATGCATACTTGTAATTGGGTGAGATTTTCGCTTTCAAGAATCTAATATTGAGGGATTTTTGATGAACATGATCAATGAGGTTGGGATTGTCATCTAATTTTGTTGTCATATTCTTGTAGTGAAAGGTCTGAGTCATTTCCCTTTGATTGAAAATGATGATATCTGTCTTGGTAAGAAGTCGTTGTTTGCCAATGAGTTGTCTGATGTCGAAAATTGTTGGTTGTGAGAGACTTTGTCTGGCTAGAGCGTCGCGACCTTGATATTTTCAGGGTCCTTATGTCCCTTTACTTTCTTTAGAGAAATTTGAAGATTTCTATCTCTAATTATTTTCTGAAATTCTCGATAGAAGAGGAGGAATTGTCCTCGATAGTTCTTTTTGAGAGCTTGGATTGCAACTTGACTGTCAGTGTGAATTGTTGCTTTGGAGTGGTTTGGTAGAAGATGAATAGAAGTAAGGATGGATGTGAGTTCGGCAATGTTGTGTGAATATCCATCATGAATTCTGAGTGAGTGTGAATGTAATTGTTTAGGAACGTGACTGTGGTCGTAAATGTTGATTCCCATTCCAGATTTACCATTCTATCGGGATCCATCAGTGTGGATTTCAAAGTTAGTTCTTGAGAGTTGAGGAAGTGAAAATTGCTGATTGTTGAGTTTGACAGAGATGTTGTATTCTTTAAGGATAGACTTCCAGTGATGAAAAATGTTGTTTTCGGTGTCCTTATAATGTGACATTCCGAAAACGTAGGCCTTTCTGATGAGATTGTTAGGATGGTTGGCCATGAGCATCAAGGTTCGAAGGTGAATATGCTCAATAAATTCGACAATTGAAGGAATGTTCAAACCAGAATGTGTTGTTGGAAGATGAAAGAAACCTGAAGGAGTTCTCACATCGATGAACATTCGTCTTTTAATTGCGGACCGAATGCTTGAGTTAATGGACTCGAGATGTTTCTTGGAAATGAAATTTGTTTTAGAGAGGTGAGTGAAGAGAGAGATGGCTTTGGCATGGATAACCTTTTTCAAGTTGAGAGGTTCCAATCTTCGCACAGGTAGGTATTTGAGAGAGAGACGCAGTTTCTCAATCTTATCGTTAACGTCTGCGTTGACAATACGATCTGACCAAGGATAGTGACCCAAAACCCGAAGGTTTGGTTCAAGCGGAATAACAGTACCCTTAATTTTTGGTGTCGTCTTGCTTTTTGATGGGAGACGAACTCCTTTGGATTTGGACGGGTTAATTTTGAATAGTTTATTGAGATAACCATGTATCAATATCATCGAGTCGGTCATTATATTTTACATGTCTATTGCAAACAATATTCATATCGTCTGCAAAATTGAGAAGTCCAATATCATTAACATCCAGTTCTGTTGGAGTAATTGGAATGTTCCAATTTTCTATGGCTTTGTCAATTATTAATTGGGTGATGCAATCATAGATGAGTGGAGCTAATGGACATCCTTGGGGAATAAAGCCATAGAAAATTGGTCTTTACATCTCGTTTAGGTATTAGTTTGACCCATCCTTGTTTCCATGTACTTGGGATGTCTTGGTTTACGAGACACTCATTAAATTTATCAACGAGTAATTTCTTGTTCGAATCATTGAGGCCCTTAATAATATCGTGTGGGATAAAGTCAACTCCTGGAGTGTTTGATTTCATTCTTGAGAGAGCGTTTTCCAAATCGTTCAATGTGATGAGATTCATAATTTGGGGTCCTATAGATACAGTAGATGGGCTCAGAGAGAATGTTGGGGTTTGATTCGATGATGTGAACTTGTCCTTGAAATGTTGCACAATCTGAGAGTCATTAAAGTTAATTTGCTTCCAGTCAATTTGCTTGTTATGGGTTAATTGATCAAAGTGGTACATGGTTGAAGAGTTTGCTGCATTGAATCGTTCTGAAATCTTTTCTTTGATTTCAGTTGATGCAGATTTATATGTCTCTTTCAATTTCTGTTGCGTGTCAAGGATTTTCCTTTGATCAAGTTCATTACCTTGAATTGATGTAAGAAGCGATTGTTCCAATTCTTCAATTCTGTTTTTAAGAGAGCTGTATATGGATTGAATACCAAGTCTGTCATTAAATTTTCCGTACTTATCGATCTGGTCACTTAAGGCCCGTGCCAAATCATCGAAAATTGCAAAGTTGGAGTTGTTCAAGTACTCGATTATTTTCGTTTTTGAGTTTTTGGATACTGATGGTTTCCATGATAAATTTGATTGAAATTCCAGGTCAACAAAGAATGGAAGGTGTTCATTTTTGCTAATTGGTGCAAGCATTTGCTCTCTAACCACTCTTATGTGTTTGGATACAAATATGTGATCTGGTCTTGATCGAGAGATTTGATTTTCGTAACGTCTGACATACGAGAAATTACCAGTTACTTTGTGTTCATACATTTGGAAACTATTCATGAGTTCCAACCACTGTTTGTCTCTGGTTGAACTTGGATTGTGGGAATTAATGTTAAAATCTCCCATAATCACAACTTGTTCATCTTGACACTCAGTTAAAACTTCAATAATGTGCTCAAAAACATCGTCATCAATATCATTTGCTTCTCGTCTTCCACTTAAGTAAACTGTAAGAATATTAATGGGCATATTTCTAGAGTAAAATCTAGTCCATTGGAGGTGTCCAGGAACTAGATTAGTGTTGGTAATGCATCGTTTTCTCTTGTTATTAAGGAAATGTAACAAGGCTGTTCCTTTGGATCCTTTTGAAGTCGTAATTAATGAATTGAGAAGGAGGTATCCAACTCCTTGATTCATTTCCTGCTTCTCTTTCTCAATTGTATTTAAATGGGTTTCTGTGAGGCCAATGAGATGGATCTTGTGTTGAAGACACATAGCCTTAATCTCATTGGTGATGGAAGTATTTGTAGCTTGCTTAACTAACCCATTAACGTTATAGCAGGCTACTCTTAATGTAGTATATACATTCAATTTTGATGATCAGTATTACTCATACTGGAGTCTCCGTCTTGATCTCCATCTGAGTTACTGGTATGAATAGTCTGTACAGGGGCTGTGGGGTTAAGTAAACCTAAATTGTTTGCAATAGTATGGACAAGGTGATGAAGTTGAGAAAATTGGTTTACAATGTGGTTGACCTGTTGTTCCAGTCTGTCAACACGGTCAATTAGTTTTGATTGTGAGGCTTTAGTATTATTTTGTGGAGTTATGACACTCTTTTTTGGTTCTGTAGTGTTAGAGATGGTTGGAACAAGAGTGACCAATGTAGTCTTCTTGTAGTTGGTGTTTATGGAAGGGAATCTTGAAGCATTTCTTTCAATTTTGGCAGAAATGTAGTCAATGGATGAGATGAAACGCTTGGCAATGAGATGGCCATTCTTGGTTTTGAACTCAAATTCAGTATTAATGAAACAACGGAGGTCTTGTTTAGAGGCCAGTTTAACTTTGCAAATGTAAAAAGAACTACCAATTCTTTGATTGGTTTGCTTAACAATTTGGATCATGTCGTCTTGAATGGTTACATTGGCGCGTTTTGCAAGTTGTTGTACACCGGCTTTGATAGCACCTTCGGAAAAGTTAGGTCCAAAGTTGCATTCAGCTAAAGTGTCTGGTATTTCATTTCGAATCTGTTCGAGAGATCTAAACTCTTCAAATCCAGGGAGTTTCATAACAGTAGTAGTAGAGTGAGATTCTTAGCTTGAATTGTTTATCCTTAAATGTAGTGTTGAATTGGTCGTAGGTAATACCTTGATGGAAAATCAAGTCGAGAAGGCTTGTAATGGTTTTATAGTGTTTAGTCTTGTTAGTAGTATAGCACATCAAGGTATGTTCTGACGCCTGAAAATTAGATGGGCTAAGGATACAATCAAAGCGTTTTTGATAAATGTGGTCATGCAAGGAGTTAAAATATGTTTCATAGTCTTCTAAATTATCGGTGAAGACTTGAATGACATTACGTCTATTGGAAGGTACAATGACTTTAGTACGAGATTCAGTAACATTAATGATATCATTGAGATCACTATCGGTGACATCAAAGTAAAGGCTAATATTGTGATTGTAGTTTAGAGTACGAGGGCGTTTGTGATTCATGTTGCTTTGTTTTTTTGGAATTGTGGAGGACTTTGGTACAGGGAATGCTGTTTTAGGAGGAAATAACGCGACTGCGTCTCTGTATGACATGGTTTGGGGTTTGTCACTTGTCTTTCTATCAATAGCAATATTCTTAACGT